CTATTACTCATTGGATGTTTTCAGCCATTCAATTGCTATTTGAAATTTTATGAACTGAGGATGACCTCTCAATGTTCCCTTGTGTTTGGATGGAGAATGTTTGTCTGAAATCACCCTTACAGGGTTAATATCCTGGTAATATAACAACTATATGATCTGCTGGTTTTAAAAGATAATTATGCATAACAAAGATAGTAACCATATATTTTCCTAGATTAATTGGTTTACACTGAGCATTAAGTTTGCAGTAATTGTACTTTAGGAACAAAAATTATTCCCAAATTGGTTTATGACAATATTTATGGCCTATAAATAATATTCTTTATTACCATTGCTATTTTCTCTCATAACAAGAATAAATGTTTGATAAAGCTTACTCTCTCCTATGTTAAAGGCAAGAATCACATCTAGAAAAATCATGCGACTATCCTTCATGACTAAGCTTCCCAATATCTACAATTTAGATAATCTGTTCAATAAAAATATAGTTTATCTATGTTTAATGTTTATCTAAAATTTTAAAAAAGGAATAATTAGGAAGAATGTTTTATCCATAGTTCCAAAAAGACAGGGAGAGAGCTTTATTTTCTTTATAAGTTATAAAATTTAAGCACCTGAATGCTATCTTTGAACCCAGATAGTTGCTAAGTGAAAACTAAATCTGCAATTATAGCCACTTCCTCCAGATCCCAGAAAGGAAGGAATATAACTATATTATAAGGTGGTCAAAGGCATTTCTAAAGACTTTCAAGAAACTCTAAATCAGGATTAATTCTCATATAACAACAAATGGTGGAAATAATGTCCAAGCATTCCTACCAGCTATAAAATAAAGCTCCCTTTTCCTCAAAATGAGCTAATTTTATTCAGGTCACTAAATAAATTGCATTACCTTAGCTAATTTTTTTAAAAAAATCACATTAATTTTGATATTCACCAGAAGTAGGCACTGTGAAATGTTTTTAATGGTCAACAATGGACTAAAATAATGAAACATACACTCATTAAAAATTAGTTTTAGCATATCTACCTACTCAGTTTTTCTTTTAAAATAATTGCTTTTATCCATTACTTCAGTGGAAATGGATGGATCCTTCTTTCCTTGAATAGAAGATGTTTCCTATCATAATCTACCACATTCTTCAGAATCTTCATAGTTTCCATCCTGCCAAGACCAAGGACTATTAATTTCTTATTAATGTTCTACATATACTTACAAGTGGTGTCAAAGATGAGTCAATTCTTCAATCTAGCATTCCCCAAAGGTGTTGGATTTAATCTTATTTCTTAGCCATCAACAGCATACTACTTCCCCTCAAAAAAATCCCCAAAGAACATATTATAATTAGGAGATAATGATCCCTTTGTTGTATGATCAAGTTGCTTCTGCAGTATCATGAAGCTGACCAGTTGAACTGACAGTTGAATCACATTTTATTCATTAGCTAATGTATAGAGAAAAGTTCAAGGTAATTGTATTTACCTTGAGTATTTCCACAGTATTTCCTCCTCCTGTTTTTTCCCACAACAACCAAATGAGATAGGCTAGGCTTCAATAAATTAACTGACCCCAAATCAGTTTTCACGGCTGAATCTGGACTAGCCATTGCATCAAACTAGCCCTGTTTTATTATTTCTGAGAGAAGCACACTAGTTAGGGATAAGTGGTAGGTCACATAATACATAATTTTCCCCCATTGAACTGTTTAAAAACCTCTTTTATTTTCAAAGAAATTGAATGGTATTTCATATAGTTCATCACACTTTATGGTGAAACATATTTTACTAGCCCACTATGGACATAATAAATAAATGAAATCTTGCTAAGGCCAGCACCTTGGAAGCATAGTTATAAACTTAACCCTAAATAATTTTATTAAATAGTTATTTTTGTCTTGAATTTAAATGGTACTAATGTACACTGCTAATGCAAGCTTTTGCACCTTTCTTTCCCCCACTCCCGCTTGCCCACCCCGACTTCTGTTAATTCTGTGTATCTTAGTATGGAGTATTGCCTAGCAGTTTAGTTCATCTGTGGCTGCTTCCTCTAGTCACTTGCACCCCTGCAGTTATGCACATATTATATCCAAGACCTCTGCTGACTACTAATGAAAGGGTGCACAATTTTAACAATAGTGGAGAAGTCATTAAATGCTTCTAGATTTGGCAGAATTGGTATTTTTTAGCTGATTCACAGCAATACACCCACACACCAGAAGCTGCTATGCAGCAGTTGGCAAAGAGGAATTAGCTTCAAAGATTCTGAATTAAATAATTTTTAGAAATAAAGAGCATGCAAAAAAAACCCCTACGTTTTCAGTTTAGCTGTCTTCTGTTCTACCTAGGCTCTAGGGGACATTAACTTCCAGCCTTGACAAAAGTTTGTTTGTACATGCTAGGTTCAAAATTACAAAATAGACACTAACAATTCAAATCAAACAAAGGTGAGAATACTTTTAAAATATTTGGAGCCCCAAAGTTCCATACACAATATGCTGCTTCCTAGAATTGTGATCCTTTCCTTTCCTGATCTCCCCTATTGTGCGCATGAATAAGCACAAAAATAGCTGTACTTTGCTAACTACAGCTTAAAATACTTCATCTCACAAGACACCGATGAACATAAAAACAGCATGCTGGGTAGATGCAAAGTACAATGTGTATTATTATGACTCAATTCTCCCAGCTCCCTTTTATCCGTCAGCGAAGCATCTACTTTGGGGAAAAAGTAGGGGCACACAGCTGCTTGGGAAGATATGTCCCTTAATCCTCTATAAATCTGCAAAATGTATGGCTAGTAAAAGCTATTCTCTTAACACTATCCAGTTGGATTACTGTTGTAATGGAGCTATTTTGTCAGGGAGACAAAGTGCCTGGATTTAAAAATTGCATTAGCAGGGATAATAGCACCATCTACCATCCTGCTTAGCCTTCCCTATTTCTTAAACTTGGCTGCATTCCTCACAGTAGCTGGAAGCGAAATAGACAGTACTTATGTCTAAATACTTACAACAGTTATTCTTTCTGCAGTTCACAGGGTGGGGCAGTTTTGTATTGAATGGGAATAAAAGTTACTAGACAAAAGTTTACTAAACTACTAGTAAAGTAACAAAAGTTACTAAATTAAATTTTAAAAAAATATTTAACCCTCCCCCCCCCTTTTTGCAAAATCTCAAATGTTTTCTTATCCTATGGAAAGTGTCTCATTTTTTTTTTCTTAAGAGTTTCTATCTTTTTCTCATGGTGACTAAGAATTTCTTTCAAAATTCTCTAAGTGGTGTTTTTGAGTTTATCTTGTTGATGGAAGGGACCTAAAAAGTTAGAACTGGCATTGTTTTTTAAAGATCTCTCCATCATTCTTCCCAGCCTGGAAAAAAAAAATGTGATAGGAATGCCCTCAAATATCTTCCTTTAGATGTAACTAAAGCATGGAAGCCAGGAAGGAGACAAGACTGTTAGAAAGAAGACTGGATAATAAAACCCAGGACATTCACACATATAGTTACCCGCTATAAACTTAATACATATGAAGGACCATATTGCCCGAAGAGGATCTCACACATATTTACTTCACTGAAATAAAATAAAATAACTTTACTGCAGTCATTAAATAGCACAAGGTGAAATAAATTTTGAAACCAAAATTGCTGTCATTAATTTACTATCAGGAAGCTGGTAAAAAAAGTGCAGGAAAGAATGTATTTAACAACTCTAATTAAAACAATTAAACCTACACAGTTGGGAGTCAGGGGGAATATAAATTTAATAAATGATAAATTGCTATTATTAAAATACTGGGAACTTACAGTGGTCAGTCTACGATTAATGCATGGGAAGATTCTGCAGCAGACTATAGAGGTGGATTTAAAAATATTTTGAAAAAAAACTTTTTAATTAGAATTCACCATTGCCAGAGTTAATTTTATCTCATTTTTTTAGTAGTAACTTCTGATATATTGTGAGAATTCTATGATAACGGTGGATGGCTAATACATTAGAAGATAGATATAAAATTTTCACTTAGGAAACAAAGATCACATACACAGGTATTGTGGGAGAATCTTGTGATCAATATTTCTGAACAGTTGATTGCATACTGGTGAGTATTTTGAGATGGCTGAAAAAAAAAAGCAAATGCATCCATAAGTGTAAATTTTCAGACCCAAGGTAAGTATTCATTTCATTTTATTCTAAATTGGTAGATCCCATCACACATTTTATGTCCAATTTTAGGCATCACACTCTAAAGAAAATTTAGACAAACTTCTAAAGATTGAGTTGGTAAAGAGGACCTTACAAGCCTATGAAAACTTTAATGACTTTCAACTGGAAGGACACTTGGCAATCAAAAATTTAATTGCAGTATGTTGCTTGAAGCACAGAATGTGCACTAATTCCAGCATACCATTTCAATAGCAACACATTTTTCTCATATTAATTTATTGCCAACTGAAGTAATGTAGTGAACTGTGATCCAAAGCACCCTTTATGTTATAATAAATGGTTATCTATGAAGTAATTTTTTAAATCTGCTATTCACTTCAAATTGACATTAAAATTTTGTCATCTATTAAGATCAACTTGCAAGATGAATTTGCTACTAGTTTGCAGGATACAAATATTGGAAAGCCATTACATGTTTTGACAGTTTGGAGGATTTTGCAGGATTTCTGTGATATACAGCCGTTTTCCAACTGTTAATGTATTTTTCATTTTGAATAAAGCTTAAATGACTACATTTAACTTCACTACAGTGAAGAATTTGATTACTGAGAAATATGAAATACTAACTGGACAACAATTTCTGATAGACCAATGCTCACACAGCTCTTTCATTAGGTAATTTATCTACATTTCCTAGTATTTCCTTTTATTTGAGGGTACTGCTTAATTTTACTATACATTCATCATGTCATTATTTTATATTTCTCATTTTTTTTAAAAAAAAATACTCTGTGCTTGTAAGTTGTCAACTAGAAAACAGCATCCCCACACAGAAATTATGCACATACCAAGCCACTGTTTATTATTTCACAGACATTCCAATTTATGTTTAAACATATACAATTATCTCAAGACTGGGTAGCAATCCACATGCACAGTAAGATTTTCCTTCCCCACTATGGTCTCTTCTGCACATCCCTCCCCCCAGAACAGAATCTGTGGAATAACATGGGATGAAGCCAACCGGCAACAATGAGGCAGAGAAACTGGACGATGTTCAGAGTGTTGCCTATGGGTAATGTCAGGTTGTCTATGGATGAAACCAAGACATCAGTCAAGATGACACAGTGATATATATGTCAATATTCGACTGACACATATTTCACAATTCACCTCAGTGAGATGCTTTGCCATCAGAGTAACTGCTGATTTTGCCAGCTCTCGCTTTGTATTTAAGTATCTATCAGTATGTGCATAAAAGTGCTTTGTACTGTACTAGAACCCAAATGCATATTTTGGTTAGCCTGTGTGGCTCCTTCCATTCAATATTTTAATTAAAAAAACTGAAATCTTTGTCTTGTAGAAACTACTAGGATTTCCTGAGCTTGTGACACATCTTTTATTTTAAAGTAACAATTCTGATTGTTTTGGAGTTTATACTAACCACAACCTATGCTAAGACATGTTATGAAGAAAGGGAAAAAATAATGGACCCCATGGACCTGACCCAGTTAGTTCATGGCCCCAATCACAGGGGGGGACACACTCTGGACTTGATTTTTTTCTCTGGCCAGTGGTTGAGTGGTCTTATTATAGGGGATATAGACATGAAACCCTTGTCATGGTCAGATCACTCACTCCTTCGTCTGGACCTTCCAACCGCTACATCCCGCCGCAGGGAGGCGGAGCCAATTAGGTGGGTCCGCCCCAGGCGCCTGATAGATCCTGATAGGTTCCAGATGGAGCTTGGGCCATTTCCTGAAGATCTGGCACACGACTCGGCCGAGGACCTGGTGGCTGCCTGGGATCGAGCGGCTGATGGGGCCTTGGATCGAGTGGTGCCTTTGCAGCCTCTGACCCGGTGTCGATCCCTCGCGGCTCCTTGGTTCACCGAGGAGCTGAGGGAGATGAAACGCTGGAAAAGACGCCTAGAGAGCGGTTGGAGGGCCAGTCTCGCTGAATCTGACCGAACACTGGTAAGGTCGCATATTAAGACCTTAGTGGTGATAAAAGCGGCAAAGTTTAATTACTTTTCCGCTCTTATTGTGTCATCAGAGAATCATCCGGCTGCCCTGTTCAGGGTGACCCGCTCCCTGCTCCACCCGGCAGCGCAGGAGGACCCCTTGGAAGGCAGGGCCGAGGATTTCGGACAATATCTGTATGACAAAATCGCTCAGATCCGGGGGAATTTGGACTCTGACTGGGTAGATTCGGGCAGGGTGGGGAGGAATAGTCTTGAGAACGTTATCTGGGAAGAGTTTGACTTTGTGACCCCTGATGATGTGGACAGGATTCTGGGGAGACATGTTTACTGGATCCGTGTCCCTCCTGGTTAGTACTGGCTTCCCGGGAGGTTACACGAGGCTAGCTCCAGGGAATTATTAACGCTTCGTTGAGTGAGGGTTACTTCCCCACGGCCTTGAAAGAGGCGGTGGTGAGGCCTCTCCTCAAGAAGCCTTCCCTGGACCCGGCACTATTAGCCAACTATCGTCCTGTCTCCAACCTTCGCTTTGTGGCGAAGGTTGTCGAGAGTGTGGTCGCTTGACAGTTTCCGCAGTACCTGGAGGAAACGTCTTATCTAGATCCATTCCAGTCAGGTTTCAGGCACAGCACGGAAACAGCATTGGTCGCGTTGGTAGATGATCGCTGGAGGGCTCGGGACAGGGGGTGCTCCTCTGTTCTGGCCCTGTTAGACCTCTCAGCGGCTTTTGATACCATCGACCATGGTATCATGCTGCACTGGTTGGAAGAGTTGGGGATGGGGGGCACCGTGTTATGGTGGTTCTCCTCCTTTCTCTCAGACCAGTCGCAGTTCGTGTTGGCAGGGGGGGCAGAGGTCGACCTCGAGGCCTCTTATATGTGGAATGCCTCAGGGTGCCTCAACATTTATGTGAAGCCGCTGGGCGAGATCATCCATGGCTTTGGGGTGAAGTACCATCAGTACGCTGATGACACCCAGCTGTACATCTCCACCCCGGGCCACCCCAATGATGCCCTTGAAGTGATGTCCTGGTGCCTGGAGGCCGTGCGGATCTGGATGGGGAGGAACAGGCTCAGGCTCAATCCATCCAAGACTGAGTGACTGTGGTTTCCGGCATCCCGATATAGTCAGTTGACTCCATCACTGACTATCAGGGGCGAGTCTTTGGCCCCCGCGGAGAGGGTGCACAATCTGGAAGTCCTCCTGGATACGCAGCTGTCCTTGGAGGAACATCTGACGGCTGTAGCCAGGGGAACCTTCTGTCAGGTTCGCCTGATTCGCCAGTTGCGGCCCTTTCTTGATCGGGATTCCCTGTGCACAGTCATTCATGCCGTCACCTCGCGCCTGGACTACTGCAATGCTCTCTACATGGGGCTCCCCTTGAAGAGCACCTGGAGGCTCCAACTGGTCCAGAATGCGGCCGTGCGGGTAGTCATGGGAGCCGCATGGCACTCCCATACAACACCTCTCCTGCGTGAGCTGCACTGGCTCCCAGTGGTCTTCCGGGTGCGCTTCAAGGTGTTGGTTATCACCTTTAAAGCGCTCCATGGCATAGGACCTAGTTATCGAGACAGCCTGCTGCTACCAACGACCTCCCATCGACCTGTGTGCTCCCACAGAGAGGGCCTCCTCGGGGTGCCATCAGCCAAACAATGTATGCTGGTGACCCCCAGGGGGAGGGCCTTCTCTATGGGAGCACCTACCCTCTGGAATCAGCTGCCCCCAGAGATAAGGAGAATCCAAGACTTCTGTGCCTTCCGCCGTGCCCTTAAAACCTTCTTTTTCCAGCAAGCCGGGCTGGCCTAACACTTTTAAAAATGTTTTTAATTGTCTGTTATTGTTTTTAATCATGGGGCCAAATTTATATATATCTTTTTAATTGTATTTTAATGTTTGTAGTTTATGTTTTTACTTGGCTGTTCACCGCCCTGAGTCCTCAGGGAGAGCGGCGGTATACAAATTTAAAAATAAATAAATAAATAAATAAATAAATAAATAAAATAAGATAAAGAATTCAGTAAGTTTGCTCATGTAAACATTTCTTCAACATCCATGGAGTTAACATATTTGGAAAAAAAATGCTTAAAAAAACTAAAAACTAAAATACTCTTAGGTAATCCAGAGACAAACTGAGGAAGAAAATATAGTCACAGATATAAAAATGATGAGTTCAAATTTCAGATAAGAGATTTAGTTATCTTATCCTAACAAAGCTGTTAATGAAAACCATAGGAAATTTAGCAAAACAAGTAATTAATTGTAATGCCCAAATTTCTGCAATAAAAACAAAAAATCATGTTTGGAATTATACCAGAAACTTTCAAGATGAAAATGAATTCTGAATTTATATGAAGAATTAATGCAATCAGTAATCTTTGTGTAAATCACAAGTATGATTGTCACATGACAATCTGTCATGTATAACATGATGATGGGGGAGGGGAACTACACCTCCAGCTAGTAGCTTGCTGAGGCATCTAAAGAAAAGATCCTTCAGGCCTATGTTTTCTATCAGACTTATTTACCTCAAGGCTTTCTTTGGAGTTGCCATATGTTATGGACTTAGTCCCTACAATTCTAATCGTAAGAAATTCCTTTTGCTTATTAGCCAAGAGACATTTTTTTCACTCTATCTTTTTTTGTTTGTATACTTGTTTTGTTTCATCAAGCAGGAACATAAGAAGTTGTCTTATACCATGTCAGATCATTTCTTTAGCTACCTCATACCATGATGAAACCTTTTTTTTCCAGGATCCTTTTGCAGGTGTCCCTTAAAATCCTGGGACTTTCAAAATGTCAAACATATGGTTTCTTGTTGCAAAGGATTTTATTCATTTTAGATATATCCTGCATTTTGTCAAGGAGCTGAAGCATTCCGTTCTCTCTTTTCAACCTCAAACTCCATAGAAGTTACCTAAACAGTTGGTGGCTGATATTATGTGGTACAGGTCTATATTTTCAATATTAAAACATAATTACCATGATTGCAAATAAAACTGTAATGGTTTGCCATTCCTTATAATGTATTATCACAAGAAGGCAATTTAATCAGCGAGCAGCTTAAAAAGATACCTGGTATATATTGTGAGTTGCATTCAACCATAAAAGAGGTAAAAAAAATCCCCCATCTTGGAAATGATTCTATAGGTTTTGCATTGATTTCTTAAAAAATAGATGACGGTTCAGAAACAGTTACATTTTTCCTATATTAGAAGCATCACAGGATGGTGCTGATAACAACAACAAAAAAAATCAATGACAACAACAACAAAAAACACAGGACAAAGCTTTTCGATAGGGATATCTTTTGGGGATGAGTATTCCTGCTCGTCCCCATGATACAGAAAATCACTGTATCTATAGAGTGATTTATTAAAGTTTTTTTTTAAAAAAAAACATCAAATGCATGCATGCTCATACTAAAACACAAGTGGTATTTGCTAATTAATTCCCAATGCATTCTGGAACATTAATACTTATAGGGAAGCAGGAAGACAAAATGGGAATGTGCCACATACATTTACATAGAAAAAATGATTTGATGTGTGAAGTAAAATAATAGTCATCCAATTAATTTGTAATGCTTAAATACTCAGACCAATGGTTTTCTCTAGTAAAATTAGTCTGGTGACCAATATACCTGAGGCTCTCTTTAATATTTATCTATCAGTATTTTAACCGTTCTTTGAGAACAGACAGAACCGAGCATAGTTGGTTGCAAGTATTTTGCAGCCAAGCTCTTACATGCTTGCTTTCAAATAAGGAGTTTAGTGAGATTTGTTTCTGGAGTAATAAGCTATTCTTCTAACCAGCAATATTAGAATATAAGCTTCCATTGCTGGAAAAGTCCTTGTGTGTCCGTTATGTGCAACTCCTTAACCAAGCATCCTTGGTTAAAAGTCATGGCTTTTCCTATTCATTGTGTAGCTTCTTCAATTTTAGTTAACATTTCAATATTCTTTCCAAATTTAAAAGCTCCCTGTGATTACTTTGACTGAAAACACATGCGACGCACATGTAAAATCTGCAAAATAGATGCCAGTTTCCCTTACAGTGGTGCTCCAAGTAATTATTCACCGTTTAATATACGTTCAATCTCTTCCAGTCTTTTCAGTGCAGCAACTCTTTTTTTCTCTATCTCTTTTATTTCTTTTGTCGATTTCTTTTTTGTCTCTTTGTCTGTAGAGTTTTTATTTCCATGTTTTTTGGATTTCCTTTGCTCCTTGCTGCCATTAGAGTTTGTAGTCTGAGGGTTTTTTTGCTCACTTTTTACCTCTTTCAAGTGTTCAGGTGGAGTTTTTTTTTCTCCCACAGATGCTACTTTTTCTGTATGAGTCACACTTGCGTCCCCTAACCTGAGGGAAGCAATTTTACTTCGGACAATGCTTAAATGGCGTTGGATGTATTCCTCATGTGGGGCTAAGGCCAGTGTTTCCACTAAGCATTTTTCTGCCTTTAATAAGTCTCGTTCTTCAAAATAAACCACACAGAGGTTGTGTTTTCCTTGTACATTGTTTGGATCCATTTTCAGAATTTTCTCAAAACATTGTTTTGCTCCCTGTATATCTTTCTTTTGGTTCATCAAAATGTCTCCCTTTAAAATCAAACCTTTGGTATGATCTGGGTAGTACCTCAGCAATTCCTCCAGCACGGGTAAAGCTTTCAGTTCTTTTGCAGTCTGAGAGTAAAGCAAGGCCAAGTTGAACAAAGCACTGCGGAAGCCTGGAAGTAGCTTTATGGCTTTTTTCATCCACATCTCAGCTTCATCATCTTTTTTATCATCCATTGCAAGCATGCCTAAGTTAAAATAACCATTAGCATCTTGAGATTCTTCTTTTATGTAACTTAGAAGTCTCTTTTTAGCTTCAGGCCTAAGGCTGGCCTCACCTAAAGCAACAAATGAACATTAATATGGACTATCCATGGCTCTGTAAACAGGACAATATCAACAGTCTTTATTACTTATGCTTGTAGATTTAGATTCATGATACTATAATTTTACAATTTGATATTTCTTATAGTCAGAAAGATCTGAAAGATCCATGGGAAGCGTATTACATACCCACTTTTTTCTCCCAACATCCATTATTACAATAATTTTTTTGCCCAACTGAGGTAGAGGATTTGGAATACCTATATAATTTGGGAGATTTCAATTAATTTCATTGATTTGAATGGAAAATAACAACTGATCCTTTCAAATATTGAAAAATAATTGGATGGGGGCCCAGGAAAATAACCCCAGTGATTCTATCCCCAGGCTTTTAAAATTATTACAATTTCCTGCTTCAAATCTTGTTTGTAGTCCCCCGTTGGAATGTAACTTATTAAAATAACCTATTAGGGTTAAATCTCACCTTTCCTCCAGAACTCAAAGTGAAATATATACTACTTCCTCCTTCCTACTTTTTCCTGTAACAGCAACCCTATAGGGTAAGTTGAGCTGGAAGACAGTGATTTTCCATGACAAGATGTGGCCTTGAAGCTGCATCTCGTAGGTGTCTATTCAGTATCTTAACCACTGCACCAAAAATCACATTCAATCATTGTAGAAGAAGCACTGAAGACTCAATTCACAATGCAAGGACACAGTCTTGTGTTTAATTGTAAGGAGTACTTTACTTATAAGCTAAAATCTGACTTAAGAGGGAAAATTGTAAATAATATGGAACTCAGTTCTGCAAATGTATTCTTCAAAGCTAAAACTTTAGACAACCCATCCTGAAAGGGAAATATTTAACTTGCTTATAATTTGTATTCCTGAGACAGGATTGTATTCTAGAGTTATGTGACTTATCCCTTTTTTGAAAAAGCAATCCTGACTATTCATTAAAAAAAATAACTATGTTTTTCTATGGCATAGTTTTAATGATATTTCATGTCATTTTGTGATTTGATCATGTCAGAGAGTCATTAATTATTACTAATTTTGGTTCAAAATTTTGTTATTGACATATATCAATCACGTTTTGTTTTTGGAGTTCTTCATGCATTATTTTTCCTGGTCTTTCTTTTCTGTCTTTCTTCCCCATAGAGCATGTTAATAAATAATAATAAATAATAGTAAAACATCATACAACTTTTACAAAGTTGTCTTAGAGTTCTAGGTATACATACCAGATTCTTGCATCAATAGTGCAGAATTGAACAAGGCTAGTTTGTGACTAGGATTCAGTTCTAATGCCTGATTGAAGTTTTTCAGAGCTTCAGAGGGATCTTTCAATTCAATGTAAACAATTGCCAAGTTGTACCATAGGTCTGCATTGCTTCGATCCAATTCAAGAGCCCTTAGGTAAGCTTCTTTAGCTTGCAGGGGTTTATTCATCTTTAGAAGCAATTCACCCCTGTTGAGAATCAAAACTTTAAATTATGTGGTTTCCATTCACTCCATTTTCTTGCTATTAAAACAGCATTTGTTTTAGACAGTAGAGCTGTCTACTCACATTTTGCATTTCATTATGACTATAAGATTATAAAGTACCTGCTAATGTAGGCCTGTTTGAAATCTGGCCTCATGCTAATGGCTTGACGATACAATTGGTCTGCTTCTTCAAGACGAGACTCATTTGCCCGAATCAGGTTTGCAAGGTTTATGTAAACATTCAGATGGTTAGGAGCGACTCGCGCAGCATATTTTTTACCCGGAATAATCTGACAGCAGAAGAAATTATATTAGGCTTGGAAGAGCATTAACCATAAATTTATTAGAACTATAACACAATGAAAGTTTAACAGTGTCAAAGACTGCAGTTTTAAAATGAGAGGCCTAAATTATAATTACTTTAAACTAAGTACAACTTTCATTTGAATTGAGAATACACTGTTCTAATACAAAAGCAGGCTGATATATAACTGTATTTTTAATTTTTTAAAAAATATTAAATGTTGTAATTATTACGAAAATACAGACAAGAAAAAGGGTGAACTAGACTGATTGTTATAATTTCCAGCAAAGTAAAAAAGATGTGCCCCAACATCTTTTGCTAAAAAGACATTCCAAGTCTAATGAAACTTCTCAAATAAGCAGTGTATTCCACTTACCTGTGGCATCAATGATTTTGCAACTAAATAGGATTCTTCTGCTTCTCTGGTTCTGTTTAAATTTTTGTAAGTTCTTCCTACATTCATATGGGCGCCAATATCATCTTCAAAATTGCAAGATAAACAAGACCTTCAGTACTTTCTTTCCCTCTAAAATTCCAGCCTCAGTCACAACAACTTAAAACTAGAAATCAAATAAATATTAAATCCTCCCTGCCTCCGCTTCTATCTAAAATGTGACTGATATGACATACGCTGTACAATTTTGTTAAACTAGGTTCAAGAAATTCATTTGATAATTAATTCAAAACACAAGCATTTTGCAATGTTCCAAGTATAGAACACACCCATATTGTACCCATTACAGAAAGAAATATAGTTGCTTTATTGTTGCTTGGGCCACTTGGCTGTTTAATTCAGAGGCGGGAAAGGATGCTTTTAAGCTACCTCTGGATTCTGTCAGCCTAGACCAGTATGGCAATGATGAGGGATTACAATCTGGCATCAGTCGGAGGGATGTACATTGCCTCCGAAGCACAAGCTACTTTGATAAATACAATGTTCCTAGAATCTCATGCGGAGATCTTTTCTGTAAAGCACTGTTAAGGACTGAGCATGGAACTTTTTGCACGTAAAACATGTGCTCTGCCCCTGAATTACAGAAGGAAAATCAGCCATGGAAGATTAATATGCAACTTAATAATAGCTAGATGGAACAGGAAATTTCTTTGAACTGCTTTTTAAAGCATTACATTTAAGGAATCAGGACACCAGCAAACTTTCCATACTTGTATAAATTCATAAAATTATATACATTTTTAAGATTTCACACTAACATTTATTTTACTTACACAATTTATGTATTATTCCAATGAATCACCCTGACTAGTTAACAGAAAAGCATAAACTAACATTTCATAGTAAACTCAATACTCATAGACCAAAATAACCTTGCTAAGAGGAGCCAACTGTCATATTAGTTCAGAACAAATTCCTGCTTAAAAAGAGGAATTTTCAAGACTTTCTGGAGTGCCAAGAATGGGAACAGCTTTATCTCTGCAGGCAGCAAGTTCTACAATGCTGGAGCAACCAAGGAGATTGCTTGTCCTTCTGGACCATGGTCCTTTCACCTCTTGCAATGACAAGAAAAACCCTCTCCCAATGGTCTTACAGATAGGACAGAACACATGATTAAAGTGATCCCCAATGCAGCCTAGTGTATGAAACATAAAATAATGATCTTGTAAAGATATCCTGTAAATATCCTATAAGATATAGGATATATCTTATATCTCTGTTGATCACTGAGTTGTGCACCTTAGAGGGAGCACTGCAATAGTAAAATGCATGGGGATAAAGACATGAGCCATTAAAGCTTTCTGGTCCAAGCTGCAGTAGCTGATAATGCCAACTAATGCTAAGCAAAGGCTTCCCTGGTCATGGGGAAAATATTAGGAAAAGAGAGTATTATTGCCTTTCATGCTAGCGATCTTTTACAACTCACCTGGCTGAACTTGGGTGGCCTGTATGAAGAATCTCAATGCTCTTTCAAAGTTCTTTTCATTTTCTAAAGCATGACCCACATTATTCCAGAGTTTGGCATTGTTCTTATTTACCTGATCACAGAAAACATGTACATGACATATCAGAAACAAACAATTTGCTATGCAAATTGAATAATTCATTTATAAAAGCATAATCTATTGAGGTGGAATGTTTAAGAGAGTGTTTATAAAAACCTTGCCTATGCACAGACTAGTATAAAAGCTTTAGGGGCACACCAATAATGTTAGGGACCATTTGGAGCTGAACTCATTTATTTAAAATCTAAAATACAAAAGATTTAATGATAGATGATAGTAAATTGCTTAGTTGCTCAGGACAGATTCCCCCAGTTTGGTGCCTTCCAGGTGCATGAGTGTCAACTCCCAGAATTCTCTACCTGTCATGGCGATACTGAGAATTCTGGCAGTTTGCATCTCCTGAGACATGTGATTTGGAGATGGCTGCTGTAAAAGATTGAAATGGTATGACAGTGGATACAGTAAGAAAAATTGTGGGAGGAACCAGGAAAAAAGTAAATTTGATTTTCAGTAAGTTAATATTATGGTCTGGTGCAGTGTTGGCGAACCTTTTCGGTACAGAGTATTGAAAAAGGAGTGCACATGCATGTGCCGGAAACCGGAAGAACAGCTGCCCAGTGCACATGCGTGCGGCTGCTCTTCTGGTTTCCGGTGTGTGCATGCACACCGGCCAGTTGGTCTTTGCGCGTGTATGAATGCCAGACACCAGAAGACCAGGTGGCCGGTGCGCATGCATGTGCCGGAAACTGGAAGAGCAGCCGCCCGCCACGTGCATGCGCACTGGGTAGCTGCTCTTCTGGTTTCCTGTGCTCCTGCGCGCATGAAGGCCAGCTAGCCTGAACCCGGAAGAGCAATGGGCGATGGCTCATGTGCCTGGAGAGATGGCTCTGCATGCCACTTCCGGCATGCGTGCCATAGGTTCACCATCACGGGTCTAGTGGCACATTAAATAATTTCTCACTTCTAACACAAAAAATGACCAGGCAACAGAAATTTCTCAGTATTACATACACAAATTTAGCTAGACATGTCTTAGGACTTCTGTTTCAGTAGTAGAGTAACCTTGATTTTTCATCTAGACAGTCCTCACTTAATGACCACAACCAGGACTGATAGTTTTGTTGTTAAACAATGTAGTTATTAAGTGAAACATCATGTGACATCACCCAATTTATATCAGTTCAGCTGTGGTTGTTTAGCAGATAATCTGAAGTCATTAAGCATGAAGTCATATGACCATGAATGGCTTTTTCCAGGCTTCCCCATTGACTTTGCTTGTCGGAAGTCAACTAAGAAGGTCACAAATGTAAACCATATGACCACGGGATGCTGCAGCTGTCAGAAACGCATGCTGGTTGCGAGGTGCCCAAATAGTCATCACATGACCACAGAAGTGCTGTGACAGTCATAGGTTCGGGGACCAGTTTTAAATCTACTTTTTCATCACTGTTGTAAATTCAATGCTTGCTGAATGAAGCAGTTGTTAACCAAGGACAAGCTACATTTATCAATTCCCAGTATCTTTCCTTGGGAGGAGGGGAGAGTTCTGAAAAGGTATCAGAGGCTGTGAATCCTGGAGTTTCTTTTTTCTGACATAAATCCTTCAAGAATGCATTATTATCAGAAATAAGAATTTAGAATAATAATACTATACCTTTAAAGCAGACATAAACAATGTATATTCCGATTCCCAATCCCAGTTCCTCTGCAATGTTTTTAAAGCATGAATGAACAAAACCAAAGACAAACAAATCCATGATAGCTTTCTCAGGGTACTAGTAAGTAAAAATGAAGAAAGATGTGGTTAATGTAATTCTTGATTTCCCAGGCTAACAGCATATTTCTCCAATTAGGGCACTTAACTCATAGAACCTCAGTTTACAATTCTAGATCCAATTTAATATTAACCATATTTTCACAATTAGCTGCTTCGGGAAGAACAGATGCTGACAGGAGAAAAAGTGCTAAGGCAGTTTTGCTAAATGCAATGACATTTTGCATTTAGCGCTTTATTATAAACAAACAGTAATAAGATACAAAGAGATAATGAAATCTATTTAGACGGAAGTTGCTTCTGTTATCAGTATAGCAACTGACTATATTTGTCATTCAATCCACTGAATTGTTCTTAGCATATCTGAACCATTAGGAACTTGTTGAATCCAAATGGTAACTAAATATCACTACTTTGCAAAACAGGACTTATTATTTGGAATAATTAGAATGTAGACTTCATTGCCATAATGAAGAAATACAGCTGCCTATATGTGGCCATTTGAAACTATGGAACAGATCATCTGTCTGTCAACAATTATAGTTTCAACATTCATTTCTGGTTTGCTGCTATGATGGCATAAAAGGTAATGGAGAACAAAACCATGAAGGCAACCTCGATTATTTTATTGTATGAAACAATATTTATTCTCATTCTTAAGAAGAAAGCAATGCAAAATAAAATATTAGTTTCTTTGACAAAAAAAAAGTCAAACAACTGATTGTCACTTCCCCTCCAAAGGAAAATCGAGACTCTATTTTAAGCCCTGTCTGTGAATTTAGTTTTGATGCTCAATATAACAATAATTTGCCCAGCTACAACTATGGTTTATGTTATACAGGAAACTGAGGGGACAGAAAGAGCAAATATTATATTTTAGAAACATATCTGAGTTGACACAGCTTATGTGTTAACATGAAAACATGTTAAAAGAGTAGTTTCATAATTGCAAATTAAATAATTTGATAACAACTAAAAAAACAGTAAAAATGATTAAGAGTGAATTATTTAGAAAAGAAGGGATTTTTAATCCATTTTTAAAGAAGAAGCAAAAGCAAACCATTTTTAAAAACCCTTAATTTCTTTCTCAGGTGCTATGAATCTTTAAAACAAGCAGATATAGTAATAACAGGAACTACAGGAAAGAGAAAATAATGCAAGGAAATTTAGAAAATCCCTTTCACTTATTGTTAAGTTAAGGGATGCCCTCAGGTTATTTTTAAATATTTACAGCATTACATAAAGGGACTGATACCATGACTGAATTGATGAAACGTAAAATAAGAGGCTAACCATTTGAAAAGTCTTGCAAATCATTATTTTCAAGAAACATTTACAGTAAAATAGTATTGTAGAGTGTTTACGATCCATTTAAGATCCTGAATACTCGGGAAAATTTCAATTCTAATTGGTTTGGTTGTTTTATTTTATCTAATTAGTTTATTTAATTGTTAAAACTTTAATAACAACTTTAAAAAATGTAATGGTTTCTGAGATATATTTTCTTTCCTCCCTTTCCCCAAAAGGAAGTTTTACTGATTATGATGTAGAAAAGATGGTAAAAGTGTCAGAATATTCATGACTGGGAAGACATGGTAACAAGGTCAGCCAATGAATAGGCATAGCAACTAAGTCAGCCAATTGGGAACTGAGACAGACTGGAGCCAAGGCGTGTCTGAGTCTGCAGCTTCTGAGTAAAGAGAAACTGAAACCAGTGTGTGTGAACTTGTCTGCTGACCTGAGCTGAAATGAAACTGTGAATCTGCTGTTGGTATTGTAAATTTACTTCATGTATTATTATGTATATAAAGAAGTTAATGAATCCTACTGCATCAGTTTATCTGTGTGTGCTTCTGGATTTGATTTTTGCAAGAAACTGACAAAAAGCAAGTAAAGATATTAAGCCACTCAGACAACTCTTCCATGCAATTTCACCTTTAGTTCCCATTCATGCCCCCCCCCTTCCCCAAGCAATACTTTTTAACCTACCTGTTACTTGACAGCTTTTTCCACCCATGAGCAACTAGCATGCAGAATCCCATGCTGGGAACATATAACACTCGTTCTGCTACTACGAAGCCAACAGGGAAAAAAAGGTTTGACGCTGGGATGAATGGCAAAACTATTAAACAAAGTGCCTAAAACAGCAAAAGAAAAAAACACACAAAACACTAGCTAGTAACCCAAAGCAGAAAAATACTTAAGCATTATACAGACCTACAGCATACATGTCTGTAAAAGAGGCACTGATTTAATTTTACATTTAGAATCCCTATTTTTTTTCTTCTACAATTCTGATGAAATCGGTAACTTGTTATTTTATGCTCTTACCAAATCTAGATTTATCTTGTGTCCCTTCAAAATATGTCTTCAAAGCTATCGGTACTTCTTCAAAGCTATACAAACTCTATTACTTTACAAATCATATACAGATAGTCCTCGACTTACAACATTTCATTTATTGACCGTTCAAAGTTACAAAGGCACTGAAAAAAGGGACTTATGACCGTTTTTCACACTTTATGACCATTGCAGCTTCTCTATGGTCACATCAGGGGTGAAATGTAAAATTTGTTACTACCGGTTCTGTAGTAACAAGGCTTGGGGGGGGCGGAATGTGACTGGGTGGGCGTGGCCAACTGTTTAAAAAAAAACTTTTTAAAGCATTTTTTCTAATGCTTTGAAAAGCCTCTATGCCGATCAGGCAACTCAGCTGGGATCGTCAGAGACTTTTCAAAGCATTTTTTTACCACCCCTTCGGCCAAGAGGTTGCAGAAAAAAATGCTTTGAAAAGCCTCTGATGATCCCAGCTGAGCTGCGCGATCATCAGAGGCTTTTTTTTTTTTACTTTTAAAAGCATTTTTTCGTTGGAAAAGGTTGTAGAAAAAAATGCTTTTAAAAGTAAAAAAAAAAGCCTCTGATGATTGTGCGGCTCAGCTGGGCATGGTGGGGGGGGGGTGCAGGGATTTTTGCTACCAGTTCTCTGAACCACCCCCCGCCATCGCTACCGGATCAGGCAATCGGGTCTGAACCGGGAGCATTTCACCCCTGGGTCACATGATCAAAATTCAGATGCTTGGCAACTGACTCATATTTATGATGGCTGCAGTATCCTGGGATCACATGATCAGCTTTTGCAATCTGCTGAGGAACAAAGTCAATGGGAAATCCAGGTGCACTTAACAACTGTGGCAAGAAAAGTTGTAAAATGGGCCAAAACTCACTTAACAACTATTTAACTTAGCAACAGAAATTTTGGGCTCAATTGTAGTCAAGGACTACCTGTATTCATCTAGGTATATAAACAATTTGTTATGTACAATAGCCAAATCTAATTAAACAGAGCAAACCTTTAGTTGAACTGGATAACTGTAGTTAAACAGCAATAGCAATAGCACTTAGACTTATATACTACTTCATAGTGCTTTACAGTCCTCTCTAAGCAGTTTACAGTCTCAGCATATTGACCCCAACAATCTGAGACCTCATTTTACTGACCTTGGAAGTCTGAGCCAGTCAGGATCAAACTGCTGGCAATCGGCAGAATTAGCCTGCAATACTGCATTCTAATCATTGCGCCACCACAACTCAGTTTAAAGAGTTAAATTGGTTTGTTTAAAGGTTTTAAACAAGCCAATCAAAAACATATTGATTTAACTGCAAGTTATGAAAGGAGCAATGGATTGAATAGATTTGTTAATAACAGACTCATAGAAATCAGAGGGGCTTATATCAGTACAAAGACTTATCCATTGTCTTCACTGGATATGATCTTAAGTCTTGAGTTAGCCTAGAGCAGTCCTACCTGTTCAGAGGAAAGATGCATGTGCCTGTATCAAGACTGTCAGAATTATATTATAAACAAACATATATTTATTTCAAAAAGAGACAACAATCCAACTGAAGCAGTGTAATGTTTGTATATATCTAACTCTACAGAACAGCTTTTACCAGCATACACATCCTCCAGACTGATGTATTTCAAATCCCAGAATTCTTCAATTGGCATAGTTAGAATAAGAGAGAATTCTATGAGTTGAATTCCCCATATTTGGAGGCCACTCAGGTTGGAATTAAACTACTGTAGGAGATCCAAACCGAATTCATCTGTACACAGTGCCAATTTTGGAACAGTTTATTCACAACCTTTCTAATTCCTTGAAGTTTACACTGCTAGATCTGCTTAGCTTTAGCAAAACATTACTGAAGATTTAATTGCAAACAATAGATCTACATTTGTCACTGCACATGCAAGCAACTGGGTTAGCTACCCGTGTTGGACTCCTACAGTCAGGTGCAGAAATATTGGGACATCGACACAATTCTAACATCTTTGGCTCTATACACCACCACAATGGAGTTGAAATGAAACAAACACAATGTGCTTTAACTGCAGACTGTCAGCTTTAATTTGAGGGTATGTACATCCAACTTAGGTGAACGGTGTAGGACTTACAGCAGTTTGCATATGTGCCTCCCACTTGTTAAGGGACCAAAAGTAATGGGACAATTGGCTTCTCAGCTGTTCCATGGCCAGGTCTGTGATATTCCCTCATTACCACAATTACAATGTGCAGATAAAAGGCCCAGAGTTCATTTCAAGTGTGCTATTTGCATTTGGAATCTGTTGCTGTCAACTCTCAAGATGAGATCCAAAGAGCTGTCACTATCAGTGAAGCAAGCCATCATTAAGCTGAAGAAACAAAACAAACCCATCAGAGAGATAGCAAGAACATTAGGCGTGGCCAAAACAATTGTTTGAAACATTCTCAAAAAGAAGGAACGCACCGGTGAGCTCAGCAACACCAAAAGACCCGGGAGACCATGGAAAACAACTGTGGTGGATGACCGAAGAATTCTTTCCCTGGTGAAGAAAACACCCTTCACAACAGTTGGCCAGATTAAGAACACTCTCCAGGAGGTAGGTGTATGTGTGTCAAAGTCAACAATCAAGAGAAGACTTCACCAGAGTGAATACAGAGGGTTCACCACAAGATGTAAACCATTGGTGAGCCTCAAAAACAGGACGGCCAGATTAGAGTTTGCCAAACAACATCTAACAAAGCCTTCACAGTTCTGGAACAAGATCCTATGGACAAATGAGACCAAGATCAACTTGTACCAGAGTGATGGGAAGAGAAGAGTATGGAGAAGGAAAGGAACTGCTCATGATCCTAAGCATACCACCTCATCAGTGAAGCATGGTGGTGGTAGTGTCATGGCGTGGGCATGTATGGCTGGCAATGGAACTGGTTCTCTTGTATTTATTGATGATGTGACTGCTGACAAAAGCAGCAAGATGAATTCTGAAGTGTTTCGGGCAATATTATCTGCTCACATTCAGCCAAATGCTGCAGAACTCATTGGACGGCGCTTCACAGTGCAGATGGACAATGACCCAAAGCATACTGCAAAAGCAACCAAAGAGTTTTTGAAGGGACAGAAGTGGAATGTTATGCAATGGCCAAGTCAATCACCTGACCTGAATCCCATTGAGCATGCATTTCACTTGCTGAAGACAAAACTGAAGGGAAAATGCCCTAAGAACAAGCAGGAACTGAAGACAGTTGCAGTAGAGGCCTGGCAGAGCATCACCAGGGATGAAACCCAGCATCTGGTGATGTCTATGCATTCCAGACCTCAGGCTGGGATTGACTGCAAAGGATTTGCAACCAAGTATTAAGAAGGGAAAGTTTGATTTATGATTATTATTCTGTCCCATTACCTTTGGTCCCTTAACAAGTGGGAGGCACATATGCAAACTGCTGTAAGTCCTCCACCGTTCACCTGAGTTGGATGTACATACTCTTAAATTAAAGCTGACAGTCTACAGTTAAAGCACATTGTGTTTGTTTCATTCCAACTCCATTGTGGTGGTGTATAGAGCCAAAAATGTTAGAATTGTGTCGATGTCCCAATATTTCTGGACCTGACTGTAGCTCTTTGTAAGGTTATCTGCCTCAACCTGCTTAAAGGCAGGCAGCCGTCCTTTTGCTTCCACCACTGCACATTTGAAGTAAGTTATATACTGCTCTGAGAAAGCAATGTTATAGCAGCATAGAGTATGTGCAAGTTTATTAGACTCTGATGCCAGATATGTCATACTCCGTATGGCTAGTACGTTACATACATACATTACACTGGATAATATGGAGTGGTGCAGTGGCCTAGAGGTGGAGCTTTCACCTCACAATCAGGAGGCTGCGAGTTTGATCCTAGGTAGAGGCAGATATTTAACTCTCTGGGTACATTGAGAATATATCTGCTGAACAAAACTCTGCATTGGCAGCAGGACAGGCATCCAGCCATTAAAACACTCTGCTAGCTCCATTCAGTTGCCCAGACTCCGGGATTATGGGGTCGTTAAATGAAGATGATGATTACACTGGGTAATATCTCCCAATGACCAGCACCATCAGTTGTGCTATCCAAGGCACTAGAACCTATGACTCAGACTGATTTTAAATTCTGCCTCCTGAAGAAATGCAGGTTCTCAGATGATGTGTTTAATTTAGATCAATAATAATTCATAAGCTTCTTCCTGGACCACAAACTACAAAAGTAGGCTTTCCTGGAAAAGGAATGGACTACTTGTTTTTTCTTCATACTAAAATACACAACAAATGTCTTTGGATGTATCTCTGCCATTTTTTTCTTTTTTTGGTTCTGCTTCTTTTTTGCTGCTGAGCCACATCTGAACTACTCCCTCAGCAGAGAGTGAAGGCAATTTATTCATAATCCTATTGAGTCATTATTAATTCAACAATCAACATAGAATGCTGATAAGCTTTTAGGAAATGAAATTAAAAAGCATGCAAGTGTCTGTTTTTCATAATAATAAGGACACGACAGAAACATTGGCTAAACTTACCCTAAGCTCACCCTAAGCAACACTGAAGAACTCACACAACAAGAGGAAGGCTCACAGAAATCCAGTCTTAATGTAGGCAACACTAAATTTCTAACTTTTGGTGGTATATTCCAAATCAAAATGCTACCTTTTTTGGTGCAGAATTCAGTTTCTTAAAAAGAAAAAAACTTAAAGCATTCATATACCCTTAAATGGAATCTGCTGAAAAACTAGATGGTCTGGAAAAATAGGATTTTCTAATAACATCCTAATGTTTTTGTGATGCCGACTGTATGTAGCCCATGTAACAAATAACGTAACTTTTTACGTAACAAATAACATTACTTGGGTTCCACTATAACTGTGATCAATATAAAGCACAAAATTACCCCAAGGACTCCCCTTTCTATTTAATTGTGTTCATTTTCCTAGATTATTGCTAGAACCGCAATGGTTGTTAGGAAGTACTCAAGTGACTTCCAGCCTTTTTGCTCACCACAGATTTCATTTCATTCATAGAGCAAGCATTGGATGGGGGGCGGGGAGGAGGGGGTAGTCCTTTAATCCAGAATCTATCCATGGTGCTGTTACTGTGTTGTTTTAACGTGGCAAAAAAGCCCTGCTGTCAATAAAGCCCACATTGTATACGTATATTACAAGAGCCTCATAAGCACAGAGGAGCAAAATCTGCAGATACAAAGTTACACTGTGAAATAACTGCTCCATGAAATACTTTTAAAAATTCAGCAAAGAAATAGAATATGCATTATGCAGCCCATTCTTGATACATCCAACATTCCTCACAATTTTGACTACAGATAATGTACAATGTACCAGCTTGATAAAATCCGACGTTTTCCTGAGTGCTGAACTAACGCAACTCAAAGTGTTACAACATTCAAGGACAAAAAGCAATGTAGAGATACAGTGGGAACAATAATTAACTCCATAGGTACAAAATTATGCACAATAATTAAGTCCATACCTACAAACAATAATCATTGAAATGTACCGATGCAAGTATAGCACAATAGAACATGCAATGGAAGTTAGCTAATTCGATCAAATATGGTGATAAATAGGATCTCTATTTTCATATATGCAGCAAAATGGATTTGGGAATATTTCTATCACTTATACTGAATTGGGATTGAATTGTAGCTGCTGAAAAAAAAATCAAGTCTAAAGAAAATGTGCTGAAAGCAGAATAATCTAATTTAGAACACATTTAAATCTCTCTGTACACTTGCAACTAATATAAGAGGGGCTCGCCTTGTGCAGAGAGTGAGTGTGAGCGCTGAAGTACTACAGGTCTCACTACTACCCCTGGTTCACCGTATCTGGGTTGTGTGTTTGGGATGGGGGATCCCCAAGGTAAGGGAACTGAGAGGCCAGGGTTAGGGGATGCTGCCTCTCTTGGCCCATCTCTCCTGCTGCTCCCTGTGATTTACAGAGGAATTGAGGGAGTTGAAAGAGGATCAGGAGACACCAAAAGCAGCACTGGAAGAAGACAAAGAATGAGCTTGACCAAACACAAGCTAAGGCCGCTATTATGTTTTATCTCATGAAGGCTGGAGCAGAGAAGTGCCAATACTTCTCCGCTCTGCCACCCAGCACCTTGTTTAGGGTTACTGGATTCTCCTCAGAAAGGGAAGCCTGAAGGCCCATTTACAAAACCGTGCAGAGGAATTTTCTGTGAACCCATAGGATAAAATCGCTTGGATTCATTCCCAATTGGATACTAAGCATGGTGTAAGTCCTGTGGCGATGCCCAGAGAATGGACTTACCCAGTTATTTGGGAATAGTTTGATTCTATTGGACTTGAGGAAATGGACGGGATCCTCTGGAATGGGTAAATGCTACCACCTGTGCATTTGATCCATGCCCCTCCTGGCTGGTTAAGACTGCCCAGGAGATAGATGGTGAATTTATCCTTGTTGGTGGGGGTGTCCTGGATCTTTTTAAAGAGGCACTGGTGTGCCCCCTCCTCAAGAAGCCATGGTATCATATAATTCTGGACAATTTTTGTCCAGTCTTCAATCTCCCCTTTTGAGGGAAGATGGTTGAGAAGGCTGTGGTGTTACAGAGGAAATGAATTATCTGGCTTCTCTTCAGTTAAATTTCAGGCCCAGTTTTGGGACTGAAATAGTAGTGGTCATACTCATAGATGATCTCAGGTGGTAACGGAATGGAGGCGGTGCGTTCAACCTTGCCTGTTTTGACCTCTTGATGACTTTTGATACCAATGACCATGCTATCTTTTTGGGCTGACTTAGTGAGCTGGGGGTGGGTGGCAGTGTTATGTGCTGGCTCACCTCTTTCCTCCAAGGTCAGTCTCAATCAGCCTTGATAGGTAGCCCTATAATGTCACTTACCATTAATACAGTCTTGGAGGAATCCCCAGGATACCGGAGACTGAAGACGACCAAAGTGCCCAAAAAGCAGAAGAAGGTGACAGTGGCAATATTTCTTACATCCAGCATGGATTCTACCAATGGGATAGTGCCCATTGTCCAGTCACAACACAATTCAGAAGGATTCAGAAGCAGCCAAGCATTTACCGGAAGGAGGTAATTGAAAGTCAGCTGCCTCACAGGAGATGGACTCACAGCAGCTGGGTTATCAAACCTAGAAAGAAAAAGTTGAGTTAAGGTGCAGCCATATGACATGACATATAACAGAAGACTTAGGTTAAATCTCTGGATTAGATCCAGGATTGAGTGAAAAACGTATTTTGTGAAATGGATGACTTAAAGAGAGGTTGGAGGGAAAATGGTGATCCTTTACCCCCAACTTCCTCTTTTCCCTACAACAATGCTGAAGACAGAAGCCTTATTCAAAACAACGTGCAAAACGGGACAGTAGCAATGGTGAAAATTGCGGCCCCAACCTAGCTCAATTCTTGTGTTCTTTGCCAAGGGAAGGAGTCCTTCCATTCATGAAGGGTCAAAGCCTAGTTAGAATTCTTGCAAAGCTGCCTTGACCTTTTATTGAACCAAGGAAAAAAAACAATTTATGCATTTCTATAATTCAGCAGATACAAGCTGAGGTCCAAAGCAAGCAAATTAACTGATCAGTTAATCTGTTTAAACTGGGTTAGGCAACTTCTTAAAAGCCTGGTGCAAGCAGAACCTTACTCCATTCATGATTCATGTATCATGTATAAGGTCAGGATGCCCAGCAGATTGCTTTGCTGATACAGACACGATTAACTGCTCAGATCACCAAGGGACTTCTATTGCATGTACCTAGCTAGCACTGTGCAAGTCCTAAGTGCCCAAGTGCTATCCTGTAGTCATGCCTGTAATATTTTACGAGAAATATGTTAAAATGCTCTCTCTTCTGCCAAGCCTTCTTTACATAAACGTTGGACAAATGCTTTTTATTTCTGCTTCCCCCCCCTTCACTCCTTACTGTAATTGGTTTTTACATTTATTGTTTTACTGTACAGTTTGTATGTTGTAAACTGCTTTGAGATGCTTTTATGAAGTAAACAGTATAAATATATATTAAATAAAACCACCAAGTTAATGGACTACAGGGTACATTGAAGTCCACCCAAAAATTATGCAAATAAATACTCAGGACAGGGATAGCAATTAACTCAAAAGCCAGCAATTGCTTGGCTTCAAGCCAGCAAGTGCAAAGAGTCCACTGAAATATGGAAAAGGAACCAAGATATAAACTGTTGTGAGAAAGAAGAATAGTTGTTATGTTGACAGAGAAGCCTCAATTATTTAATACAATTTCAGCCTATTCACAGTAGACATTCTTATCTAACTACAGCATGTCAAGGGTCTGAGAACTTCTGCTGAGTTCAAACCTGCCATCCAAAGTAAGCTGTGAATAGTTGATTTCTGGAGATCTACGACTGAATCCTGGATCAGGAAACATGCAGAAGACGGCTGCATGCATGCACCCTGTATTTTGCAGATGAGCAAACATGAGAACAGCAATGCATACTTTATCTTCTATCCAATTTCAATCCCTATACTTACAGGGGAATCCCTGAATAGGCTTATGAGTTTGTTGAAACAGTAAACATAACAAAAGATCACAAAATGTTTAATGCATAAGTAAGATAAAATATATATCCTGAATACGAAGCCAAGGAGTAGGAATACTTCTTCAAACAGAAATATTTGTCCACTTTTCCCCAAGTTCCTTCACTATTACAAACAGTGGAATTTACCTTGTAAACACCGGTAACTGGGACTGAATAACTTGAACTCTGATCACAACAAGTAGTAGGGTACTGAACATCAGAACAATTAGTTTCAATAGCATTTGAAGCATACAGTAGGGAATGCTGCCTTTGCCTTGAAGAATGTGTAGCACTGTATACCAAAGAATTGGCACCGTATACTAGACAAGGAAATAAAAACATAAAACAATATTCAAATGAATCTTCTGACACCATGTATCACACAAGCAAACTTCTTCAATATATAATGCAATCCAAGTGTGTAGGTCTACAATTCCCCAAATTCCCAAACAAGGTAGCAGTAATTCTGGGGATTTCATTCAACTGAAACCCACCAAGTGGGGAAAAAAAGAACCTTCAAACAGGTGGTCTGCCCTCTTTATTTCAAAGGGAAATATTTAAACAAGTTTGTCTCATTAATGTAACCAAACACTTTTAAGTTTTATTCACCAATCATACTGAGTTCTGACATACATCAAAATATTTTTCAATTCAATAAGCTATTAATGTTATATTCACTGCCAATACATTTAACATAAATCCAATGTTTAGTGCATTTCAAGTATCCATTAACACAACAATGGCTGTATTCTATGCCTACTAGCATGCTTAGGTCCTCAAGCCATACTCTGCACCTATCTGTCTTGTAGAAAGTAGTTCATGTTACCTCCTAGATTTAGAAGAGTCTTAAAAAGTGAGTTGTTGTATTATGGCAATTTAATTGTACTATAGTCTATTCTGAAGTTTGCTTGTTCTCTACTGACCCATTTCTTTTTCACTGGAAAAAGGTAACCATGGTTATCATGGAAAGGTCTCCAACTTAAAAAAAAAATATTTTTAAGGTTGATGTAGTTGTACCAGAAGTAATGGGTTATAGGCAGTGGTGGGATTCAAGTAATTTAACAACCGGTTCTCTGTCCTAATGATTTCTTCTAACCAGTTTGCCAAACTGCTCAGAAAGTTAACAACCGGTTCTCCCGAAGTGGTGCAAACTGGCTGAATCCCACCACTGATTATAGGGGAAATAATTTTAATAGATAAGAACTGGGAGGTCTCTGGATTCATTTGCCAGTAATTCAATAATAGGATCAAAATTTTCATTTGGTATTTTTAGTTTTGGACAAAATCTATTGCATGTGAGATTTCATTGGTATCTTGCATTTGCATGGGCCTTGGAACTCAGGTGAGGTATGAACTAGTCCAGTGTTTCAAATGTGGCAAGTTTAAGCTGTGTGGACTTCAACTACCAAAATTCTCCACCCAGCATGTGACTTGGAACTCTGGGAGTTGAAGTCGACATATCTTGAAGTTGACAAGTTTGAAAAACATTGATCTAGTCAGTCTGGAATGCATTTGAGTGTCCTCTTTAGCACAAAGAGATCCCAGATAAACATTATGGTACTTTCAATCCTATTCTGCAATACAAATGTTGGGATTAAATTATTCATCTAGATATATTAATTAATCACATACTCCTGTGAATAGAGTGTGATATCACCAACTTAAATAAATGTATCTAAAGGGAATCATTCAAATCCCATAGCCAAGTGTCTCCAAGTGACATATTTTAATTTCAGATTTGAAACTGAATCAGATAAATTCCTTACCCCTTGAGCAATAAATACTTCATAGACACAACATATCCCCACCACGGTTACTCCTTGTTCCTTACATAATGTAGCAACAGCCACCAAAAAAAACTGTTGCTGCAATAGGAGTCCACACTGCAATGTTAAGATACAAAAATAGTTAAGTCTTCATGAAATTGGGAAAAGCAACATTGCAATTCAAATGTCAGCCTGGAAATACTTCCTCACTCTCTGAACATTGAATGTACATTGTCTTGCCAAATGGTTTTATTGAAGACCGACCACATTTTATAGCTATTTAAGAATAGAAGTACCATCTTATACTATAAAAATCATTTGTAGATGCCATGCCAAGGTATAGTTCTCCAATCCGGTGCCATCCAGAGGTTATGCCACAACTTCCAAAATCATATGGCCTTTGCTCTTGTTTCCTTAAATTAGGATTGGGTGACCTTTTACAGATGTGGGCTTTCCTTAAAAATATTTTTTGTGGTGAGACACGTGGTGGCAGAGTTGCAGCCAAAGAATGATTGATTCAAGTGCTAAGGGTATGATTGGACGTATCTCTCTCTGGCAACTCATATGCTTTCATTTTAATATATGCTTCACTCTTATCCATAGAACAGGGGGAAAGGAAGGGATAGATCTGGACTGATTTGCCACACAGTGATTTGAAATCACACAAACCACTGCAACTTCCCTATCTGGGCTTTAAATAACTACATTGAAGGTGTGGGGTGGGGGATGAATGATTGTCCACTCATTGTTTGCTTTACCTATAGTGTTTTCAGGCCCTCTGGATCTGGTATAGGACAGAAAAGCAGCTAGAAAAAAGATTGAGGAGAGAAGTTCTGCTCTGCCCACCACACCAGTTACCTAAATAAAAGATACAGCAATATAAATCATTTAAACAAAATAAGATAAAGCATTAAAGTAATGGACAAAAAAAATCTACATATATTTATATTTGAGTTCTGATTTTTCATTGTTTTGATGAAGTATGCAAGGACAGAATTAGACTGCCATCATGTGGATAAACAAGGAAATGCCTTCATTCTGAATTAGTATTATAAGTAAAGATGCTCTGAGGTCAAGCCCAACTGCTGTAACACATCCATGGACTTTTCCTGAGGATAGCATATATATCAGTGTTTCTCAACCTTGGAAGCTTGAAGATGGGTGGACTTCAACTCCCAGAATCCCACAGCCAGCGCTGCTGTCTGGGGGATTCTGAGAGTTGAAGTCCACCCATCTTCAAGCTTCCAAGGTTGAGAAACACTGATATATAGTACACATAGTATTGCTCTTGCCTTTTTCCAGGGTGCTTTTCAAATTCCCAGCCCACATCCCCAGATCAATCATGGCTGACTTGCTTGGCTTTAACTTGCAGAACTTAAGTAGAAAACAAGTTGCCATATCAGAGATGTTTTATTTTTAATCAGGAATTATTTTGGAGAAAAATGTGCATTATCCCAAACAAATGTGACCTAGAATAAACTTTTCTTTCTTTCTTTCTTGGTTGCGTGACATAAATGGATGGGTGGGAAAGAGAAAATAGAGTAAGAAGTGACTGACTCATTCAGAGACCAAGAATGAAAGAAAATGTTGATTGCTCCCTGAATATGTGCTTAGAAAAAGCTCTTTGGATTCAAAAGACATGATGTAATCTGAGCACTGTGTATGTACATTAACAGTCATTTTGCCAAGCAGAAGCACTGCCAAACATATGACCTTGGAATGTTCTTGACACAATTGCACACAGAGCCTTCAAGAGGACAAGCTGCCTCACAGCTTTAACAAGAGAGCACATTCACTGCTTATGCCAGTTCACTTCCTAAAGCACACTTCAAATGCATTAACACAATCATGTGGTAACTGGAAAGGTGATGTCTAGAAGTAAATGATAGGTTTAAATGTAGATGTATTTGAGAATAACACCCCCTCCTCATTTTAACATCCCCCCCATTTCTTTAAATTGTGTTCTCACTATCATCACCCTGCAATGTTTCCCTACACTGTTTAAGAACTCTCCACAGTTTGAACTAGCAAGATTTTTAAATTTACTTACTGCTTCAGTATGTATGGGATGCACTGCGAATAATAAAGATGCAACCAAACTGCTTTTGTTGTCTAAGAAAAGCTTACAGACTTTGAGGAAGATGATACAAACTATTGCATGGAAGATGACATTCAGGAAGTGGTAAGAAATAGCATTTAATTCACTGAAAAGATAGTTCAAACGAAATGTGAAGACAGTGAAGGGTCGATATGACTTATGACTTCTCTCCTAAAAAGACAAAACAAAGAAGTAAACATCACATAGAATAAAAGGAATAAAAGCTATTGGTAAAATGGAAAATTCTAAAAAAAAAAGTTTTAGAAGCCTAAACAGTATATGTGTCTTTCTCCTTAAAGATCATGCTAAACGAACAGCCAGATAGCCAAACTAGGCAAATCTGTTCAAATCAATCTTTTCCTCTCATCATATGCACACTGCACAAATCCACTCCTTTGTACATTGCTAAGAATGCAAGATTACATTATATTTTCTCTTCAAACATTCAAAGTAACATGAATAGGAGATTTGGAAAATTGCCAATGTCCCCCTGAGCCTTGGGGGCACTCATGTCAATTTTGTTTGCTTTGTTTGTTTTGCTCAAAAACATATCAAATCTTCTCCCTCAAGTTCTCTGTGTATAACAGAGTCTACTTGCTCATTCCAATTTTTTTCTGAAATATGATGAGAGTTTATAAGAACAACAGAGGCATATGAATTTCAGATAATCTAGTTTTAATTATATTGATTTTTCCTGTAGTCTTTAATATGCTGATGATCAAGATTTGTATCATGGTCATCATATATGTTGTAAATTAAAATGAATGAAAAATAAAATATTGGTATTTTGTAAAATATCATTGAAGGCTGAAATGACATTTCTGAAATGCAAAGTAGGGCTTACACATTGGTTCAATGCTTTATAAAAATGCTTTAAGTGTCGTGTAGAGATATTACCTCAGACATGGGTGTTCCCCAGAAGTCATTCAAAAAAAGATTCTTAATTGGAGTTGAAGGATGCAAATCTTTATTGTCCAAAATGGCAGAAACATCATCAAAAACAAAGCCACAAAATAGACTGTTCCAGTAGCAAGCAGCCACTACTCCAAATATTAGTGCAAATTCCTTTGGGCTAACATAAGCCATCTTCTCCGGAACTCATGCAAACTATCTGTAAAACAAATTTCAGTTTGTTTTAAACATCTGCTTCCATCAACATAAATATACACAGTGAAGATTAACTGAAAACCAGAAGATTTCTGCTTATCTCCATAAGTAAATAAAACTCTTTTCACAAAAAAATTGACACATTTTAGCATAAAGGCTGTAGCTTTATATCCTAGCAATACTGCTTGCTGGTTTCACTCATTTGCTTCCACACAGACTTCAAAAAGTGATAACATCTGGTATTTTGCTAATTACGCTTTTGAAAAAACTGATCAAAAACATGGACTGGTTCATAAGTGCTTAGAAGAGAATAATCTATTCCAACAATACTTTCAGTAATGCTTTGGGGGGGGGGGGGGGGGGAGAGCCTATACACTGAGTTTCACTTCTAAAGAGATACGCATGGGTTTGTATTGTTAGTCTCGGGAATTATAATATCCCAATTCCTTCTCTTTCAATGACAAGAAAAGAAACCTTTGACTTCAAAAGAAAAAGTATGTCATCCTTAGGGACCAAATCACCTATTCTGAACTACCTTTCTTTGAACTGAGATATCTTTCCTTCAAATATTATTTTCTACTTTAAGAGTTAATCTTCTTAAAATTAACTGTCTCCTTGATAGGCTGCTGGCCATAAGTATGCATTAAAAATTGATCAGGAATTTAAGCCATGTTCTCTAGTTTAACTCTGGGCACACAAATACATAGAACACACTTCCTATAAATTGGAAGAAATAGCAAGAGGGAAGAGAGTAACAGGTGATTATAGATAAATTAAAATCATATATATTACTTATTGATCAGAAAGTAACATATATAATTTGCAATGAAAATATATCTCCTTTGAAATAAATTTTATTCTGAAAGATACTGCATTAATCTATAAGTATAATAATAATACTTTAAGTTCTTAGATTGCTGTAAGTCTTTCAGTACTTTTCAGCTAAGTACCATACCATAAATATTTTTTAAAGTTTAAAGGTAAAGGTTGCCCTCACACATATGTGCTAGTCATTCCCGACTCTAGGGGGCGGTGCTCATCTCTGTTTCAAAGCTGAAGAGCCAGTGCTGTCCGAAGACGTCTCCGTGGTCATGTGGTCGGCATGACTAAATGCCAAAGGTACATGGAACGCTGTTACCTTCCCACCAAAGGTGGGAAGTTTACAGGTCCTATTAAACAGATTAAAGACTTTAAACTGACTTATTAAAACATAAGATTGTATACTATGGATGTACCTTTTCAAACAATATAAATCTTAACCTGCTAGCAAGCACTGACATCTTGGTACCTGCTGAATTGTAGCAACTGCTGATATTCTTTCTGGATGTAATATTGAAATCAAAATCCCTAGACTCTTTAGTGAATCAGCAATTGCTGAAAATATATGGGCACTTGGAACTAGTAGTACTGATTGTAACCAAATAAAATAAAACAGCTCTTCTCATGAAAAAGAAATTCGTAGGCAAATATATCTTGCCAGAGAATCCCTTACTTAATAGTGAAACATTATCACATTAGTCTGGATATAGTTCTTATGACAGAGCCTTAACTAGGAGGTAATGATTTATGTAAAATTATATAAACTCAGTCTCTGAAGAAAGGTGACAATTATGGTCTCTTAAATTTATTACCTGATTGTTCTATCTCATAATAACAGAATGTCAAAATGTACATATAGAAAAAAGGGCTTTTTTTTTTTTACTGAATGAAATCAACCACCATTATAAAAATAAAGTTTTCAAAAGGATTGTACAAACATTTGATTTTATCAGTAATCTTGAATTAACATATTCAATCTGCTCACCAAGATGTTTATGCCCAGATTAAAATAATAATGCACAATGCAAAAATTTCAATCATGCATTTTATCTTAGAATGAAGCAATGATTAAAAATTTGGGTTGAGTGTCCAAAAAGCAACATTTTTAGAACATTTACCTTATCAGTCAAGCATAATATTTTTTTCATTTATGCATTTTCTTCAAGAGAAGCCATTTCTAAAATCTTTTTTCCAAGCTGTAGTACTATCAATAAATGATCTGTTACAGTGCTTATGGATCTTTACTAGGACAAAGGGAAAGAAAAATAAGACAGTCTTAGGAAACATATTTAGGTCAATTTCATTTAAGCCACCCTAACTCAGTTATCTTAAACTGTTGGAATTGCAGAATATACATACTCTTAAGCTATGCAAAATATTGCATGACAATATTAAGATTATCCAAAAATATAAACTGAGAAACACTTGTGATTAATCCAGTTATAAAATTAATATAGTATCATTTAGTGACTTCAATTGATTCCGGCAGAATGGTCACAGAGCAACACCATTGTTAAGTAAAACATGTGACACTGTGTGTAGAGATAGATACATAGAGATGCTGAGAAGATCGCTGGTTGCTGCAATCACATTCAGATAAAGTTCTCTCATACAGTATTCTATGCCTGACCCCATTTTCCCATTTTTTTGCCTCCTCACAGTGCAAAGAGCTTAAACAAACTATCCCTTCTCGAGTTTTCTCTCCAGCTCAGCCTTTCCTAACCATGTTAACAAGCTCAACTGTGACCTTAATTAGTTGATTAGAACCCTCCTTCTGGATGGCTCCCTGAAACTGATTAGACCTTAAGCCAATTGCTAACTGGAAGAGACTGGTCCAGTCCAAATGTAAGAGTATTAGATTTTCATCAGAAGCTCAGTGTGAAGCAATCTTGGACATATACTAAGAATGGCTTCCTTACTGTTTCTTCTATCTTATTATTTATTGTGAAGCTTATTGTTAAGATTAGGAGATGATTTTCTGCCTATCTCTGCATAAAGTGTAGAATAATTATTCCTTGCAGTTTCTGCTACTTTGACAGGGAAAAGGGGGATAGCAATATTGTATTTCACCATGAAAAAAAATCTCACATGCACTCTCAAATATCATATCAACTAATATTTTACTACCTCAGTTCCTCACATTCCTCTCCATTGCTTCACTCATTGTTTAGAAATGACAAAATAATGACATGATTTCAAAGAGTGTTGCTTATAAAGAAAGAAGGCTTAGTGAAAGGGCTGTGGTTCATGACAAGAGTATAAACTTTGTATACAAAAGTCTCCCAAACTTTTTAGTGTCTGCTTTTTCCAAGTAGTAGATGACGTGGAAAAACTCTCTTGGAGCCATAAGAATATTGTCAGGTACAGTAGTCAATAATGGATTAGCAGCAAGTCATGTTCCTATATAACCGATGAACTATCAGATATATTCTAAGTGTGATTCACAGTGTTAACCAGCTGAAAAAAGTTAGTATATAAGAATATGAACAAATCTAAATGTCTTTTCCAAAGGGTCCAAATCACCTTGCGTAACACAAAAATACAAAAAGTTAAAAAGAGAAGTTGTTCTTCATTTTGAGTGGGAAAAGTAGGAATTTTATAAGGGTCAACAGAAGCAACTTGATTCAATTTACACATATAATTTGGCTTAAAACAATGAGCTTTTTTCAATGAACAATACTTTCTAAATACAACCCAAATAATTATTTAAGACTCTTCACTATTATCTTTGCATAGTTACTCATTGCGAGTAACTGTGCATGTGAGTAGGGGATCTCTGCGCAATGGAAAGGAAAAATGTAGGCAGATATACCTGGAAGGATAGGTCATGTATGTATGTATGTATGTATGTATGTATGTATGTATGTATGTCCTTACAGGTGTGTGGGTGTGTGTGTATAAATACTAGAAGTTAATAAATTACCAAAGTGTCAAAAAGTTCAAGGAAATAGAAAAAAATTCTCCAGCTTAATTTTTTTTTCTTTATTTAATTGTTCATAGAAAGCAGTAGAAATGATCCATTTTCCATTATGCATGCAGAAGAACTTATTTTTTCTGTCAAGAAACAAAACAGTTATAGAATTCAGAAAATACAAAAGGAAATCATGCAAGGCTATTATGCAGAGTAACATGAACATTCAAAAGTCAAAATCTAGCGTTTATTAAATGGGACAGGATACAAGTCCTATAACAAATAAAACCCTCTTCTATTTTATATAGTTTTTTTATTAATTTATAATATGATATACAAAGAGAATAGAAAAGTAAATATTAGGGAAATTAGGGAAGGAAAAAGGGAAGTGGATAGTGGGGGGGAAGCAAGGGAAAAGAAAAAAAAGGCATTGACTTCTGACTCCTTTGGTGCAGTAAAATACAGCATTAACATCTACCCTCAACTTTTTATTTTTTCATAGTAATATAAACTAGCCATTTCTATAACAACAAATCTATCTAATCAGTAAAACCCAAAATCAAACTTTCATTTTTTCCCACCTCAAGCAAAGTCCAGAAGTGGTTTCCAAGTAGAAATAAAGGTATTATAAAACCCTCTTCTAAATCAGGGGTGTCAAACTCAATTTTATTGAGGGCCGCATCAGGGCTGTGGTTGACCTCCAGGGGCTGGGTGGGCTTGGCCGACTGGGCAGGTGTGGCTGACTGGGTGGGTGTGGCCAACTTGACGCCAGTCCCCAAACTGCTGGCATGTTTCCTCTTCATATTGGGTACACAGGGCCAAAGCTACGCTTGCCTGATCTTTCCCCTTCGCACTGGGTAGACTGGGCCAAAGCTAGGCTGGCCCGGTTTTTCCTCTTAGCATTAGGTAGACCAGGACAGGCCCGTGGGCCTTGAGTTTAATACCCTTGATTTAAATGGTCTTCCTTACAGCAAGTGTAAGGTAATGTGATTATTCTTACCCTATTTTATATATTTTTCAAAAAGTTTTATCTTTCCTCCTGTCCACAAATCTTATCAATACAGTAGTATGGAAGAATACACATTAATTTTCTTCCATGTAATGGGATTGTAATACCCCATTTGGTATGTAGGGCTATAACAGTGCAAATATCTAGATATTCATGAGATGGCAGCAAAGAGAAAGGAAAAACGCTAGTGCTCAACTAAATTTCCCATTCCTGGGTAGTCAGAACACAGGAATTGAGTAGGCTAGTCAACTTCTCACTACTTAACAATGAACCAGAAAGGCAGTCATGTATACAGTACATGCTTAAATAAACATACTTATTTTTTTCTGTATATTACTATAACTTGTTTGATTACCTGAATATCAAACTATCCATGAATTCCCTCCCAAAAAGTAACATTTTTGTATAAATGTTCTAGCTTATATGGATTAATCATGTTTTTTTTCTTTAGATTAGTTCTGAAATACACAAGTAGAGACAGAACCTTGAGTTTGACGCGCCTATTCTACACGATCCTGTCCAATTTCCAGGCATTCCTGGTCTTTCTCCTCTGCTCTTATATACCACAGGAATTTCTCTACAGAAATGTAACTTGAATTCATGAAATGAGTGACATATAAATTAAATAATAAAATAATAAAATTTGTGATGAGAAGAAAAGGGGTCAGGAAGGTCTGTTTTTATAAGCCCAGTTGTAAAGCTAAATATTCAGTGGCAGAGATCTTAAACTGCAGCTTAACTGGTATATTGAGCCAACCATGTCTTTCTATTTCCCTTAAGTAATCCAATACTGCTAAATGCTCAAATAGGATATTAGATCTAAGTGGGCATATGGTACCATCCTTCACCTATCAGATACAGTCACTAAAATCCAGAGGAGTATAGTATAATTGTTGGCAGACACACAAGGGATGAATGAAGATTGCCTCCAATTTTATAAATCACCAACAGATGACAGCACTGACAAACTAGAAACCCTGATGTGCTTTTCAGCTCCATTTTTTTTCTTTACAGTTATGAGAAAAAAAATTGTGCTGTCACTGAAACTAAACCTGCAGTGAGTACTGGTCAGTATGCTTTAGGCAATGCATTGTGATTGAATTTTTGACAGCTAATTAAAATTTACTGCATAATGCAGATTTATGACAATGACTGTTAATATAAGTACTGTGGATAGCTGGGCCCCCAAAAGTGTAAAGATGGTGAACTAGGACGAGTTGATATGTGTGATCAACAACAAATGGGCAACCTGTAACAGCAAACCCACAAATTTTATATGAGTTATGTTGATGAACTGATTGAGGACAATCAATAGATCATGGAAATGAAAATTGCTGTCAAGCTTGGCATTTCACAGAATGTGTTGCTCAATATTAGAAAGTTTGTGCTAGATGGGTTCCTTGATGCTGATGACAAAGATGAACACTTCCAGAAATGAAATTTGTCAATAATTGCTTTCAAACTGTAAGAATGAAAGTACATAACATTGTGACAGTCAACAAAACATGGGCACTTTGTTATGACACAGACATGAAGCATCAGTCCATGGAACACTGTCATAAAACTTTTCCAACGGGGGTAAGAAGCTCTACGCTTTGGCAGAAAAACTCATGGATACACTTTTCTTGGAATGCAGGAGGTGTTATTCATAAGGATTTTTTTGAACCTGACAATATTATGATGGCACTCAAAGAGATGACACTCAAAACTTGGAAACAATTAAGAGGAGTTTGGAAGCATAACGCAAGAATGAATTTTTTTTCAATGTGATAACCTTAGGCCTCATATCTCACAAGCCACCAAGAAGTAATTGCAAAGTTAGATTTCACATCTTACCCCTTCTAACCTAAGGTTCAGAATCCGTACCATGTGACTTCCACTAATTTCCAAAGTGAAAAGAATACCTTTGTGGGTATCTATTTAATTCAAATGAACAGCTGGAAGGAATTGTCAGGACCTGATTGAAAAGGCAAAGTATGAAGTTCTTTGTGATGACTTTAAGAAACTATTCCACCACTGCCAGAAGTATGCAGTAAATGGGGCTATGCGAAAAAGTGAATCAAGTAATGAAAGAGCTCAGGAAAATGGTAATTTAAAAATATCCCCTATTTAAATTAAAGTTATGGAAGGAGGCATTGCTCCCAATTAAATATTTATATTTTAAAAAATAGTTGAATGTGCTCTTACAATATGCCTCTTTTGGTGAGACCCAAAAAAATGATCTATCTGAAAGCAACCTGGAAGGTAATAATCTTCTAAAATAGTATTATCTCACTATCCTCTGTCTTCTCCCTGATGCTTATTATTATACTAGTTTTAACTGTTTTTCTGGGTAGCTGTACAGATTTCTGAGCAAAACATTGGCCAGTTATCATCTATATTTTTATTTTTTAGAATTTCTATGGGTCAAGTATAATTTGCGTAAGATTATGCTGATAAGCTTTTGGACTTCAAACATTACAAATTCTGTTTAGAGTAAACAATAAAATCAGATAGGGTAGGGAGTCTGGCAGAATGAAATAAGTTATCCACAAGGACAGTGATGTGAATTCATGCCAGATTACAGTACTTGTTCCAAGAAGATATCCATATCCGAGCCGTCTTTTCGAATGACATTTCTCCTTTAAAAAAAATTCTGGTAAACTTCAAAACAGTCTTTAATGTGGCATGTAAAGTCCCCCCCCCCCAAAAAAAAAGATTCCACTGGGGAAATGAAAGCCTTTGGGTATATGTAGAAAAGACCAAAAGTAATTGAACTCTATCCTGAATATTCTACACAGCTATAAAGTACCCCTGCCCCCAAGGCAACCGACTCTATAGTATTGGAATTGAGAAATACTGTATGCTATTTTTGTACTGACTGCTAGGTGTTCTAAATTGCATTAATTGCTTCAACATTTACATACGCACACAATTAGCTATGTAACCATCTGCCTGATTGTTAAGAAAATGTACTGATGGGGCAGCTGTAATTTTCTTATTGGCATTTAGGACAGAAAATGAATGGCTGATGTATGCAGGATATTTATATAAAGCACTGATGTTGTTCTATATGAAACCAAGTGTTTGGTTTAACTAATATTGTTGACAATAGCAACAATACAATTTCATAGGCAACCTATGTCTCATCCTGACTATATAATGAATCATTTTTGGGTTTTGTGCCTTCAAATCAGTGTTGACTCCTGGTGATTGCCTGTACAAGTCCCTTCAATTTTCTTGGCAATATTTTTAGAAGTGGTTTGCCTTTTTCCTGGAGCTCAGAGAGAATGAAAATCACCCAATTGGCTTCATACCTAAAGTAGAATTAGAGTCGATAGTGGTTTCTAGCCTGGTACCTTAACCATTACACCAAACTGGATCTCTATCAGTGCACTAAAGCCCCCAAATTCTTCTTTCTGTTGAACTTTATCTCTTATTATTTCCAGGTAGCTCATTTGGCATCAATTAAACAATTGGTTAGTCCTTAATTTCTTTGGGGATTTTCCCCTCCAATTTCCCAGTCTAGCCTACATTCCTGAGTCTCCCACTTAGATACAAATCAGACCTCAACCTCTTTATAGGTTTCTTTGAGTTAAGAGTAAAATCAGCCAGGTGCAATAATTTGCTGAAGCCTTAATAACTACAGCTTTGATATTTCCCAGGCTTATAGAGAAGCAAAGAACTGAAAATATGAATAAAGAGAATAATGTTACAAAAAAGTTAAACACTTTAAAATGTAGCTAGAACAATGAAGTCCAATATATCAGAATAAAATGAGCCCAAGGTAGACAAAATGGGGGGGGGGGAAAGGGGAAGAAACTCAGTGGCCAGAATAACTTTCACGTAAACATATCAGATTCATGCCAATATGAATACTGTAAAGTATATATGCCACTGAAATCTAAATTGTATCCAAGAGTTAAATTTTGATTATAAACTACCACTTCAGGATACCCAACTATGTCATTAAGAAATTAATGCATGTAGAAGTATTTCTTTATCCCACTTCCAAATTATCCAGAAGATGAAATTAAGAACTATTTATCTCACTAGCAGACTTCATACCCTTTTAAATTGGGTAAAGAATTCTGATTAATATACCATGAAAAGTTCACACAATCTTTACAAAATATAAGCAATACACAAAGTTTGCAAAGACAGCATGCTCCAGACCTAGCAAAAGTCATACTTTTGCCAAAGAAGCAAGCTATAAATGAAGCAGACAGGTCAATTTCAGAAGGGCTTTAATTAACAATATCCAGCGTTGGCCCTTCAAAGTGAACACTAACAATACTGCATTATACAGTATATGAAGTTGGGCCCATATGAATTATGCAGCTAGGTAACACTTAACAAGAATACATCTATAGATTCTGCCAAGCCCACAAAAGATAATCCCATTACAGTACCTAATTCAGGTCTTTATAAACGTCACGGGTGAAGCCTGCTAGCCTTTTTGGAAATTAGTAACAGGCAAGCGAGGGGACATGTTCACATTAAAGAGAAAATGAACGCAACCTACAAAAGATCAAACAAAATCGTCCCTCGGGCTTAAACTTCACATTTGACGGACAAGTTCTGGTGTTTTTCCTTCTCCGCCCTCCCCCGTCCTTTTTCTTTCCCCATTACCTTTGCACGGAAAACCAGCACGCGCGTTAAGTTACCCAGCTCCCCAAAAGATCCTGACAGACTCTGTCCCCGCGTGTTTCACTCCGCAGGTTCCTCTACTTGGGACTGCCGTGGATGAACCCCTTTCCCCGCCATGACTTACTCCGCAGCAGCTCCCGACTTAACTCGACATTAAGACCCCCCCAACTCCCCTCCCCACCCCACAAATCAGAACGAATGAACGAACCGGAGACTCCCTCAATTACGCATGCGCAGACATTCATTCTCCGTTCCCAGTAGAGCGCTCGCCGAGGCGGCTTTCGGCCGCTCCCCCACCTCCCTCTTCCCAGCATTCCAAGCGGCGGATATCGAAAAGAGATTGTCTCCAGGTCGGTGTTGGGCTGACTGGGGCGTGTAGTTTTTTTTTTTTTCCCCTACGACGCTTTCCCTGGAAAGGGAAACGCTTCGCTCCTTAATGTCGGGCTGTCCGTCCTTTTTTCCTGCCCAGTCGGCGCGAGGGTCCCGTCAGCTCCGTTCCCCAAGGAGCGCGGCTCTCTTTATTGGCCGAAATTCGTTTTTTTTTTCCACCCGCGCTAGGTAGCGCTTTGTCCGACTCGGAGCGTTTGTCAAACGGTTCGTCGAGCAAAGCATTTTGGGACTCGGAGTTTTCTTCGCCGACTGCCCTCTGGGCATTGTAGTCCCGCGGGAGTTTCGACCGGGCGCTCGGTGCAAGTTGGAGAGCATATCCGGGCTCTTCTGAATGTGGGCGAGGGTTGTTTGATCGCGTTGCTTAGCAGCGGCCGTCCCCACCTTCAACGACTGCGGAAGTCGGCGAGGGAAGACAAAGGAAAGAGGCTGAAGGTGGGAGGAGAGGCGGTGGAAAGTAAGCGAGCCAGCAAGGGGCGGCGTGGGCACCGGGGAGAGACGGGGACCGCTTCCCGCTTCTAGTCGGGGTCGAGGGAAGGAGGACCGAGTGGACGCTGGGATTTTATGCCTGGCATCCCCGGTTACTAAGTCTTCGCGGTCGAGATAGGGTGGTTCTTTTATATGCCTAAGGTGCGGTTTACGTCGCCCAGCCCAGTTCTTCTGGTGAAATAAAGCTTTGCAGGATTACAGTTCGCTTTGTTAAAGATACACGAAATGTTCCCTATGGTCCAAATGCAGATGGTCCTCGATTTACCACACTTCATTTAATAACCGTTCAAAGTTAAACGGCGCTGAAAAAAAAATGACTTACGGCCATTTTTCACACTTAACAATCTTTGTAGCATCCCCATGGTCAAAATTCAGATGCTTGGCAAATGGTTCTATACTTATTATTTATGACCGTTGATGTGTCCCGAGGTCATGTGACCCCCTTTTGCAACCTTTTAACCAGCCAAATCAAGGGGGAAGCCAGATTCATTCGACAACCATGTTAGCAAATTATCAACTGCAGTGATTCACTTAAACTGTGGCAAGAAAGTTCGTAAAATGGGGCAAAATTTCACTTAAATGTCTCACTTAACAACATAATTTTGGGGCCCAGTTGTGGTCATAAATTGAGGACTGCCTGTACGTGTGAAAGGACAGCCTGCATGTATTCTGCTATTGGTGAAACGGTCACTAATCCACAATGTTTTGGCATAATAGGCTCTGTCTCCCCTAGCATAGATAATTCTAAAGCAGCAAAGTTTTGCCCCCGCTCCTCCTTTAATGCTCAGCTAGGATCTTGAGAGAGAGAGAAGCATTGGATGGGCAGCATTACCAAAAAAGAAGCATACCAGATTTTGCTAGTGTGATCTCATGTTTTCCTGCTTGCCTTCTTGCACAAGTGTTGTGGTTACATGATTTGATGAAAAAGAAGGAGGAAAATGGTGTTTTGGAGAAAGTAGACCATTCCATTAAACACATTAAACACTTCAATTTGTGAAGAAAAGGTCTATCTCTTCGAATGATGGAAGCCATATGGAACAACAGCAAATAAAATAACATGGAAAAAATATTCTTTTAGCTTCTCCATTGTTCATAAAAATACCTGAAAAGAAACAGGTTTTGAAATTTTGAAACTCATAATCTTGTGAAGTGGAAAATATTGATCCATGTCTTTGCTGTCATCCCAAATAACGGTCTTAAAACTTTTATAGAAAGGTAGATTTTTTTTTTTTTAATGTTAGGAACCATCTTTCACTGAATGTGTTAAGGTAGAGGCTGGAGGACAGACCTCTGTTTGTAATGCTTTAAACTGAATTCCTATACTAAACGGTAGATTGGATTCAATAACTGAAATGATCTATGATTGAGCTTAAAAGTATGAAATTGCTTTGGTACTTGCTATTCATAATATGGGAACCCAGTTGCTGTGATTCATAGACCGATTTACATTATTAGTATGTTAATTATGATTTATTCAGTAAACCGTTGTTAAAATGTGACTTGGCATAATCTATTGGATATTTTACAAAATACGTTTTAAATAACTGAGCCGAAGTGGCGCAGTGGTTAGAGTGCTGTACTGCAGCTACTTCAGCTGACTGTTAGTTCAGCAGATCAGCAGATCAAATCTCACCGGCTCAAGGTTGACTCAGCCTTCCATCCTTCTGAGGTGGGTAAAATGAGGACCCAGATTGTTGGGGGCAATATGCTATTTAGTATACTGTTTTTAGTGTAAGCCGCCCAGAGTCCTTGGAGAGTGGGTGGCATAGAAATATGATTAATTTTAAAAAAAAAACAAAACAGTCCATGTCTTGTAGATAGAAAATAATGGAATTTTAATGTTACATGGCAGAAGATTGCACTACTTAAATTTACTTTTTTCATTTTTTACATTTTAATTGTCATGAAGGGTTCGAGTGCTGTATCTTTCTCACATATCAGCATTGTCAGGTGAGATGCCCCTTGGAAGATAGTTATATCAGCAAGTACAATCAAACTCATACCTCACAGTAGGAGAGAGGATCACAATATGAATGCTTACAGAGCCTCTGGGAGGGGGGTTTGAGATCTTCAGCTTTCCACTCTATGTACTTTGCTACCTGCTACACTAACCATGTTTTAGTTCAGTGTATGAACCTTATCTCCAAATTGAGAATCTTTAACCCGGGAAATGAAGAATTATAAGATAAGGTGAAAAAAAAGAAGAAATCCTTTCTTCAACAAAAACTTAGATCTTACTTCCCAGGGTCAAAAAATTGATTTTTGAATCCTGGAGAATAGTATTTGAAAAGGCCAAAGTATTTTTTCTTATATAGTATATAGCCATGATGGCGAAGCTATGGCACATGTGCTGGAAGTGGCACACAGAGGCATCTCTCCAGGCATGCCAGCCCTCGTCTATTGCTTTTCCGGGTTCCGGTGCGCACATGTGCTGGTTTTTGCGTGCTCATGAGTGCCAGAAACTGGAATACCAGGTGACCGGCACTCCAGTGCGTGTGTGCCAGGGAGCTACTCTTCTGGGTTCCGGTGCTCCCCTGAGGTCCCGCACTCCCTTTTCGGCACTCGGTGCCAAAAAGGTCCGCCAACACTGGTATATAGTATTAAAACAATCTGTTGGTTTTATTCCATAAATCTGATGGAATTGAAGTTGTCTCATACTTTATGTAATCTGTGTAAAATTAACTGTATAGTAGTTCTCTGTTAAAACACAATATATACCGGTAATAATGAGCTCATATTGAAGTATCACTTCTGGGATCTAGGAGATGTGCCTTTTCCATAGTGGTCCTGCCCTCTCTCTTCCCCTTGAGATCTGGCAAACTTCCATCCTCTTAACCTTCTGGAAAACCATTAAAACCTGTTTTTTCCTCCAAGGGTTGTGATACCCAGTTGGAGCTAAATGAAACAAAAAAGAGCATGTCACAAAACTGTGTGTAAATAATATAATTATAATTTTATCCACAGTTTCTTAGAAATCAAATTGAATTTAATAGTACTAGTTTAGATAGAAACAAGATTGGCAATCCTAGTTATCTATGTTTTCATAGGTACAGACATACAACCAATTTGTGCAATGAAATTTTTGAATCTATGGCCTTCCAACAAGAGAATTCCAAAATATTAAGGATAATTGTTCTGAAATGGTATTTGAGACATTGTAGTTATCCTTTGCATTCATTTACAATCTGCCCCAAACTTACGGTAATCAAATATTTTATTAATATAAAGATTAAAAACAGAATTAAAAAAAGGAAATGGTAAAGGAACCCCTCAACATAATATCAAGTTCAAGGAGTAGAATGCATACAAAAACTGAAATTGGATCATTTTCAAACGTAAAAGCTATTTTACAGGTTTTCTTATTAATTTTTACAATAGCTCCCATCTCATCTGATGGAATTCTTAAGTGATTACATTGAGGAACTATATATACATGGAAATAAAGAGAAAAGACCGCCCTGAGTCCTTCGGGAGTAGGGCGGTATACAAATTCAATAAATAAATAAATAAATAAATAAATAAATAAATAAATAAATAAATGTTTCAGGTGCATAAATAAAAAAAATTGGCTTTTAGTCTTAAAATATTTGTTTGACTCCTTGTATCTAGTAACATTTCATTTGAGAGTCAGTGTGGTAGTTAAGGGGTTGGACTAGGAAGGGCTAGGTGAGGTTCTATTTCACCCTTGGTTAATGCAAACTTAATGAATGCCTGTGGACCAATAACCACTCAGTCTAAACCTGCCTCACAGAATTTCTGTTAATGGGGAAAGTAAGTCCTCTACTATTTTTAGATATAATAGCTTACTAAATAAAAATACTACAAATGCTATATTAAATATTTCTGGTAAATGTAATATAACCTTTTCAATGTGACTACTTTTTTTTTTTACAGAAGTAAATGAATATTCAGGATGGCACCTATTTTGGAATGGAAGAAAATTATGAGAGTAGATCCTGATGCTTTGCCTCGTCAGGAGGAACTAGCAGATAGTTTGCTTGAGACTGTGGCCAAGGTATTTTGCATGATGTTTTCAATATGTCAGTAATTAAAGATATTTTAATGTGTACTTCTCAAATATTTATATTTTATATATTTTAGGTTGATGGTAATGCTTTGAAAGATGAGACTCCTGCACATTTAATTCAGCTTTTTAAAATTTCTCAATCACTAATGAAGGTCAGTATTGATGTATTGTTAAGATTTCTAAATAGCATCTTTATAAACATTTATTATACTTTATTTATTTATTTATAATATAATCCTAAGTGTATAGCAATCATCAAACCACTATGAATAGAGGAAAAATGCTACCCTCCCCCCCAAAATACATCACATGCCACCAAGATATCATAGTACTCCTGTACTAAAGTACACATATGCTGGGCTCAATTCCTATCCTTTTGAGGGAAGAGCTAGGTCTTCATGGCCCTCCAGAAAGCTAATAGGTTAGGGGCCTTCCAGACCTCAGGGGAAAGGCTGTTATATAAGATAGATGGTTGTTGTAGAGAAGGCACACCAGATGATATTAAAGGGGAGTAAAGGGGACCGGAATGCACCCATCTTATCTGATCTGGTGAGATCGACATATCCACAGAGAAAAGTAGTCCTATAGATAATTTGGCTCTGTGCCATTCAGGGCTTTAAATGTGATAACTAGCACTTTGAATTGCACCTGGAAAGAGACTGGCAGTTAATATAAACTCATTTCCCAGTAATCTAACACAGACAGTCCTCAAAGTGCTGAGTAACTTTGAGTAGTTCGGAGAACCAGCAAATATCACCTCTGGCTGTTCCCAGAGTGGAGTAGGAATGGGAATTTTGCAATATCCTTCCCCTGGAGTGGGGTGGGAATGGAGAGTTTGCAGTATCCTTCCTCTGCCACGCCCACCAAGCCACACCACATCCACCAAGCCATGCCCACAGAACTGGTAGTAAAAAAATTTGAATTCCACCACTGCTCTGAAAGTTTATCAAATCCATCAGTTGCATTGTAATCCAATAAGTAAGCATTGGAACAGGTTCTGTTTGTGTTTATAATTCCTGGAACCTCTGAAATATTTACAGATGTATATCAATAGTCTTGCAGCACTTTAGAAAGTTAATCCACAGATATTAATAAAAATGAGCATGGTTTGTTAAATATTTAAATAGTTTAATATAAAAACATTTATGAGGCTAGAAGTAGTGAAGAAGACAAGTGACCTAAGATTTCCTGAGAAGGGAAGAGATGAGAATTTTTTTTTCTTTTTGCCCATTCATGTACAGTCATTTTGAATGGTAAATATAGTAGTTGGATGAAAATGGGACAAACACACTTGTCCATAATAAACATAGAGTTGTAGTTGTTTTGGATTAATAAAAACAGCTCTGAGGTTTGTTTGTTTTTTACTTGTATACTCTTGTAGAAGAAAGAGTATAATTACATAAAGCTTATTCTTAGATTTTTGGCATGTTTATAACATATCAATATAACTTAATATTAGGGGTTTATCTGTAATAAACTGTATCTTATTTTAAACATGTTTTAATCCATATGATTTTATTTTGTTTGCAGCAGTTATTAGTATTATTTGCATTTTCCCTAATAGATGAAAAATCAAGAAGTAGAACTGGCTCTAGAAGAAGTTGAGAAAGCTGGAGAAGAGCAAGCTAAATTTGGTAACATTTCTATAGATACATAACTTGTAAACATCTTGATACTTTGGGGGAAAATACAGAAGTATCAATAAAATGGAATTTCCAGTTCCATAGAGAAGAAACCCTATTTAGAATTCAGAATTCAATATTGTAGGCTTTATTGTTTTGCTTTTTTTTTTAATTATTTTTTCTCTTTTTTTTTATTGAAAAGTTTTACAAAAAGAATACAAAAAAATTTTTCCCCCTGTTCCCCCCACCCTTTCCCCCCCTTTATCCCCCCCTCCCCCCGACTTCCCAGAGCAAAATACAAGGTATTTCATTTAATCAAACATAAACTAGATTAATCTACTTATCCTCAAAGTACTACCTCCGCCACTGAAACCTTAACTCCACTACAGATAGCCAAATACTTCTAATACTAACATTCATTCATAAGCTATTTGATATTTTCTTGTCTGATACTTATTTTGAATATAATCAATCCATCTTCTCCACTCCGATACGTATCTTTCTTGCGTGTGGTCCTTTAAGTACGCCAAGATTTTCGCCATTTCTGCTAGGTTTGTTACTTTCAATATCCACTCTTCAATAGTAGGCAAAGAGTCCTTCTTCCAATATTGCGCTACCAGCAGCCTAGTTGCTGATATTAAGTTCAAAATCAATTTAGTCTCTGAAACTGTACAGTCCGTAATTATACCCAATAGAAACAATTGAGTAAATTTCAACCTTCTTTTCAAAATGTTCTGCATCACCCACCAAATTTTTATCCAAAATGCCTTGACTTTCTTACAAGTCCACCATATATGATAATAGGTTGCGTCATTACATTCACATCTCCAACATTTAGCTTGCAAATTCGAGTACTTACATGATAATTTCTTAGTATCTAAGTGCCATCTATAAAACATTTTATAAAAATTCTCTCTCAAATTTTGTGCTTGCGTAAATTTAACATTTCTGACCCAAATCGTTTCCCACGTTTCCATCATCACTGGTTCCTGAAAGTTTTGTGCCCATTTTATCATACAATCCTTAACCAATTCAGTTTCTGAATCTATTTCCAGTAATGCATTATACAACCTTTTAATATGCATCTGACTTTGATCTCTAATCTGTTTCACCAAATTTTCCTCATTTTGCATAACCCCAATTTTTTGATCCTCCCTCCATCTAGCTTGGAGCTGACCATACTGAAACCAAGTATAAATTATCCCTTCTTCTTTTAATTCATCTAGAGATTTCAATTGCAACTTGCCCCTTTCCAAAAAAAAGAAGCTCTTTATAGGTAATCACCTCTATTTTTTGCTCTGTACTTATATTTTCTATTACATGTCTGGGGTTTGCCTATATAGGTATCTTATAGTTCAGCTTATATTGGTACTTTTTCCAAACCCTCAACAATGCATTTCTGAGTATATGACCCTTAAACACTTTATCCACTTTTTTTTCATACAACAAATAAGCATGCCATCCATATAACAAATCATAACCTAACCATAAAGAATGTTTAACATTCTTTCTTCAGTTAAGTTAAACCAGTCACTAATTTGTGATAAAGCTGCTGCTTCATAATACAATCTTAAGTTAGGCATTTTAAGACCTCCTCTCTCACGTATATCCTGTATAATTTTCAGTTTCACTCTTGGTTTCTTCCCAGCCCAAATAAAAGTATTAACCCCTTTATTGTTTTGCTTTTACTTTGCTGCTAGTTTTGAACTGTTACCTTTTACTCAGTTGGAATAGTGAGATTCTTCATTATAGTTCATTTATATAGTTTATTATAAATTTCGTTTATTCTGTTATTCTCAGTCAAATACAGAAACATTGAAAACATACATATGATGATGACTAATGAGGTCCAACTTCTAAAGCTGGGCCCAAAGCATCACACAATTTCAACTTAAAGTGAATTGAATTTTCAGTTTATAAAATGAAGAAAAAAGTTTCTTTAAAATAAATTGAAAGATGTTAATGAGCAATTGAGTTCACTCATTTTTAATTCTCTGAAAGAATAGGTAAGTATTAAATATGGGATATGCAAGGTTCAATTATGAAACATAGTATTCCTATATATAATATAATTCATACTATACACAGATAGAATCTACAATTAATTTTTTTTTTAAGGAGCTGTTTTAAATACTAGTAGAGAATGTGATCAGTTTTATTCTAGGTCTTATTTCAGTGTTTTTGTCATTATATATTTTGATAACTTTGTTCTTTTTTATGAAAACAGAAAATCAATTAAAAACTAAGGTGATGAAGCTAGAAAAAGAATTAGAGGTATGTTTATTTTTGAGATAAAATATCAGCTTTAAATAGCTTTACGAATCTTATTAATCTGTCTAATTTGTATGGCGCTGAATCTTCTAAGCTACAGCATGTTGTGAGGCTTGGTTTTCGCATTTTACGATTGGTAATTTTAAATCCTGCAACTGTTTAATTTGCCTAATATTTTAAATTTGGACAATATAAAAAAGGATCCTACTACATGTTTTAGAAAACTTCCTTGCATTAATTATTAATTGAGAAATCAGATTTTGGAGCATTTTTAAAATATAATACTTGCAGAGAATATGTTGAATCGTAAAGTATAATAAAGTGTAACCCTATTTTAATAGTTGGGAGTTTGATTTGTGCTGCTTACTGGTAGAAATAATGAATTAATTCAATATTTGTTAATTTAGTAGTTATTTTTCAGTATAGCCAGTCTAAATTTAATTTAGATTCCAAGACAGATGGTCCGCTAGAGTAAATAGCTAAATCTGATCTTACATTGCTTAGTTGCATGTTTGCTATATTTCAGAACCTTTCCATGAGTTTTATATTGTTTAGAATATGCACTTTTTACTTATTTTAATATAATGAAATATATATAACTAATTTTATTTTAATATTTGCTAAGATAGCACAGCGATCCACTGGAAGCCGTGATACTCGATTTCTGCGCGATGAAATTCGCCAATTGGAAAAACAATTGTCACAAAAAGACAGAGAATTAGCAGACATGGAAAAGGACCTAGACAAAGAGAAGAAAGTTAATGAACAGGTAAATTACATTAATCTTTATAGAGTAAAAGTTTGTTCGACAAAAGGCGTTCGACAATTTGAATTGGACTTTTATGATTAATCAAATTGACCTAATGGGATTTGGGACCAATTTTAGGAAGATGATCGTGAATATCTATCACAAACAGAGGGCAAACATATTAGTGAATGGAGACAAAACTCAGGTATTTCAGATCCAAAAAGGAGTGAGGCAGGGATGCCCCCTATCCCCCCTACTTTATATTTTGGCGTTAGAGGTGCTACTTAGAAAGATTAGAGCCAATAAAGAAATTAAAGGATTAAAGATTAGGAAGGAAACATTCAAAACCCAAGCTTTTGCAGACGACGTAGCCCTCATAATAGAAGATCCATTAGAATCCAGTTTAAAATTAATGCAGGAAATACAGGATTATGGAGAAGTGGCGGGCCCTAAACTCAATAGGAAAAAAACTAAAATAATAGTGAAAAACATGACAGATCCACAAAAGAAGAAATTGGAAGACTTATTAGGCCTCCAGGCAGTTAAGAAAATAAAATATTTGGGAATATGGATTACTGCGAGATTCTCCTCACTAAAAGATGATAATTATATCCCCCTACGGCACAAAATATATCAAGACCTTGAAAGATGGAAAAGGCTAAAATTGTCTCTGATTGGTAAAATAGCAGCGATTAAAATGAACATCTTACCTAAAATTCTATTCCTATTTCAAAACATCCCGATAACCTTAGATAAAAAATTCTTTCTGGACCTGAATAAACACATTAGAAACTTTCTATGGGAGGGTAAGAAATCGAGGATCTCCTTTAAGATACTCCAAGGCAAAAGAAATTTGGGAGGATTTGGGCTCCCTGATTGGGAAATATATCAAAAGGCGGCGAAAATAATTTGGATCAAGGAGTGGATCAAGCTACAAGATAGGAGAATCCTGACATTAGAAGGACACGATCTTCTAGAAGGATGGCATGCTCACCTGTGGGATATAAAGAACAAGAAAAAATCCTACTTTCATAAACACAACGTGGGAGGAAATTAGACAGAGGATTTATTCTAAGGTACCCAATTGGCTTTCTATTATGGAAGCATTGGTGGCCCCAAACAGGAGAGACGATTATAAATTGGGCACATATAAGGATATTCTTGATGGAGAAGGGAAGCTCAAACCTCTGGATTTATTGAGGGACCAGGGTTTCAACTTGGATTGGTGGAACTATCTACAGATTAGTTCAAGATTCCAAAAAGATAGAGATAAATTTGATATAGAAGCTAAATACAGAAATTTTGATAAAATTATTTGGGGAATAGACAAGAAAATGCTAACAAAAATTTATAACTTCCTATTAGATTAGGATAGGGCAGAGATCATAGCAAAAAATCAGCTAAATATTTGGGAAAAAAACCTGGGATATAGATTAAATTTTAACGACTGGGAGATGGCCTGGAATAGGAACTATAAAATAGCGAAATCGGCAACATTTAGAGAAAACCATTACAAAATGCTACATAGGTGGTACCTAGCCCAGGCTAGGTTAGCGAAAATGTTTCCAAATCTCTCAGCCACATGTTGGAAATATGGAAAAACGGTCGGCACCTTCTATCATCTATGGTGGACCTGTCCTGAGACCAAAAAGTTTTGGTCAAAAATTCGACACTGGCTCTGTGAAATAACGGGACAGGAGATAGTCCTAGCCCCAGAATCTTTCCTCCTGGGTATAACTGAAGATGGCCTCAATAACAACAAAACGCAACTCATAATCCAGATTACAACCGCGGCTAGACTAGCCTTTGCGAAATACTGGAAAAATAAATCTATACCCTCAGAAGAAATATTAATAAACAAAATCCTAGAGTGCGCAGAAATGGCAAAATTGACGAGTGAGTTAAATAATGAGGAGAAATCTAAATATTATGAAGTATGGGGAAACTGGTATAATTGGTTGAAGAACAAGATAAAAACATGATTTTAGGATATGACCTGTTTTGTATTCGAATTCGAGTTATATTGCATAGAATATTGTATAGCTAAGGATGAAGTTTATTTAACGTATGATTCACCAAATTGTATAAACACTGTACTTCTGAAGGAGATAGAGATTGTATATTTTCTTTTTATTATGGAAAAATTCAATAAAGTATATTAAAAAAAAATTGTTCTAAACAAATTAATGTTAGAATAACAATAGAAATTGAAAATTAAGACCTAACAATGCAAGATTTTTAAAAAGAAAATATTGTAAATTTATATCAACTTAATAGTAGTGATAGATACTATAAATTTAGGAAAACTAAAATTGTGTAATGAAATTGTAAAGATAACTATATGGAAGAACAGCCAATTGAGTCAAAGAAATTTACTCACAGATAAATGAATATAAGATTTTTATCTGAAATTCTTTCTGTTATTGGTAATACTGAATATTATCTATACATTTGATTTGAAAAATACATCTGATCATAAATAATGTGTGTGTTTTTTAAATGAAGCACTGGAACTGTTTCAAAATTGTAAAATTATAAGAAACAATCTAATATGTATAGTGAACTGAAAGAGATGCTCTCAAATTTACTAGTTTCAATAGTTCCTATGTCTAGTTTAACAAGTTAATATCTTGTTTTTAGTGCATTATTTATATATAAGAAGCAGTAATTATATATATATGTGTGTCTGTGGAACTAAATAGAGTTTATTCCCTACATTGCAGATTGACTGCACTAAATTTTGGAATTGGTAAATTATGAAGACCCAATCACTTCTGCTACTGGGTACTTCTGAGAAAATGTAGCATTATATAATTTAGTAGAAAACTGGCTAAACAAACTTTTGGATTGAAATAGAGGTGTTTTTTATTTTCAGTTAATGATTTATATATGTAAGGTTTGCAAATATGAATAATGATATTCCTAGAAAGAGGCTTCTGTCTTATCTTTGGATCATACTATATAGTTTCAGCTAACCAATTTGTCATTCTAGTTTACTCTTCGAAATGAAGAAACAGAAAATGAAAACAGCAAATTAAGAAGAGAGGTTGGTATGCCAATATAACAATTTGACACAAAATAATTTTTTGCACCTGGTGCCTACTTATTTGTTACACCTTGTGTACTTTTGATATACCACTGCTATTGTGCTTCCTTATTTCCATCTTTCCTTATCTGTGCTATGTACGCTAGATATAAGGATTTCCAATTTCTTAGAAGAAAGGCCATTTAATTTTAATTTCATCCAGTCATAACAAATGTTTAAAATCTTCTGCAATGACAAGATTAGTCTTTCAATCTAGGTAATTTCTGATTCAGTTTATGGATTTTCTTCATCATAAAGATATATAATATTAAGTTCTTAATGTGCTTGCTTGGTAAGATAATGCTGTATTACTTCTTCCTTTATGTTTTTCTCTTTTCTGTTTTGCCTGCTAAGTTTGGTCCCTTAAATTTTCCTCTTTTTTCTTGTTCTGCTCTTATTTTTTTTAAGAAAGCAAGAATGAAGAAAAAGGTGAGGATTAGTGTTAGTTTCTGTGTTCAGTGTATTAGCTTGTTTCAATAACTTAATTTAAAAATTAGATTCTTTAAATGTGAAAGGGCCAATTATAATATCAAGTCCCTGGCCATACTTGGTGCATAAATAAAAATTAAAGTATTTCAGGTGGCCATCTAGCCTCCACTAGAATATATCCAATGAAATGAAGTCTCTCTGGTTTATTAGTTCTAGTTCCCTTAGATCTACTAGCATATTTCTCAGTTTCAGAAAGTATTAATATCTTATCTTCAGCAGTTTCATATTTTAATCATCTTTTTCTGCAGAATGAGCAGCTTCGTCAGGATGTTATTGACTATCAGAGACAATTAGAAACACAAAAGGAAACACTTCTCTCAAGAAAAGAAGACTCAGATTACAGGTCACAGTTATCAAAAAAGAATTTTGAGCTTGTTCAATACCTAGATGAAATTCAGGTAAATTTCAAAGAGTTGCTCAGTAGAACAAAATGGTCAGACCTGACTCTAATTTAAAGGAGTGCAGACCTTACTGGTGTATTTTGGGTTCTTGGTTTTGGTTTTTGTCTAAGAATAAGAGCAAGGTGATTTTATATAAAATCCAAAGATTTGTCGTGTTTTTCCTGCTGTTTGGCATAATAAGCTAATGGCTAGCAACTAATCCATTATTCATTTAAACATATAAAAATTGTATTCCATGCAGAACTTAATTTTAGAAAAAGATATTTTGTAGTTCAAATTGGTGAGATGGAGATTTAGATTGTGTGTGTGTGTGTGTGTGTGTGTGTGTGTGTATACCGTATTTTTTGCACTATAAGACACACCGGACCATAAGATGCACATTAGATTTAGAGGAGGAAAGCAAGAAAAAAAATCTGCCTCTGCCTCTCAGCATCCATCCGTTATTCATCTTGCTAGCATCCTTGCAGCAAACAGCAAACAGCCTGTCAGCTTCAGCATGTTTTTGCAGCCCCAGTGTGTGGCTCATCAGGGTTCCACTCCGTTGCGCCCACCACCAGTCAACTGAGCTGAGCTGCTGTCACTGCCGGGGAACACTGGACTCTTCGCTGCCGAGCAGCTGATTGGCGGTTGGATCAGCCTCCTGGAATACTGCCAATCAGCTGTTCTAGGTGGCGGCAATCCCCGCTGCCACCGATCCCCACTGCCTAGAACAGCTGATCAGCGGTATTCAGGGAGGCTGATCCAACCACCAATCAGTTCCTCAGCAGCGAAGGCTCCAGTGTTCCCTGGTGGCAGCACCGAACGGCTGCAGCGGTGACAGGTGGTGGCGAACGCTGCCGCTGCATCAACCCCCCTACCCCACCTCAATAGTCGCTCTATAAGACGCACAGACATTTCCACCCACTTTTGGGGGGGGAGGGAAGTGTGTCCTATAGTGTGAAAAATATGGTATATATGAATTACCATTTTTTTAAATAAAGAGTAGTGAAATATCTGTAAGGGGAATAAAGGGGTGTAAATATCTTCAGGGAAGTCAGTAGCATAAATCATTACCAAATCTAGTAAGAAAAGTCCTGCCAATTTAGTACAATCAAAATTAAACTAGTGATGGGACAACTCAGAAGAAAATTTAATATAAAATGAAGGGCTTGGTTGTTAGTTAGAGCATAGCATGTCAGCCCATCATGCTAATGAGAATATATTTTTTCAGGTACCCTAAAACATGCCAAAACCCATATGTTGTTTTATGAACTAATTGTAATAATTTGTTTGGATGTCCCTGCAACTTATTATTATTGTTATCTTCTAGATTTTCTTCGGGGACAATTTAATATAGCTTAATCAATTTAAGAATTGCTTCTTATATCAAAACATACATTTCATGGAAATATGTCTGTTTTACATTTGTAGAATTTGACAGAAGCTAATGAAAAGTTAGAAGCACAAAACCAGGAAATGAGAAAAAATTTAGAAGAATCTGTGCAAGAAATGGAGAATATGACTGATGAATACAATAAAATGAAATTTATGGTGCAACAGTCTGATATTGCCATGGACCAGCTAAGAAAGGAAAAAGAGCAATATAGACTACAGGTATGAGTCACCTTGCATACTAGGAAGCAGATACACAAAATATTAAAATTAGAGTACAAAGGATTAAGTTAGTAATGTTGATTTTAGGAGTGCTAAATAGTACCAAATTTGAAGTTTATTTGCAATACACTTACCATAGCCTTATCCATTGAAAAAAATATCAGTATCTTTTACGTGTAAAATTGTAAGAAAGCAACTAGTTTCCAGTTATGTGTACTGCAAAATTCCCATTGACAAACTGTCAATAGCTTATATTATGAATTGTATCTCAATGCAGGTGCGTGAGCTGACAGAGCAACTTAAAGCAAAGAATGAAGAAGATGACCCACTTATGGCAGCTGTAAATGAAAAAGTGGAGGAGTGGAAGGTACTTCACAACTAACAACTGTGTTTTAGCGATTTGTTTTGTGTTTTGTCATAATTAAGATTTTTTTTTTGTCTCCTTTTATCTTGCAGAGAATTTTGGCTTCCAAAGATGATGAAATAATTGAATATCAGGAAATGCTGTTGACTCTGAAAGAGAAGCTGAAAATGGCCCAGTTGGATGCTGACAAGAGCAATGTTCTTGCCCTCCAGCAGGTTTGTATCCACACATTTGTGAAATAAATATGCACATTACTAAAAAATATAATGCAGTAATTATCTTCACAACCCACTTTTGTATGGACATATCTAGAAACCTATTTTAGAGAGTTGTATTTATTTTTGCAGCATTTTCAATATTTTACCACTAAATTCATTACTTTTAATTGTCCCCCTCCCCCCCCCCCAATAAAATGTGCTATATGAGTTTTAAAATCTGTTAACAGTTGACTTGAAGATGAAGCTGAAGGGACAGAAATGTTTGGTGAGGAGGTCATTATGTGTTTGGGAAGTTAATTGCTTCCTTAATAGAGTACATTTTAAAATTTTGAGATGTAGTGGGGTGGGAGAATGGAACATTGCATAGTTCCTTTTTGAGTAAGGAGAACTAGGGGGAGCAGTTTAATTGCATGGCCTCAACAAGGATTATTTGGTTGTTCCTCTCTGACTCTTCTAATGACATGTTCCCAACTCTCGCCCTCTACCCTTCAATCTCATGCCAGGTTTTCCCCCTGTAGCAATCTTACTTTTTGCCTACAGGGGAGCTCATGGTAGGCATCACGTACAAGTCATTAATGCATTAGTTTATCCTGAATTTAGGATAATCTGAAATACCGGTATACGTACCTCATGTCTATTTAGAAGAAAATGAAATCATTGGAGAGAGAGCATTTAGCTGTGATTAATTTAGCTGACATTGTCATAAAGTTGTAAGCTGTTTATTTTATTTTTATTTCTCTGCTTTATTTTTATTTATTTTTTTGCTCCCTTTGCTTATCCTTCTAGACAATATCTGAACTCTGTGTTGTAAGTACTTTTGTCTTTCTGTTGATCATTTTGGTGTACTTTAAGAGCATGTTCCATGTATTATTTATTAAGTAAAAAACTCTTTTTAGGGTGTTCAAGAAAGAGATAGTCAGATCAAACTGCTCACTGAACAGATTGAACAATATACAAAGGAGATGGAGAAAAATGTATTGATCATTGAGGATATGAAAAGAGAACTCCAGAAAGATAAAAGTAAATATTTGAAAGTGTTTCTGTACTAATGTCAATAGGTAAACAATAAAGAATTGATTGAATGTTTGATTATAGCCTTAAATGTTAGTTAAGAAGGAATGCAGCACATCGGTAAGCAGTTCATATGCTGACACTTAACTATGAGTAATAATATTAGGTGGGATTTTGAATTTATTTGTTCAGAAGAAAGGATGATTTCTTTAGGAATATATACCATAATAATGCATTTAAGGACATATTTCAGGATAATTTACTCATTCTTTTGTTTCACAAGCAAATATATAAGTAATAAGATATTTTCAACTTTCCATTGAAAGACTTCACTGGCCACATATCAAAGTTTTTCAGGAGTTGTTGCTACTTCATTTAATTTGTAAGCCTGGATTTTATGTCCCTGACTCCCTTGGATTAAATTTTTATAGTGAAAGGGAAGCTGATCTTTTTTTTTAAAAAAAAAGAATTTACTGATTGTTAATTTTCCACTATATTTTTACTTTCAATGTCACATATTGAATATATGTTTCTCCTTTCATTTCTATAGGAATATTAACTAATTAGACATTTATTTTTATTTCAGGCAGGCTATCGATTACTCAACAGGATCGTATTGGGGAAATGCAAGGAAAGTTAGAGATGCTGGAAGAGAAAGTCAAGGATAGTGAAAGGACAGCAGAACTTGCAGAAGCAGATGCAAGAGAAAAGGACAAAGAACTTATTGAAACTCTGAAGCGAGTGAAAGATTATGAAACTGTATGTCTTTTGATTGGTGAAAATATCTTCCAGGCAGAAACAGTCAATTTTCTTAAAGCTGAGAAAGGCGTTCCCTCACCAGTAGGGGGAAATGTATACCAGCAACTGATGGGACAGGAGCTTGGGAAGTATTGGGCCAGAATCAAAAGTTCAGGAACATAATTTTCTTACGCTATTCTCTCTCTCTTTGTTTTCTGCACCCATTTTTTATCTATTATTCTTGCACATGCTAATTGATTGACTCATTTCATTATATTATTCATGCAGTCACAACTTGCATATCATCACTTCTCTTGCAGTCATGCACATACACAATCTACATTCATCTATTTTTAGTTTGTTACATTTGCATTTAATGAATGTGCAAATAAGCAGGCAAAGGAAGAGTTGTTTGTCTTGGAAGTTTTCTCTTTATATCTCCTTCCATATTTTATTTGTTGGCTGAAAAATACTAAAACTGAGTTTGAAAGATAATTAATGGACTTCAGGTCATAATTCCAGTTTCTCAGATATTATATGTTTTATATGTATTTTTGATTTTAGATTGATAATATAAAACTATTTTCTAATCTTTTCTTTTCGAAGGGAATATATGGCCTGGAAGATGCTGTTGCTGAAATAAAAGGTTTAAAAAAACAACTCAAAATAAGAAATAGTGAAATTGAAACATTAATTAAAGAAGTTAATAAACTTGAATTTAAAATCAATGATCTTCTTGATGAAAATGAAGATCTTCGGGAACAGCTAGGTATGACCATATCAGATTTATTAGATAACGTATTTAAATAATATATTTAGCAGGTCTTCGTTACTTTGTTTTTTCAGGTTTTTTTTAAGCTGTCTTGAGTAGAACTAATAATTTCTTCATATGTAAATTTGAGCAACAAGCCTTCTGATTCTTTGTAGACAGAATGGCTGATTAAAGCAATTCTAAACTTTGGTCTGGATTTTAAGAGCATTGAGACGGTGCTTAGCAGAATGACACTTTTACTAACATTGGTAGTAGTATTACCATTGTGGGTGCATCTGCAGTATGGTAGGAAGTGGAAGTGGAATGAAAAGTGAGGAATTCTTTAACCATATGGAGGGATTTTTTTTCTTCAGATTTTGATCTTTATTTTCATTTTATTAAGTTTACATATTAAATTGTTAATATTAAGGAGCTCTGTGTTAACTAGGTCAGTTGGATTTGTACAAATCATCTTCACTGTCTCCCACTGATTTTTTGCCATCCATGGTCATACTGTTTTCTCTGTTACGGTAAGGAAATATTTCTGAAAAAGACTCAACCAGTCATGGGTGTTTTAGTTTATGTATGTCTGAATATGTGGCCCTCAAAACAAGAAAAACAATATGGAGTTACTTCTAAGCAGTTCCCTTTATTATTCCTCACCCATGGATAGAAATCTTGCCAAACTAAATAATTACTTACATCATTAAAGATATATTCAGAAGTTCTATGGAGGAGCTATCCCGATCCTCTTTCTCTCAACCAAACTATCTAAACTTTGCTGTCACTTGCTATCCTGGGAATCCAGACTATATTCCATCCCAGTATATGTTTGTGTGTGGGTATACATGCGTACACAAACACACACACACAAATACACACACTTTATGTATGCACACACCTATACACATACATATTAAGAATTAGGATTGTTTTCCTTTTTGGCATAGAGAACAAATATATGGAAATTCTGAGAGAATATTTATAGCTCAGGGTTTAACTACAAGATCTTTGGTGCTGTATGAGTTCGGTGATGTTCTTGCAGATGTTTTGTTACCAGACTATGGTAAGTAACATTATTCGTGCACTACCAAGCTCCGACAAAACCAAGAACCTAATAGTAAATAGTTAAGTCTAGAAGAATTAGTCCAATGCTACTACTATTATCAAAAGGTGGTCTGTTTTTGCCAGGTTTAGTAAGAATCTGCATTTTCAACATAACTGAATTTAGAAATGAATATTGGAGGAAAAAGAAAATGAATACAATGACTGAGGTTTATGCTCAGTATAGATACTTAACTAAGAAACATATGAAAAGTGTCAACAAGATGCTATGAGGGAACAGATACTCTCCCTCAGTGCACCTTTCCATATCATCCAGTCCAGCAATTACATAATCAAATCTACAGATAATCTCTAATGCATGATCTGTTTCATTTTAGGGCTTGATCCAAAAACAATGATTGATTTAACTGAACTGAAAAATAGCAAAGCATTAAAACAACAACAATACAAAGCTGAAAATCAAGTCCTGCTGAAAGAGGCAAGTAATAATTTTCACTTAATGCTTTTCATAAAAATTAAGGCACAAAGAAATAATGCCATTTAAATTCAATGCAGATTGAAAGATTAGAAGAAGAAAGAGTTACCCTGAAACAACAAATCCGTAAATTGGCTCAGGAGAAAGGAAGAAGAGCTGCAACTTTAGGTAAAATGGTACTTATTTTTTAAAATTTAGCAATGAGATAAATAATTAATTGATTTTTCTATCATTCCTGGATCAATCTAAACATATTTTCCAATATTTAGGAGTCAGACTGAATAATTCTATTATTTAATAATAATAAAGTCACACAGAATCACTTTGAATAGTGAGATAGGAGGCATACAAATGTAATAAAAAAGAAATAAATTCTTAGTTTTATTGCACATGTTACAAGTATGATGTAGTATTTCATTTTGAACATAGTATTTTCCATTAAACTATATGGAAAAGAATTTGCTAAATCTTAGTACTGTGTCTGACCTATATGTCTTTTTATTTAAGTAGTTTTAGTTCTATAATCTACATCAGGTTAATCAGTGCTGATAGTTCCCGCCTCTGCTTTATGTGATTCTTCACTTATTTTGCACAGTGGGATAAAAGTTTGAGCTGCTATTTTTTATATGATGTTGACATCTCCTGTCAGTCTAAGAGCGCCAAACATTGAGGATTTTTTAACATTTTCTTTGGTAAAGTCTATTTCTTAACTTTTACTTCTCAGATCTGCCCAAAGTTAATTTTGTGTGAAAATTTTGTTCCAAATAGGACTGGATGCAGATGATCTACAGCTGATTGATACTTTTACTGAAGATTTAAAGATGAAAAGAGAGAGATCTGAGTTAATGAATACATCTAACTTTGATAAACTTAAAACAAAGGTAGCCATTCTTTTGAACTTCCAATTTGACTGAATTCTGAAAGTATACAGGTTAGAAATAACTATTTATCACACACTGAATACAAGAAAATTATTTTAAAAACTGATTCATAATGTGTAATACTTTGTTATTTCCTTATGTGGCTGAGTAGAATATTAAGCATTGTTCATTTTGAGAATTATAGTATACATAAAAGGGAGAAGAAAGCATACTTTAGGATAAAATAATTATTTGTTTTTCTGAAAGATCTGTGGAATTAAATTGAGTTTTTCCAAGTTTGTCTGAAAAAGTGAAAAAGGTTTCTTTTCTCATTCTCAACTTGCTCCACAGGTACAAGTGGAAGATAACAGTGATAGTTCTAAGGCTTTTACAGTAGATGAGTATTACAGTTCACTAGAGCAAACATCCACAGAAATTCTAGGGACAGCTTTATGTTCAGTCAGCAATAAGAATTCGAACAGCGCAGATTGTCCAGTTTCATTTTCTGTGCTGGAAAGAACTGAAAGGGCTGATAAAAAGTATATACGAAGAGAGGAAAGGGAGATGAAGAAAACAGAAGCTTCTTGTCACATCCAAATGCCATTGTGCTCTGTACAGAAATCACTCTTGGATTTTCAGGAAGGGCTGCCATCTTCTCTGCTCAGGAAGCCTATATCATCCTATATAGTGCAGGAAATCCTATTAAAAAACGAGGAAGACAATTCTGAAATAAAATTGATGGATTTGAGAACAGATTTGCAAGACACCGGCAAAAACCTATATTTTTCAGAATCATGGCCAGTAGAGCTCTTGGAAGGAGAATATGGTCAGTCTTTGAAGGCATATCAGGTAGATCGAGTTGAAAATCTCATAAGACAGCTGAGGAGTGAAATAATGTTTCTTAGGTCAGAGGTGAGACACCTTCCATATATATTTTTAGATTACTATCTCACAGTTTGTAGTTGTCATAATAATGACTAGATTGTAATATTTATTTGAATGAATTGTCATTGACTGACTGGTCTTAACAGGACAAATGGGCATTTCCCTATTTTCACAGCAGAATTGTAATGCTGCTGTATAAGATTGTGCTGAGGCTAAGAAAGAAAGGGGAATGTACAATAATCCATCTATAGATGGGAGAATCTTTGTTAGATTTATCCAACAAGCCTTATCTTAGTCTATCGTGTAAATGTTTTGGAAAAAAGATTTTTAAATAGGTCCTGCCTTCATAACCTCATTTAAAAAAGAAGGGCTAAGGAATTTCTATCTTGATTTTTAATAGTTTGTAGCCAAATGTCTAATTCTTTGTTCCTTGCATGTACCCTACAATTAAGGAGCTTGACAAATGTTGATCATCTAGAAATTATTTAGTAATCACTTGATAGGCAACTATAGGTTGACAAGACATAGGTAGTATTAAAGCTTATTGATGCTAAGACACAGATAATTATGCACTAATTATTACTTATTCTTCAGAATGAGCAGATATTAAGAGACTTGTTCGCCAAGAACACACTGAATAAAAATGCAGAGCTAGAGTTTGAAAGATGCAAGAGCCAGAAATTTGAGGTAGTTCAAGGTTCCAAATATAATATAAAAAACTTTGTGCTTGTAGCATGGTAAGAATTAAATTATTTCATATTTTGTGACTAATTACTTCTTGGCCTGTAGAGTTTGACTATCATGTGTATTTTCAACTATACTGTATCATACACATTGTTGAAAATTTATGACACGTATGTTTTAATTACGATTCTTCAACCTCTTAGTTAATGATTTATTAACTAACTCAATTTTTAAATCTGCTCATGTCATTTTTGTTGACAGAATGACTATCTTGCCAAAGAATTAAATGAACGAGAAAAAGATTTGGAACAAAACAGGATTGTAATAATGAAATTGAAATCCAATTGTAAGCTGAACTTTTTTTTTTAAATTGCTTTAGTCTAAAGTAAAAAAAGAAAATGGCATTAAAACAATAAATGAAAATATATATAGAGAGAAAATTGCTCAGTTTTCTGAATAATATTGACAAATATTTTCATTATATCAATAGTGTCACTTCACAAGCAAAAAGTGAATATTGGCAATCCAAAAGTGTTAATTTATAACCCACGTTCCTTTTTTCAATAACAGTAAACTGGGTTATCTCAAAATGTAAGTTAATTGCATGAATAAGGGTCAGAATTCTACTTCCTTCTCAATGTTTTCCAAATATGTCTTGCAACTTTTAATGTTGAAAGTATAATAGAATTATGTCTAAAAGGGGGGGGTCAAGCTTCTGCCTTGATATTAGATGATTACAGCTTTCTAATTCTGCCTAAATCTAAATCTTTCTAATTGAAGGTCTGAGGCTCAATTACTTAAAAGTCAATAGAAAAATAAACGTCAAAATAATTGTTGATTGATAAAACTGAAAGCTAAGAAAATTGAAGATGTAAATTTGATAATACCTTATGGATTTATAGTTTATAGTTCCCATAGGAAATGTAACTACATGTAAACTCCATGACAGTTAGTGGATCAACCAAAATTAAACTTGGTCTCTGCTTTAAATCTTGCAAACTTTTGCATAAATTAGAAAATGGCAAACTCTGCCACGAGGGACGTATTGCCATGAGGAATATCCACAATACATAACAATAAATAGTAAACAACCCTAAAATGAAATCACAGATAAAATCATAAAACAATCAACCAAAATAGAATTCAATTCTGTCATCTGTAAACCAATCGTGTTTTTAGCAATTTTCTAAAGCCCTATTAAAACTAATCAGATTTCAGGAGGCAGGGAGTTCCATAGCGTTTGCATCACCACAGAGAAACATTTGTGAGCCTCCAGACCTTTAATTTGTTGCAACAAAATTTCCCACAACTGCCAACTGTCTGTTGTTTTCTGGATTAAATGAAGCTTCTCTATGAATTTCAAATCTCAATATAGAATAGTACGATAGCAATAAGGAGTCAAGCAGCTGTTTCAGGCCTGTCTATTAAAAATGCACATGAATGTGAACTTTTTCCATTCCATGGTGTCCAGATGTGAACAATATGCATTGTAATTGTAGTGAAAGAGTTGGTACAAGAAAACAAGCACCTTCAACAAGGCATGAAAGAAATTTTACAAGCGATAAAGGATTTGCAAAAAGATCCAGGTGTGAAAGATGGAGAAAGTGCTCTTATGATTCCTAGTCTGGAGCGGTTAGTAAATGTGAGTCTCTTGTTTTATTTTAATTATTTAGCTTAGTCAAATCTTTCTCATTATTCAATGGATTTCATGTTGATGAGTTTGTTAAAAATAGCACATGAAATAGGAAAATATATCAGTTATGCCTCTAGCTGAATATAGTTGAAAGTTTTACAGAATTTGAAACAAACTATAGCAACAATAATCCCTGTTTTTACCACCTCCTGACAGAATTCCTAAGAATGGGAATCTCCTCTAATGTCACCTAGAAGGCATGTACTATCTTTTTCTGTCTACAATGAATGCTTTGGGATTAGGATCTATCTGGAGGAGCCAAGCGTTTTTACCCTTATCAGAAGAAACAAAAAAAAAAAAGAGAGAGATAATAGGCAGTTGCTGAGACTGTTGCAGTCCATTCTGCAAAAATATAAACTGATCATACTTTGCATTGTAAATTACCTATTGTAATGGTTATGGAAGTGAATTGTGCATCAGCAGTCTTTCATGAATGCACCCATAACCCTAACCAGCACTATTAATATCATGCTGCTCTACCCCTGTATTCATAGATCTATACAAAATGTTTCCTATGCTCTAAAGGCAGAGATAGGTCAACGAAATCTTACTAAGCTGTTTGTAGTTGTTTTGTTAGTGAAGATAAGTACCAAATAATGGCTTGGGGTGAGATAGAGACAAAGACGAATCGAAAAGGCTTACAGAAGGGACCAAAATCAATTACCTGTCAGATCCCCCATCTTGGAGAAAGAAAAATCTCTAGTGAATGTTATTCCCTTTTAATTTTCTTGGTAATCTTTTGGAAATGGAAATGCCTGGTATTTATTGGTTCGATTTATTGGTTCGATTTATATGCCGCCCTTCTCCGGAGACTCAGGGCGGCTTACAATGCGTTAAGCAATAGCCTTCATACTTTTGTATATACCTGCTTAGTAGGGCTTTCGGCCCCCCCTAAGCGGTGTTCTTTTTTATACAAAGTCAGCTTATTACCGCCACAATCCGGGTCCTCATTTTACCTACTTCGAAAGGATGGAAGGCTGAGTCAACCTTGAGCCTGGTGAGATTTGAACTTGCAGTAATTGCAGGCAGCTGGTGTTATTTAAGAGCACTTTAGTCTGCTGCGCCACCAAGGCTCTTGCAGCCTTGCACACAAATTGATTCCTTTTGTTCTCCTCATTCTTTAGAATTTTTTTCCAAGAGAGTTATAGAATAATGTTGGTGTCTGATTTCATATGTGATATGTTTTTTATTCATTGCAATTCAGTAATATGTTTCATTTCATCATAGAAATCATTCTTCTAAGCTATATTAAGCCATAGAACATTAAACGAATGTTCTGTTATTTTAATCTTTGAATCCAGGAAGATTACTTGTTATAGTTACAGATGATAGGAAGCATAGTCCCAAAAGTTTTGGAAAGCACTGTCTCATGGAGTACTCAGACTACTACTAGAGTTCTATTATTTGAGAGGAACTGAAAATTTTCCATAATTTAATTGAAAATACTTACTTTTGTCATGAATTAATTGTTGACAGGCAATTGAATTAAAGAATGCAGAAGGACCTTTTGATGCCAGCTTGCATTTGAAGGCCCAAGTGGACCAACTGACAGGCCGAAATGAAGAATTGCGCAAAGAATTGAGAGAATCTCGGAAAGAAGCAGTAAACTTTTCTAACCAGCTAGCTAAAGCAAGTACAAAAGTATGTAGGTTACCTTGGCTTTCAAAATTATCTCTACTACTACTGGAAAAAAGTTAAAAGGAGTCCCATTCAGAGCTATTTGTGTTGCAAGTTGCTTTTAATGGAATTGCTTGTTTGTCTCTGGACTGCATTAGTGAATTATATCTGTTGTGATGCTCCAAGTGCTCTTCTGCTATACTTGTTTTAAAGCTGTTAAAATATATGAAGCTTTACATACAGTATAGTGTGATTTGGTACTATGGACTTCCAGGGAAGGTTTTCTAATTTATAACCATGGAATTTTGCAGTAGTTTTAGAGATTACTGAGATTTTTTTCCTCCCTGCATTGTTATTTTCTAATGTTTATTTTTCAGATTGCAAATCTAGAAAATGAAATTGATATGCTGAAAAAATCAGAAGGTGGCAACATAGTATTTAAATCACCAAATCTTCCAGAAGGGATGTCTCCTTCTAGTCTGAACATAATTAATTCCCAGAATGAATATTTAATACACCTTTTTCAGGTAAATAACATTAAACAAAACAGTATATATATGTATTTCTATATGTCCAATCTGTCAGATTTTTTTCCATATACAGAAACTGAACAAAAGTTCTGTGAGAACATGCACGTATAGTTTCTTCATTCATGAGAGTTAAACTTAATCAGTAGCTTTTCAATTAATTTTTTTTCCTAAAAACTAGTTATAGACAAGTATGAATGCTTATTATATAATACATATTATACACACACACAAAAATAGTATGCCTACATAAAATGAACATAGTATTTTTTTAAACATATGATTATAGAATTAAATCAATTATTGTTAAATATTAATTCACTAACTTCATTAACTTCAAGAAGACAGTGTTCCAAGCAGTAACATTGGAATTGAAGTAGAGAAGTATCATATTTTTAATTTACGTGTATTATTAGGAATTTGAAAACAAAGAACAGCTCTTCAAAAAATTAGAAGAGGCAATAGAAGAATATAAGAGAAAATTTGCAGTTATCCGCCATCAACAAGGCTTGCTGTATAAAGAATATCAAAGGTATAGTGATTTTTCCTTCTGATTCTTTTGATTAGAAAGTCAAAATATCTTTGTTAATGGAAGAAATGAGAATTTTGTCTGCTAATTTTTTTTGAGCTGCCCTATGACCAGGCTATTACAAATTTTTAAATTGATACTCTTGTGTCAAAAATTAACCTTTTCAAATCATGATAATATTACCTTTTTCTGCCTAAGACTTGAAGTAGTTATTCTGGTTGAATATGAAAGAAGAGGCAAACGAGCAGGAAAATCAGTATCTTTCTATATTCAGCATCAGATAAGATACCAAATTCTGTCTAGATTAAGTAGTTTCTGAACACATCTGTTCACAATTATTACAGTACCTAATAAGAATTCCTGTCTCTTCAGAACCAAGATCTAACTCTGAACCTTTAAAAATTTAATTAAACAAAGTATTAACAAAGTATTTATTTCCTTAATGAAATAAAATAGTGCTTTTCATTTGATTTATGAGATCTGTGACTTTTTTTTTTTTTTGGTGCTAAATTTACAAAATCTGTTGAGTTATGGATTTGTAAAGTTAGACCATCTGCATTGTATAGTGCTCTGGTGGTATTCTAATATTGATTATATAGAAAATAATGTAGTTTAAACTTGTTTGGACTAAACATGAGAGGCAAAACAAATCAATTTGTGATACCAAAACATTCCATTAACACTGTAATATTCTTTCTTACAAGTTCCGTTTTGTTCATCAGTTCTTTTTGAGAAATTGTTTTTAACTTTTTAATCTAAACTTTCAAATCTAGGCACCCAAACTTGTTAAAAATATATTTTACAGGCTGATAAAAAGGAATGGCTTTAAGTACGGATGCATTTATTGAAAAGCTTCTCTCTTTTTTTAGTGAAAGGGAACACTGGAAAGTTGCTAATGAGAAAATACTACAAGAAAAGAAAAGATTGGAGTATCAAAAGGAGGAAGATGATATAAAAATAAAGGAATATACTGTAAGATTATTTTCATTTGGATGTAGTAAATTTTAATTTACATGAAAACAGAAAACGTTAATTAACTATAATCCTAAGAATATCATTTAATAATTTTCCCTACAGTATTAGCAAGGGGTCTTTGATTTGCTAAGATTTTCACTTTGCCCCATATTTATCACTAGATACAAAGAGGAATAGAGAGGAAAAGCTTTTTTCCTAGCTGTTAATGTACTGACTGTATTCTCCAAATAGATTTTTTTTTTTGGAAAAACACTTGGGTCTGAGGAAAGGTGGAGTAGATTGATGGTATGAATGAAGCTTCATAATCTAGAATCTGTTAATTATGCATGAATAAAATGCTTACCAAATGTTGACTACAATGTCTATAATACTGGAAACTTTTCACAGGATTTATTGGATGCGCTTGAAAAGGATACTGATGATACTAAACAACTATTTACAGATTATAGTAGAAAAATAACTGTTCTGAAAGTCAATGAAAGATCAATAACAAGACAATACACAACATTACTTGAAATGGAAAGGCATCTTCGCAAAGAAAATGAGAAAATGAAGACTGAGATGATATCAATGGAGGTGACAGTTCGAGAGAAGATTGGATCTTTGCAAAGGTTCAAAGTATGTGTTACTTTATTCAAGTTTGTTCATCATACTGTATGGTTCAGTTATACATAAATTGATTAATTATGTGTTACCAAGTTTATGAATCCTGTATGTTGCTGTAAGCTCTCTTATCAGATTCCTGAACTGGCCCCTGAAGTTTTCCATGTAGTTCTGATAGTTATCCATAATAGGGTCATTGTGTTCAATGAAGGGGAGGATCCTTTGAGATGCTGAGGCTATGAGGAGAGTCTGTACAAAGGAAACTTGCAATCATCAGTTGGAAATTCCACTGCCCAGGAGGTGTCTGTAACTCATATTGTGTTATGAAAGTTCTCATCTTTTCTGGCTTCCAAATCTTTCTGGCAAGCTGCTGTGAGTTCTCTGTAAAATAGCGTTGCCGGAGCAGGTGTTGGTGCCGGAGCTATTGGTGTAGGGGGAGACTGAGGCAAATTCTGCATTTGTTGGACCAATTTGGAGCATCATAGCTGACATTGTGCATCTTGGCTGACATATTGCATATCTTGGTTTTCGAACCATCTTGGTGGTGTAGAACAGCTGCTGCTCCAGCTTGCAGTTCAGATGCCATTCTGATGTTTTCATTACAGTCCGTTAAAAAGTTTGGAGAGAGGAATTGACTAGGTTAATATCAGGCGCAAAAGACAAGGGCCACACAATTAAGTTCCAATTAAATTGATTTATTGCTCATGTCTATGCACAGGAATGCAGTCAACTAATGGTTAGCACTCTCTTGGCGCTAGATTAGAGTTTATTTATTTAATTTATTTATAAATTATTATGATATGATAGCAGTGTTCCAATATCTCAGAGGCTGCCACAAAGAAGAGGGAGTCAAACTATTCTCCAAAGCACCCGAGGGCAGGACAAGAAGCAGTGGGAGGAAACTAATCAAGGAGAGAAGCATCTTAGAACTAAGGAGAAATTTCCTAACAGAACAATTAATCAGTGGAATAACTTGCCTCCAGAGGTTGTGAATAAACCAACACTGGAAGTTTTTAAGAAGAGATTGGATAACCATTTGTTGAAGTGGTGTAGGGTTTCCTGCCTAAGCAGGGGGTTGGACTAGAAGACCTCCAACGTCCCTTCCAACTTTGTTACTCTATTCTATTCTATTCTATTCTATTCTATTCTATTCTATTCTATTCTATTCTATTCTATTCTATTCTATTCTATTCTATTCTATTCTATTCTATTCTATTCCATTCCATTCCATCCCATCCCATCCCATCCCATCCCATCCCATCCCATCCCATCCCATCCCATCCGTATCCCACCTTTATTATTTTTACAAATAGTTCAGGGTGGCAAATATACTGCTCAAAAAAATAAAGGGAACACAAGCATAAGATCTGAATGAATGAAATAGCCTTATGAAATACTTTGTTCTTTACATACAGTAGTTTATACACTGCTCAAACAACTAAAGGGAACACAAAACTACTGTATGTAACGAACAATGTGTTTAATAAGGCTATTTCATTCATTCAGATCTCGGATGTCTTCTGCTTGTGTTTCCTTTATTTTTTTGAGCAGTGTATATCCAACACACCTTGCTCCTTCTATGCTCCCCACAATAATAACCGTGTGAGGTGAGTTGGACTGAGAGAATGTCTGGCCCAAAGTCACTCAGCTGGCTTTCAAGAAGGTTTGGATTTAGTCTGCTTGTGGCAACATAGAAACTCTACGCTGATTCTTCTTTTGATTTCACCCCCGAGCTCTGCCACTCCTACAGATATATTTCTAGTAACTCTTGGAATAATAATTTTCTTGGGACCGTTGACAACATTTTCCTGAAATCAGTATTTAAGTTTTTATATTCTAAAAAAACATTTCCTTTTTTTCAATTTAGGAAATGGCAACTTTCAAGATAGCAGCATTGCAAAAAGCATTGGATGATAGTGTACCTCTAAATGACCTTGAAATGGCTAATAAACAATATAATGAGTTAACTGCTAAATACAGGGATATGCTTCAAAAAGATAACTTGCTTATTCAAAGAACAAACAATGTGGAACACCTAGAGGTGATATTATTTATATTATATTACTTTGAATAAACTTTATATTGTTCCCTTCACCCCTTTATTTAATTTTTGAGCTATTAGCAAATCCAATTGGATGCTTCATTATACCAAAAATTAGAAAGGGAACTTTATGGAGTGGCCCCATGAAACTGCTGTTAAAGTCAAAGTATATTTCATTCAGACCAACATAGAAAAACTAGTACTGTTACTCCATTCAATTTATATTTACATTAGAAAAATAATGTACCTTTACATGTTCCTTCATAGCATGAGAACACATCTCTGAAAAATCAGATAGAATCCTTAAATAAGGAACTAGAAATTACAAAAGAGAAACTTCATACAATTGAACAAGCCTGGGAACAAACAGCAAAACTTGGTAAGTAAAAATATATAATGCATTTTACTTTTTTTCTGTAAAGGTAGCAAGTTGACAAGTTTGTATATTTTTTCTCTTTACTTGGAAAGTGATGGAATACAAATTTTACATTCTAAGTTTGGCAAGAGTAAGATTCTTAATTACACCCATGAATTGAGTTGAACAAAGAACATAGTATTTAGATATATCTCTGCTTCTTTTCTCTTGTATTTAGAACATTAACATATGTTAGATGCTTTGTCCTATTTGGGAAAGTTGGTTTCTTTTGCTTTCAGTAAAAAAAAATGAGGTATTTCAAACTCACAAATGGCATTAGATCATCAACAAATTATTAATTGCTATAATTAAACAATGGTTAGATTGCTGGGTCATATTTTTGCTTTTTTATATTAAAAGAATAAATATTTTGGAAAAATTAACATTTTCCTCTAACACTAGTATTATGTTTTATTTCTGTTTAAAGTATGTAGTGCATCTGAGTAGCATTTTATTGTACATGATGATGATGATGATGATGTTGTTGTTAGGAGACAGAGCTACAGACAAAGCTACAAAGGCCATAACCAACAGTGAGATTGTTTCTATTTCTAAGAAAATTACTATGCTTGAAATGAAGGAACTAAATGAACGACAGAGAGCAGAGCATTGTCAGAGAATGTATGAACACCTACGAAATACATTAAAACAAGCAGAAGAACGTAACTTTGAATTGGAAACAAAATTTGCTGAGGTGGTTATTAAGCTTTATTTACATAGCCTGCATAAAGTGTTTGATACAATTATAGATTGCGGTTGTATTTATAATTATCCATCATTGAATTAACTTGGTTTTAAAAAAAAATCATGGTGAATAGAGGCTTTTAGGGGCTATTGATTAAAACAGGGAACACGTACATGCTCAAGATCTATACTGATGTAAAAGGTGCAATAATATACATGTTTACTTGTGAGTAGCTTCCATTGATTCAGTGAACTCTATTTCAAGTAAATAGGCAAAGAATTGTACTGTAAGTGAGTTTTGCTTTTGGAATCTAAGTGGATCTCATTGCTGCTTCAGGTTTCTGCCATTCATTCCTGCCTTTTGGATAATGGATTGGATGAAAAGAATTACAACTTTGTATCATCAACTGTGATTGCAATGGCTTATAACTCTTGTAAAACAAGCAGCAACATCATACATTATATTTAATATATTATAAATTATTTTTACGATGCTGCTTGCTACATTTGACATAAAAAAATCAAACTCCTGCATATATTTCAAAGAGAAATGTCTTATGCTGCAATGTAACTTCCCACGCTCTAACAGTATAAACAGCTGTCAGATTAAATACATACAATACATGTCTTCTCACCTATTGTCAGAAGTATTAGATTTAGCTTAGGTACTATGCACTTTACTAGATCTTTATTTCAGTATTTGTAGAGAGTATTTGATGTTTTCATACATAATTCCTTAATTAGATTAGTCAGTTTGTAAAACAGTATGCTTTGAATTCTGTGATGTAATTGTATGAAAACACTTTACCTAGACTTTTTGGCAAGTATCATACACTGAGTGAAATATGCAATAGATATAGACTGATTGTGTTCGGAAGTGAGTTTCCTTCTAGTTTAGTAAGTCACAAGGAGTTACAGATGTAACTGGAAAACAAAGCTACATTTAAATCCTAAACCCTAGTCAGATGTCTGTGTTTTAAATCTTATTCTTCATGTTTAAGAATATCATAAAAATGTACATGATATAAATTATGCAACTGTATGTTTAGACATTGTTATGTATTACCTCAGTGAAATTCATTTCAATTTGATCTTTCTTAGCTTACAAAAATCAACCTTGAAGCACAGAAGGTAGAACAGTCATTGCGAGATGAACTGTCAAACAGTGTGAGTAAAGGAATAAGTGAGGTGGATAAACGTCGAATAATGGAACTAGAGAAAAGTGAAACTGAACTCAAGATTGAGATATCAAAGTAAGTTTTAAATATTATCCCTTTGCTGAAAAAAGAGGAATGTGCTGATATTTACCCAGCAGATCATCTTTTTCCTATATATGTATGTCTCAAGATCTTTTTAATGGAAAAATATTAAGACAGGTTTTTATGTTTAAATTAGCTTCTTTTTATTCCCAAGCTGTTTTACAAATTTATGAAGCTGAGGATTATTATAAAGGAAGCTTTCATGTATCTCTTTAGAAAGCATTCTCATTCATTTTATTAATTTTTAATTTAATATAAAAGAAAATCAGTTATTGTAAACTGAAAGAATCAAATTTTTTACATAATACATTCAAGATTGAACTCTCATAACTTTCTCTGTTCTATTTATTGCAGTGGATTGAGAGCCATTTGTTTATGAGCAGAAAGAATGGTTGATACTGGTATATTGTTATTCTAATAGTCCAATCTTAGGCCTTTCTTTCTAATCTTGCCAACTCTTACAGTATCTTTTACTTCTGCTATAAGGTTAAAGGAACTTTCTGATATTGCTAAGACACAAGTTACTGCATTGGAGAATCGGCAACAATCAAGAGATAAAGAAGTGGAATCACTCAGAATGCAGATTTTGGACTATCAGGTGTGATTTCTGATACCCAGCATAGTTTTTACTGTTCTTTGTAGTATTATTCTTTTAAACACATTTAATTTATTTTTATTTTATTGGATTCTAGGTACAGTCAGATGAAAAAACACTTATTGCAAAATTACATCAGCATATTGTGGCCCTTCAGGTTAGTGAGGCTACAGCTATAACTAAATTGGCAGCTGCAACATCAAAACTTCAGAAGACAGAGATCGCTAACATGCGCTTAGAGCAAAAATTGGATGACAAGGAGCAAGCATTATATTATGCCAGACTTGAAGGGAAGAATAGAGTCAAACATTTACGCCAAACTGTTCAGTCATTACGGAGGCAATTTAGTGGTGCTTTGCCCCTAGCTCAACAGGAGAAGTTCTCCAAGACTATGATTCAGCTGCAGAATGACAAACTTAAAACTATGGAAGATATCCAGCAAGCTCAGCAAGAACGTCGAAATGCAGAGAACAGAGCAGTGGAGTTGGAGATGAAATTAAAAGGAATAGAAGAACTAGTAGCCACTTTAAAAGACGCAAGAGGAGCCCAAAAGGTTTGAGACATTCAGTCTTAAATTGAAAGCTTCTTTCCCCCCCATATTGCAGTTTTATTATCCCATAATTGCCTTTGTTCCCCAGGTACTATTTATTCCATGAAATTTACAGGATTCGATAATTACTTTATCCTATCCAGTTCTAGTCTTTCCAGTATTTTTTTTTTCAAATTTTTATTTAGTTAAAAAAAGAAAAACAAACAAGTACAAATATAACAATACAAACATACACAACAAATAAACTTAGATCAAGTCTTACGACTTGTATTTTGGATAATCACATCGGTAAACTATATTTCTCTATGTATGTTTCTACACCTTTAGTTATATAACAATATTTTGAGTTCCCTTTTTAATTTATTTGTTTTCTTAATTGGTACTCAATCCCTGTCTAATTAGTCTGTTTCCTTTAGTGTGGTCCTATTTTTGTTTTATTTTCCTTTTCTCCAGCCAATCGTACCATTTTTGCCATACCAGGTAGCAATCCGTTTCCTCTTTTTCTTGAATTTCTTTCGTGAGTTTATCCATCTCTGCGCACTCCATCACTTTTAGTATTATTTTATCTTCCCATGGTATATTTTCCGATTTCCAGCTTTGTGCAAAGATGATTCTTGCTGCTGTTAATATGTGAATAATTAAATATTTTATTTCCTTTTCGTAATGTGTTGTGAATATTCCTAATAGATAGAAAGCTTTTATATGTTAATCCTGCATATGCCAAATCAGGCTTTGGATATTATTCCCATCACCGCTGTCTATTTGAGCATCTTTCTAGCCTTCTTAGTGGTGCACATTGATTTATATTTCTTTTATAAAGTCACTTTGTTAGTTAGGACCAAAATGTAAAGAGACTATTAGATATGCACTAAACTTTGTATAGGTGCATCAAGAATTCCTTGTTTCAAAGCCTTTTATTCCTTTCTAAAAAGCTATAACATTTGTTCAATTCTTGACTATCATGCTACTTTACTGAAATTAATTAATTGTGTTGTTTAAATTACTGTTGAGATTTGACTTGTTATAAATTGTCAGGTAATTGAGTGGCATGTGAAAATTGAAGAACTTCGCCTCCAAGAACTTAAACTAAATCGTGAATTATCCAGGAAAAATGAGGAGATTAAATATTTAAAAAATATCCTCTCTGAATATGAACAGACAATCAATCATTTGGAAGAAGAAATTGTTCAGCAGGGCCAGGTACAGAAAAAATACCACTGTCAGTTTTTTTTCTTAAAAAAAATTATATATTCTTTAAAAATATTACTGTTATTAATCTTTCATAAAAACATTTTTTTGCATTTAAGTTTATTTATACCAGTGTGCTATAGTGCTGTTGTTCCTAAATGTCATTCTTCATATAATTGTAGTTCCATGAGGAGCGACAGATGGCCTGGGATAAAAGAGAAGTAGAATTAGAACGTCAGCTGGATATATATGACAGTCAGAAACAGGACATATTAAGTACAGCTCAGAAGGTAATTACATTGATTTAATGCTATATAATAGAGCCATATTTTTTGGTGGGAGCTACTTTCTTTATCTTCCATTTATTTATTTATTTTACAGTTTAACGAAGCTGCAGGTACAGTTCCAGATCCTAGCTTGTCTCTTCCACATCAGCTTGAGCAAGCTCTTAAAACAGTTAGAGAACAAAGTCGAACAATTCTGGAAATGCAAGCCACCTGCAGATCTGTAGAAGAGGTAATAGAACTACTCACCTAATGGAATCATCTGCTTTTAATGATGTTATCAGACCAAGAGAGGGAGAAAATTACCACTCTTCAAGCGAATTTGGAAACGAGTGTTTTTAGTTACTTTTCACAAATAATTAATAATTATCACTTAAATGGTATATAAACTGGAAACCTGGGAGTGTTAACTGAGATCAAAATTTCTTAGGTTTACCTAAGTAAAAAATGGAAAAATAGAAAATATTGTTAATGAAATTCAGCATAAAAATATCAATTTAATTTGATTTCTTGATAAAAACATTTTAATTTTTGTGATTACCTTTAACTAATAGGATGATCAAATTCTGACCATTTAAGACTTAATCTGCAGGTTTAAACTATTTTGTGATAGTTTAACTTGTCAATTTACTAGTTGATAAATTAAAGTTCCTTTTTAGCTATGATGACAAACAAATAAATGTATTACTATTGGCATTTTGAATGTTATAACTGTCTCTGATTGTACAGGATCTAAGCAGTGAAAAATAAAACTGAGGACCCAGTTTGTGGGGGCAATAAGCTGATTTCGTATAAATATACAAAAATATGAAGGCTATTGCTTAACGCATTGTAAGCCGCCCTGAGTCTCCGGAGAAGGGCGGCATATAAATCAAATTAAAAAAACAAAACAAAACTAATGTCCTTAGCAAAAACTTTACCAGCTAGCTCTCCCCAAATTATGTCCCATAATTATTTTTTTATATTTTCTGTTTCCAGAGTGACTATCTAGAAAATCCTGAGTTCCTTCTCTTACAGTTGCCTCCATTATCATTATCACCCCACTTTTATCCTCACCACCCTAAACCTTCCTCCCTGCTCTTCTAGTATTTTTAATTTGGAGAAAGTTACAAAGCTGCAGGGTTTTTTTTTAAAAAAAATCTGCACACATTTTACTGATCATATCACAATAGAAGCATAATTGATTGAAATGTCATGTAAAATGTACGTATTGCTGAAACTGATTCTAACTAATTTTTCAATAATATGGATTTCCTTGGTTTCAGAAGCTAAAAGAAAAGGAAGCTGCTTTGTGGAAAGCAGAGCAAAACATCTTGTCACGAGATAAAGTCATCAATGAATTAAGACTGCAATTGCCAGCATCATCCGAGAGAGAGAAATTGGTAGCGCAGCTAGATCAAATTGATGATAATACCCACCCCCATGCTCTGAAAATTGCACACCAGACCATTGCAAATATGCAAGCTAGATTAAATCAGAAAGAAGAAATTCTGAAAAAGTACCAACATCTTTTGGCCAAAGCACGAGAGGTATTATAATTTAGAACACTTAAATAAAAATGAAGGTGGAATATTTAGGTTTCATAATGGGATTTGTGGTTAGGCTTGGAAAAAAAAGCTTTATATACCAATACTTTCTGTTGCCATCTTCCTATTATTTCAGTTATTTTTCTTGAATATTTTTGTGCATCATCCATGAAAAACACTCCTAGATAGGCATACAAAGGAATGAAAGTTACAGGTTAATAGGGATGAAGAATAAAAAAGAAATGTAAGTAGGTCACAAAGTTATAAGTAATCTTATTTTGAAAATGGAAAATGTGAAGAGTTAGCTTGGGTTTCTTTGCATTTTGTAATAAGTCTGATTTAGTATTTGAATAGATTTGGGAAGAATAAGCCTGCAGAAACAAAATGAGTCTAAATCACTGAATGAATGAATGAATGAATGAATATGTGTGTCTGTGTGTATTCCCATTATCTGTTTTTATTAATTAGATGAAATAGCTCAAATTATCAATAAAGTCTATTGTAACAAGAAATATAAATATATTATTTAGGAACAAGAAGAAATTGCAAAGAAACATGAAGAGGACCTCAGAGTTCTGCATCAGAAATTAGATGTACATGTTGACAGTTCCTTTAATAAATTCAAGCAAACAGCTTTAGTAAGTATAATACGTTTTATTTGTTTCTAAACTAAATGCATGGCAGAAAGATAAAATGGGAAAATTATTATGGTTAATCGTGCAGTAAACCAGAAGTTTAGACTGGATTTGGCATTTTTGTCCATCCATCAAGCCCTTCCCACAACCTGGGATAAGATGGTATTGTTTCATGGTCTTAAAGGTATCAGTGCAGGACGTCAGATATTCAAATGAAGCTGTCTTTTGCAATTGACTGATGGTGATTTTATCAATGCCAGTGGTGTTCAAGTGGTCCTCCAATTGTATTGAGATTGCACCCAAGGCGCCTATTACTATTGATTCTATCTGCTTTCTTTTGTCATAAGTGTTCATTGTTATTGTTATTATTATTATTATTAGCAAAGCTATTGATGGAACTAACAGGTTGAGCTGACACTATTAACTTTTGATTTGTAGCAATTCATATGAGGAAATACAAAAAAAATTGATAACATTTGCTATTTCATTATGCAGATAAATAACTTGTACATGTAGTCCTCGACTTACAACAGTTTGCTTAGTGAACAAAGTTACAAAGGCACTGAAAAAAGTGATTTATGACCATTTTTCACACTTATGAACGTTGCAGCATCCACATTGTCACGTGATTTACATTTGGATGCTTGACAACTGATTCACATTTATGATGGTAGCAATGTCCTGGGGTCATGTGATCACCTTTTGCAACCTTCTGACAAGCAAAGTCAATTAGGAAACCAGAGTCACTTAACTGTCCTACTAATTTAACAACTGCAGTGATTCACTTAACAAATATGGCAAGAAAAGTCATAAAATGGGGCAAGACTCACTTTACAAATTTCTCCCTTAGCAACATGAATTTTGGGCCCAATTGTAGTCGTTAAGTTTCGGACTACCAGTATTTTCCCTTAGTGTATCTTACCTAGCAAGAAAGCTTAAAAATACAATTTTTTTGTGTTTTCCGTTTGTTTCTTTAGTATCAGAAATAAAATCTGTAATCTGGGGAAAAATATATCATCCTAATGATGACTTTAAGGAGAATCAACTATTGAAATTCTTGTGACTTTGAAAGTTCCTAATTTTGACTGATGTATATGTTCTGAACTGAGAATTATACACCTCTTCTTACAAGAACCTCTTCTTACAAATGTATTGGCAAGAAACTTTGATTTTTGATGTTAAAATGAAATGAGTACAGAAAAATTTATTTCAATCTTTGTTGTTCTACAGGAGTTGATTCAAAAGCCTTCTTTAGCCGTTCCGGCAAGTAAACATTTAATTCATCTGGCAGAACTGGAACAAACTATAGCAGAACAGGACAGCTCCCTTAATTCCCTTCTCAGCAAATTAAAGAAAACATCATCTGACTTACAGAAGCAAAAGCAGATAACTGCAGTAAAAATAAATGAGTTTGATAACATCAGGGCCGAGTAAGTCTGGACTGAAGTTGTGATATTAGAAATTCTTGACTTGTTCTTTTGACTTATAACTGAGTCTTGTGTTGCATAAATAATTAAATTTTGAATTGATTATCCCTATATAAATTTAAAATTAGTTGAACAACATTTTTAGAGCTATTATCATTGTCTCACTCCTCACCTTTTAATAACATGACTGAGTTTAGTTACCAGTAAATTAGTTTAATTTAGTAAATTCGGATATAAATATTTATGAATAATATTTGAATATTTCTTAGTCTACCTGGCTGTGCTCAGTTTAATAGTGGAATTCAGTTTTATATATTATTTTGTTGTGCTAGGCTTGAGGAGAAGCATCAATGTAGAGTTAAAAAATTGCAAGATGAAATAGAAGAATTAAGGAGTTTATTGTCAAAAATGGGAAAAGAATTACTGAATATAAAAAGTGAGTTGGAGATACAAAGACAAGCAAATAATAGGTCTCCAACAACTACAATGAAGAATCTAGTGGAACGACTAAAGAATCAGCTAGCTTTAAAAGAGAAGCAACAAAAAGTAAGTATGATTATTTCACAATTTTTTGAGATTGTGGATCTAGGGAGGGGATAGGTGCAATCATTGACAAGTTTCTTGGTGATGTATATTATGCAAAGACTGCCAAAGCCATTTTATAAGCCATACTAAATGCTCCCTATCTGCCAACACTTTTACTGAGCTGGCAGACTTCAGTGTTTTAATACTGGCGTAGAATTTTTTATAAATTTTAGGGATGTGGTGGCTCTGTGGCTAAGATGCTGAGCTTGTCGATTGAAAGGTCGGCAGTTCAGTGTTCGAATCCCTAGTGCCGCATAACGGGATGAACTCCCATTACTTGTCCTAGCTTCTGCCAACCTCATGTAAAAATGCAAGTAGAAAAATAGGGACTACCTCTGGTGGGAAGGTAACAGCGTTCTGTGCACCTTTGGCGTTTAGTCATGCCGGCCACATGACCACGGAGACGTCTTCAGACAGCGTTAGGTCTTCGGCTTTGAAACGGAGATGAGCACCTGCCCCTAGAGTCGGGAACGACTAGCACATATGTGCGAGGGAACCTTTACCTTTAGCATTTTTTTCCTTTGTTCGCCTACTTGCTTTGCATGATGTATGATGGTTGCAAAATAGAGATAGCCCTTTCATTTCTTTTTATCCCAACCTGTACAGTGCCTGAGATGTCATATAAACACACACACACACACGTAATCCTCAATTTACAATAGTTCATTTAGTGACCATTCAAAGTTACAACAGCATTTAAAAGTGACTTATGACTGTTTTTCACAGTTATGACGTTTGCAGCAATACCATGATCATGTGATCAAAATTCAGATGCTTAGCAACTGGTTCATATTAAGGACCATTGCTGTATGTCATGTGGCCTTCTGTGACCATATGACCAAGGTTTTGCAACCTTTTGACAAGTAAAATCAATGGAGAAGCCAGATTCAATTAACAACTGGGTTAGTAACTTATTAACTGCAATGATTCACTTAACAACTGAGGCAGGAAAGGTCATAATGTGGGACAAAACTCATTTAACAAGTATCTCACTTAACAACAGAAATTTTGAGCTCAATTGTAGTTGTAAATTGAGGATACACACACACAGTTATACACACACTTATATAAATAATGTTACTTATAAATAAAATATAATTTTCAGTAGCCTTATTTATTAATTTTTGGAGTTTATTCCAAAGATATCACTCAAAAACCTCAGCCAGAAAAGGTTGCAATTTCAGTTCTACAGAATGTTAAATTCTGGGTTTATTTACATATACAAATACAATGACAGGTTTTTTTTAATTTGCAGAGCTTATTCGTATCTTTTTAATGATATTTTTAGGCTTTGAGCAAGGCACTTCTGGAACTCCGAGCAGAAATGACAGCAGCTGCAGAGCAACAGATAATTTCTGTAGCATCACAAAAGGAGGCACATATGAATGTTCAGCAAATTGTTGACAAGCACACAAAGGAATTGAGGGTAAAAAGGAATCAGCATTTTGGTTTGGTTTGTTGTTATACCAAAACAGTGTCTAGCAGCAATATATCCCACTTTGAAAATTGTATTTTTTGTCCAAAAAAAGTTCACGATTGGAATGGAATCAAACTAGCAACTACCTCAGTTAGCGACCATTTGCAAATATGGTAATTAAAAAATTACTTTCTGACCAATGCATACATTCACAACCAAATTTTATTCATCTGTCAACAACACATGCCAGGGTGAAAGCAATATTGGTGTAGCTATATGAGAACTTTTATCTGAATGAGGTAGCAGTAACCAGCAATTCTCATAGTGGTTTTCAGTTACATGTTTTAAATTTATTGTTAACTTTTCTGTACTGCCGATCTCCCTCAAAGAGAGACTCAGCATGGTATACAATACTTAGCGACTATTTTGCTTAACAACCAAGTCACTGGAACAGAACTTTTTCATTAAATGAGGAGTGGATATATTTGTTTTATAAAGTGGGGTCTGTCTGATTGTCTGTCTGTCTGTCTATCTATTTACTATATCTATGTCTGTCTAAACTAAATCAAATAATGGGAAATAGAAATGCTATGCATTTCTTCCTTCTGTCCTGGTGGCCCAGGACCTCAATCAGTTTTGGACCCTCCAACATCTTCGATATTAGATATTCCAACCTGCTGAGACACAATTGTTCTGTTTTTGTTTTTTAAAATAATTGAGGGAAAGCTAGGAAAATTATTGGTCTCCCAAACGTTTTTCTAGCCAAAAATTAAGAACTTAATGGCAATTATTAATAAAAGGGGATCATTAATAGAAGAGGCAAGCTAGAATAAAAGAATGGGCAATTATTTGGATAATTTCTGAAACTTTGAATTCAGAACGCAAGATATGAGTGATTACTATTTATTCAAAAGTTTCGACTTATTAACAGTTATCTGATAGAGTTTTTGAAGGACATCTCATCAAGCTTTCCAGAGGGCATTCATCTTTCTGGGTTTTAGATGAAGAGTATTTATTGTGAAATGGTTATTTGAGGCAGAAATATCATTTTCTTTTATCTAAACGTATCTATAACAGATTAAACAGGAAAAATAGTATCAAAAGATTATATATCAGTATGATATAACAATCACAGTCACACACATTTCTGCTATATCAGGGCATCTGAAATAACTGCTTAAATAAATCTACCTGGATTATACAAAAATAGGAAGATGTATGTATGATGTTCCCTATAACAAAAGGCACTTTCCCAGAATGAAGCTGGATATAGAATAATAAATTATTTCTACATTCAGAATGAAATATAACTGCTGAAATACTATTTCTATTAGTTTGCAGCTGCATAGTAAAAAGAATACCATTTGAAGTGCAATACAAGTATTGCAAATTGAGCTTTCACAGGAAGATACTTATTAACATAATGTATCAGAAAAGAATATGGTTCTGAATATTTTCCTAGAAAAATAATAATAAATTGGAACATCATAATATTTTGCAACTATTTTGAATAATTGATAACATCTAGAGTATTGCAGTTTCGTTCTTCAATTCAATATAGTGGTTCTTAAAAGTTTGTGAACATTTTAAATTTTTCAGTATAATATTTTTAACTGGTTTATTTAACTGGGTTTTAAGATTTAGGAAAGCAAATCATATTTTAAATCATTTACACAGAAATATTGAAAATTCAAAAGATTTCAAAAACTTTTAAGCACCACTGTAAGAGTTCTTCACCTCAGTCATTGATCTTGGATGGCCTACAACATGGGTGTCAAACTCGATCGCCTCACATGATGTCATGTGACCTTTTTTGCCTTTGTGGAGCTGGGGTGGGTGTGGCCTGCACATGATGCATCCGGCTTGCAGGCTGCTAGTTTGACACTCTTTGCCTACAACAATAAAATATAAAGTCATAAGAAAAACATACAACCAAAACAGAAACTCATAAAAATCAATATTAATCCATACAATAAGATATTATTACTAGATACTTGTATATTGTAGCCTTGACTGCCCCCAATGTTGTTCTCTAGGCCTTGTAGCAGATGTTTTTACCTGTTTCTTCCTCCTGTAGGAATGGCTACATTTGATACGCAACTGGAATCTGGGCAGAGGCTTTCCTGGTCATGGTGTCCATTTTCTATTCAAGCAGGAACCATGAAACTAGGAAACACTCTTAGAGATCCTCTTCTTCTCAAATAAAGGGAATTGTAAAGTCACAGTCAGCAAAAGTAGATAATATTGGGAAAGTGGATGCAGTGGTAAAAAGCAGTTTATGGCTTTGAATTGGGAGCTATAAATACAACTGAATTTTCCTGGGTTTTGCGACTAGGGTAAGATCCTATCTATTGCCAGAAATTAACGCTTTCAACCTTTTTTTTTCCTATGAATTTAATGCTAACATTCATTCTTTGGTTGTCCTAAATAGTAATTAATATATATTAATTTCTTAGAGTCAGATTGAAGATTTGAATGACCAACTGTTGAAACTAAAAGATGCTCTTAAATTAAGCAAAAATAAAGAGAATTCTATGTTAGATGATATGGATAATTTAAATCAAGAACTTCAGAAAAAAAATGAAAGCCTACACTAAAGTTCTAAGGGAGAAAGATGATATGGAAAAAGAGAATGAAGAACTGAAAAAGCAGAATAAAAGATTAACCAGTTCAATTCAGGTAAATAGTCCTTTTTGTCATAGGATATTTTTGTGGGTTTGTTGGCTGTTTTGTTTTTTTAGCACTGGACTGGCTCGATTCCCTTCCTCTTGAAGAGCCTGCAGGGCAAACAGGAGATCTGGGGTTTAGGTGAATGGCAGAATTCTTGCTTCTCCACCGCCCCTCCCCACCCCTCCCCACCTGCCACTTCCCCATGCCGGCTGAGATCAGCAAGACAGATTTGGGGAGCTGAACGCGCTGTCGCCGCCCGGGACAAGAAGAACGTGAGAAATGGGTGCTCTTGCAGCGCCTCCTCCCTCTCTTCTTCTCCCGAATGGCAGCGGTGCATCCAGCTCACTGAATCTGGCCTGCTGATCTTGGGCGGCAAGCGGCTCTGATGTTCCCCCTTCCCCCCCCCCCCCCCCCCGCGCATGCATCTAAGTATTTGGGGGAGTCTTATTTTCGGGAGGGGTCTTATTTTAGCGCATGCGCTCAAAAGCCCAATTAGGCTTATTATCCAGACATGTCTTAGTTTAGGGGAAACACAATGTAATTTAAGGTATTCCTTATTTTTTAGGGCAAGGCTGATGAGCAAACTCTAATAGATGAACTTCAAAGAAAAATAAAAAGAATGGAAACAGAGCTTGGAAAGAAGAGTGATGAATCAGAAAAAAAGAATCCAAGAGAAGACAAGGTGTTGAAAGTATGATATAAAATGTCCTTAGACAATATGACTTATCTTTAATTTGTTATGCCCCTCCCATATTTGTAATTATATATGGTATTTTTATTAAAAGGTATGTTATATATAGTATTTGTTTATACATGCAGAGGCACATATTTTCAAGAAATGTATGCTTCATTAGAGACTGATAAATTGCCAACCATTAAAGGTGAAGATTGTTCATTTTGTTTTTCTTCACTTTATAGAGCCCAAGGGAAGAATTAATTAAATGGGAGGAATGTAAAAAATGGCAGACCAAAGCTGATGGGATGAGAAACAAGCTGAAAGAAAAAGAAAAGGAGATAGAATCCCTAAGCAAACAGCTTAACACAATAAAGGAACTTTTTTCCAAGTTAGTTTAATTTTTTTTCATTTTTTATTATTTATGATATCAAAACATTGCAGCTTAAATGTATTTGATAAGAATTGATCTCCTATGAAAAATATATTCTGAGCCATAATATGTTTTTCACATTGATAAATGCATTTTACAATCTTACTACTTCATCAGAAATCACCACAAGAAACTACTAAAAGTAATCATTAGCAAAAATTGAAATTAAATAAGGTGCAGAACATTCATATATAACTGGCAGGGTTCCAACCGATGCCTTAATTAAATCATGAGCCTTGAGCCAAGCTTCAAAAGAAATCCAGTTATTTATTAGAAGCTTCATGTCGGCACGAACATGAATTCAACAGTAATATTTTAACTTAAATAGCAATGTATCTTTTTTAGAAATTGCTTCTAGAGCACACATTTGAAAATGCTTTTGTAAAAAGTGTTTTTCATTGAAAAAATGGAAAATGAATAAAGCTGAAAGAGGAAGTAAAAGGTTTGTTTTAATGGATATATATCAAATATATTATTTTAATGTATATATATATATATATATATATATATATATATATCACAATATATGTGTGCGTGTAACATTTAATTTTACGTACTTCACATGAAAGTAAGTGTGCTGTTGCATTCATAAAAATTGCATATTTCAGGGCTGAAAAAGAAAAAAATACTTTGCAGAAGAAACTCAAAAGCTGCAGTATCACTGTTGATCATGTTATGGGAGTCAGAGCATCTGAATCAGAGCGAGAATTAGAAGAGCTTCGTAAACAAAATATGGATCTGGAGAATGAGATTGTTCACCTGAAGTAAGAAAAAAAAAATCAATTTTATTATCTTACCCATTCAGTGAAGCTGTTGTTAAGCAATATGTCATGTGACTGCCCATGTAATTGCTTTGCTCAATCACCACAATCCGGTACTTCCAGTTGCTGATGTTAAGTGATCACGTATGTTGTTAAGCAGATGAAATCCCTGGTAAGGAGTGTGGGATGCCTCAGGAAGGTGGTATAGACTCTGGGAGGTTCTGTTTAGTAGCTGAAAATTCTCCCTGCCCAAATCCAAGCAGGATTTTCAGCCCCTGAGAAACACTCACGCACAGCCTGCACCAAGCCAGTTAAAGGTACCCTACCTGAGGTACTTCATGCACCTTACTTATGGTGCTGTCTCTCTGCTTTCTGATTGTCTTATCCTTAGGGGCTGCCTGAAAGAACTGGCTGCCAAAGGATATCAGTGTCTTTCATTGGGTGGAAGGGATCAGCTTCAGCAGGGTGCAGGAACCAAGCTCGGATCTTCAGGATCTGAGTCCTGTTTCTCTACCCCACTGAAGGAGTTAAGATCCTCTCAATGCAGAGAAGGGAACTCCTTCGGTAGGGTGCAGAAATGGAGTTGAAATTATCAGGATCTGAATTCATTCCTCCACCCACCCACAAAAAAAGGAAGCTGACATTCTTTGGCAGGCAGCTTTTTCAGACAGCCCCTTTACTAAAAAGGAATACCAGATGCAAGTTGCATCTGAGGAAGTCAGCTGTAACTCATGCAAGTTGAGTTTTCATTTAGCAACCAAAACTGGGACTGATGACTTGGTCATTAAGCAAAGCAATTACTAAGTGAAAATTATGTGACTGCAACTATGCTTACTATTTTACATCAGCTTTCCTTTGACTTACAGTGATACGATCCCAAACAGCAGGGAAATTTTCCAGAACTTGACTCAAATCATATACTCTTCTTTCTTCGCTCCTCTGCTCTTTGGAATTCTCAACCTGATGCTGGGATAATTAGAAAGAAGGAAATTAATCTTCTTTTTATATTCATTTGGGAGAAAGGGATTACTAGAGAGTAAGCAGAGAAAAAATGGGGAATGCACAACTCTAACCTTAACTCCTACTGTTTGCCTAGTGAGGTGCTTAGGAGGCAAACAAAACTCTTTAATGTGAAACTTAATTTTTAGGCACCTGAAGGGCTCTAATCAACTAAGTTCACAAAGCTGAACATGTTAAATTGCAGTTAGCACTTTTAGAGATGCACTGCAGACAAAAGCAGCATAAGAAGAGATAACTTGTTTAAGAAATCTCTCCACTGGGAAGGGGGGGGGGGGGAATGGATCAGGCACAGAATAATGTGTACTGACTGAGTATAATGGTGAAAGAGAGAGGGGGGAGACAGACAGACAGACAGACAGACAGCCAGACACTGTGAGGGTTATAAATATGGGCACTGGTCTCAAAGTTACTGTTTCATTACTGTTGTAACTGAGTGATCGCTGTCTGAGGCAGTCACTTGAGGATTACCTGTACATATTTCTGTACTAACTTTTGATCCTTCATTTAGGGAGGTCAGTATATGGAGAACAGTTCTGAAATTCATTTTATATACTGACATATTTTTTCTTCCAAAGAATTCAGTGATTTTTAAAATAGCTTACAATTCAATGTGATAATATTCCTGTCAATGATTGATGTTGAAAAATTGAATGTTTCAGTTTTCTAATATCTGGATGGAGAACTTTTTATGAAATCTCAGGACTATAGATTAGAGACGGTTGAGAAGCAACTGAAAGGAATGGCAATTTTGTGTTTTTGCCAATAATTATTCATTACAATGTATGTAAATCAGAAGTCCAATTCAACTCAAAGAAGACTTCTTTTTTGTAACTAATGTTACAATTTCTTTATATGAAATATGAATCATTTGTCAAATTGTGCAGTTCTTAAATAATCTTTTCATTTGTATATCAAGAACACAATATGCTGTCCCTCGAGATACTGTTATAGAAGATTTGCACTTAAAAAACAGATATCTACAAGAAAAACTACTAGTACTAGAGAAACAGCTTCCCCGAGACACTTGTTCAAGGCCATCAGTAAGTTAAGCTTATAATCATACTTTTTCAAGATAAAATTCATTGCTAGATTATAAATTCAGTTGATTTTGTCAGTATTTTATGATTATTTTAATACAATATTTTTGTGTTATGAGAACCAGCTTGTGTAATTGATCAGGCATTAGGCTGGAAACCAGGAGTTCTAACCCACTTTAGTCACAAAGTATCTGGGTGCTCTTGAGTTATTCACGTCTCCTAGGAAAGAGGCAATGGTTATCCACTTTTGAAAACTTCATCAAGAAAATTGCAGGAAATTGTCCTGCAATTGTCCAGAATTCAATATGATTGAATGGAAGGAAAACATATTATTGTATTTATGTTGTTTCTGTAAACTATTCAGGTTGCTGAAGTCTTTTAAATAATAGACTGTAGATTTACTTTTTAGACATCTTGGTTTTTATATGCTGCCTTAGTAAGATCATGTTTTGGATAAAAAGTACAAATAAGTTTGAAGGGATTGTATACACATTTCCTTTATAGTAGCAGTTGCTCCTTTGCTTCCTGTCATTATGGGTAATATAATTAAAGTTCCATTAAGTATTCTTTAATACTTAATTAAAGTATTCATTCTTTAATTAATACTTAATTAAAGATTTAAGTATTCTTTAATACTATTGCTATTGGTAAAATACTTAAAATGCCAACTATTAAGCTTCTCAACATTTATAACTTAACTTTTTTCTGAAGACATCAGGGATAGGATCAGATGATCAACATCAAAAAGAACAAGAGCTTCAAAAGGAGAATCTAATATTGTCATCTGAAAATATGGAGTTACGATTCCAGTTAGAACAAGCCAATAAGGACTTGCCAAGATTAAAGGTATATTTTTATTTTATAAATCTGATGGTCTGCAGAAAGCTACTATGTTTCATATTTTTAAAAAATGAATTTGTAACAACTGGTCAGATATATCAACGGATCAATTTCTGTATACCTTAGATTATTATTGGAAATAAATCATTTCTCAATAGAATTGTTTTATGAGATATGACTATGATTGTAGATTATACTGTAGCCTTTGTTTTAAAGAAATTCATATGTGCATTTCATTAAAATTAATTTTGATCAGGCAATACATTTTGACATCAAATATTTATACAATTTTTGTTTAGATTCTGGATTTACATATCAAAATCTCCTGGGTACATGGCTTCTTTTCTCTCAGTTATGACATTTGTCTTTATACTATTTTACTGTGATTATAATAAACTGGTTTTATCACTGATTCCTCCTTTTTCCAAAAGCTTTGGAATATTGAAATCTCTACTGATTAGTGAGAACACAATCCTTATGAATTATTACCCTAAATAACATTGTATTCACATTCTTCTTTCATAATGTAAATTGTCTGGTATTATGAATGTAAATAATTATATACTGTAGTTAAATACATACTGTAAATCATTAGAATTATTATTAGCGAGTATGTATTTAGTGCATAACTGGAAAGAAGTTCATTGTGAACATATAACCTTTTGTTGCAGGTATCCAGATACCTTTGTAATAGGATGAATATTGCAGAGAAGCCTAACTTCGTTATGCATATTTTGAATTTTCCATTTTACTGTACATTTTTATTTTTAGAAGAAGTGTTCTGTAGAATGAGATTATCATTTTATTTTTTCAATAGAATCAAGTAGCTGATTTAAAAGAAATGTGTGAGCTCCTGAAGCGAGAAAAGGGTGAAGTTGAGCGGAAATTGGGCAATGTCAGAGGGGTAAGATTATATGATAGAATTTTTTAAAGGGTACAGGAATGAATTTTATAAATACTAAGAACTTGTATTAACTGCATTAAAATATAGAAGATCTTTGGCTTTCAGCAATGAAGAGTTTCTTATCCCAAGGTAGAGAGATGTGATTTGTTTTGCCTATAATAGTAGAGCATAAGATTTACTAAAAACTGAGATAAAATTTAAAAAGGAATAAAAATAATGTATCAATTACTATATCAGTTGTATTTGGTTATATGTTACAAAAATATTTTTTTTTTTACAATTCTATCTTCGTACATAAGAACTGTATCATGTCAAAAAAACCCAGAAGATTCCATTCACACCAAATTCACCAGTATTCATTTAGCTAAATGTAACAATCCAGAACCAAAAACCCCTTGGATTCTATGTAGTAGCACAGCAAGTTGGTGTAGTAGCAATAGCAATAGCACTTAGATTTATATACCGCTTCACATTGCTTTACAGCCCTCTCTAAACAGTTAATCTGGAATCTCATTTTACCAACCTTGGAAGGATAGAAGGTTGAGTCAACCTTGAGCCAGTGAGAATCAAACTGCTGGCAGTCAGCAGAATTAGCCTGCAATACTGCATTCTAACTACTGCGCCAACACAGCTCTTAGTAACTAGTCCCATCCAGGTTTTTAGAGGAAATAAGCCTGTAAGATTCAGGCAAGTTTTCATTATTACAGTATAATTAAATGAGTCCACAAAACATACAAAATGAGCTATAGAATATGGAGTCTGATTATAATAGAGGCAGTTATTTGTAACCCTTATCTTCTGTTTATTCAAGCAGACATCATTTAATCTACTTCTGATTCCAGAATAAGCATCTATTATCACATGAGGGGATAAATTGTCTTCCCACAAATTCCAGGCTGCAATATCTCCTAGCTGTAATCATGAAAAGTGTTTTTTTCCCATAGTTGCATTTAACTGTAAATTTTAATAAGAACACAGAGTTCTTAACTATATTAGAAATATGTGGGAATGAAGCAAAATCTGCACATTCAATTTTCTCTGATGATTAGTGGGGACATTAATATACGAGTAGGTGTAAATGACTTCTCTTAAGTTACGCTTTATAGATTTTCTTTGTCACAATATGAAGCCAAAATAGGTTTGCTTTCATCTGCGCGTTTCACTGCAAAAGAATTTGTTCACATCGCTCCTACAAGTACATCTTGCAATGTTACAAAGAATAAAATAGAAAAAAATGCTGCTAAATAATTGGTTTGCATTTATTATTATACTCATATTTTTGTATTATTTAACTATAGTGTGATTAGAACCATGTATTCTAAACAATACTTATATTGAACTAAATATCTATAGCAAGCAGATATCACAAATAAGAAAATTAATATAGTTAGAAAATATTTTATTGGAGACTTTTTATATAATGAAAATGGTATTTCTAGATTAATAGAAATTATAACCACATAGATATCAGCCTTAGTCTGTGAACGTATGTGTATGTATGTATTCATCTTATTTCTTCATGTAGGCTGGAAGAAGTGGGAAAACAATTCCAGAATTAGAGAAAACAATTGGCTTGATGAAAAAAGTTGTAGAGAGAGTCCAAAGAGAAAATGAAGAGCTAAAAAGGGCCCCTGGAGTAGTCTCTAATGAAAAAGTTGCCAGACTTGAGCAAGAAAATGAGGATTTAAGGGTAACGTATGCTATTATAAAGGCTTTTTTTGTTTTAATATTTAATCTGAAAAATATACAGTGATTTATGAAGGTGGTCTCATTACTCCTGAGCTTACAAAGGTCCCTTGAGACCAGGGTGAAGTCCTTGGGATCCCAGAACTCATGAGATAGCTGTCTTATTAATATCTCATTATCTATTATTCTCTTTTCCTGTTTTAGTTCTATTTTTAGAAACTATATATGTTTGGATCATCCTAATTGTTCTAGCGATATACAATACCATAAACAAAGGAGCATAATGTATGCCTTCTGTATGCCTTCTAATGTATTTTAAGTGAATACAATATGGCTCTGTAAAAATTGATAAGACTTTTACCATATACAAATAAATACTTCGCTTTTTCAGATTTTAATAATATGAACAATTTGTGGCATAATATTCCTTTTTTTATTTATTTATAAAATACTAAGTCTGAAATGGAAAAACTGAAACTTCAGTTTGGAAGTGAATTAAGTGCACGATATGAACTGAAGACTAAAGGCACAGAAAAAATCATTGCTGAAAATGACAGAATACGTAAAGAGCTGAAAAAGGTAAATAAATATATAACATATAAATATTGTATGATAAATTTTCAACATAGTTTGATTCTATCTAGGGTTGGGTGACAACATTGGTTGCATTTTTTATTATTAATCTATATTATTTCTTAATCTGTAAATTATTATTTGTAATATTAAAAATTATAGATAAGCAGGGCTCAGTCTTTCTCATTTTGAAAACAGAACCCTTAATCTTGATAGACAAACAAATCATGGCTTCCCGATAAATAACTACTAAAAAAGATTAGTAAATTAGAATAATTAAAATAAACCATATTCTTTCAGATTTAATGGAAAATTAGTTTCAAGAAATATGATTTGTTGAGACACATGCATCAGTGATAAGAAAGGAACTCGCAGGCATAGTGTTCATTACAAACTTAATTTGGAAACATTTCAATTTGATTAATATATTTTTTTATGCCAATAGGAAGTAGAAAATTCAGAAAAATTGCGAATGGCAAAGAATAACCTTGAAATAATAAATGAGAAACTGAATGTGGAATTGGAAGAGACAACAAAGAAATTAAACTTAGCAGAAAGCAGAATCCCAAAACTTGAAGACACTGACACCAAGAATTGGAAATCCATAGTTATAACAAGGTACAGGTGTTGTCTGTTAACAACCACTCATTCAACAACCTAAATTGTGACAGCATTAAATGAGTGGTACTTACAACCAATCCTTGGAGTTTCAGTTTTTACAGCACCTCCATAGTCATGTGGATGTGATCTAGGCACTTGACAACCAGCTCTCACAATAGTTGCAGCATCCCACAGTCACATTCACCATTTCTGACATTCTCTGCTGGCTTCTTACAAGCAGAGTCGTGGGGAACCTGACATGGAAGATTGCAAATTCTGCTGCTATTTTTTCTCCTCAGGAAGCTGGCAGGAAATCACAAGATTTTCGCTGAATGGCCCGTGATTTTCACTTAGCAATGACATGGTCATATGATGTCTTGCTTTATGATCACAATTTAGCAATAGAAATTATCATCCCAATTATCATTATAAAGTAAAGGATAACTGGAACTAAATAATGGAAAATAAATATATATCCATTTCCCCCAAGATTTCAAAAACTGTTAGTTTATTTTTCAAATTTATTGGCACTTTTGAATAAATTTCAAAATTTGGAAACTTATTGTTAATGAAAACCTTATCAATTAATAGCAGGTTTTTGCATCTTTGGAATACAAACTTCTAGGGCATGTGACAAGGTCCTTTTTGTTATTTTGTATATTTAAAAAGTTGATTTGGGAAGCTATTCAAAACGTTCTTCAGAATAATCATGTTGAACTGTGAATCTGTGTCATTTATTGTAGATGTATGTATTTCTAGCCACACAGCATCTGTTCAATATGAACAATTCAATATGTATTGTGTATCATGTATGATTTTAAAAAATTGTAAACCAATTGATAAACCAATGTTATTTTCTTGAATAATATTATTTTCTTTTAATGAGATCAGTTGGAATCAGTACTGTCCATTATTTTTATTGTTTTTACTTTCAGGATGTTTGAAAATAAATTCAAAGAAATGGAATCTGAAATTGCCAGAAAAAACCAAACCATTAGTGATCTTAAACAGAAATTACAAAAGCCAACAGAGAGTGGAGATAAACATGAAAATGGTACTGAAGACTATATTAAAGAACAAGTAAGATTTTATTTTTATTTATTTGTTGCCTTCAGGTCAGCTGCCTGGCAAAACTGCTATTTTCTTGGCACATTTTTTTCAGAAGTGGTTTGTCCAAGGTCACGCAGCTAACTTTGTGGCTGAGGTAGGACCAGAACTCACACCTTAACTACTATGCCAAACTAAAGTAAAATTTATTGTGGGTATAATGGGAAAATGTGGTATTTATATTTTACTGATAAGATGTTTTAATGCATTTTCTTCCTTTGTAAGCGCATTGTTTCTTTTCTTTTCTGATTGGTATCTAGAGAGCAGGTTATTCCATTCCACTCCTGATTCTCTGATTACTGGGGAAAAACTTTCCAGAATGGATATTTCTGATCAGGAGATTAAAACTTTATAAATTTTTTTAGAATCCTGTCCTTTTAATTGTTCCTGATTGGCATGGACTATTTTATTGTATATTGCTTTTAATGTCTTAGTATTGTTTAATATGGAATTGGCATCAGGCACACATATAAAAGTCACAGAGGACATCTGAAGGTTCATTCCTTTACAATTGCTCATTTGCTTCACTTTGCAAAACAATTGTCACTGAGTTCTTTTATATACTTTTTAAATCAGTTTGAAGATAAGTTTAAAAGTAAGGATCTCTATCCCATAACAGGACCAGCTCCTCTTCTGCAGTAAGCTTTTTACAATTTATAAGTTAAAGAATGGCAAAGGAGAAATGACACATTTCTGCAAAAGATACCTTATAGCTTATTTACATTATTTTACTTTTGTAAACTGAAAGTGGCATATATGAAAATTGAATTGACTTGGTGTGTTAAATTGGTAGAGTATCAAAATCATCTTGTAAATTTCATTATCAATGTGGACTTTAGATGGGCTTTCCTCCACTTCAGTCCAATACTTGAATAATTGCACTGAAGTCTATTCCATTAACTTAAAATTTTCTCATACTGAGAAGTTCCTAATATTAAAATAAAACTTTTCTTTTCATGCAAAGGCTGAGGTTCTCATAAGTGTTCCTGAGGGTACCAGAACAGAGCAAGAATATGTCAGAGAAAATCAACTTCTCAGGTAAAGCACACAAAATGTTTCCTTTGTAAAACAATAAAAACATTAGCAAAAGCTAATAGAGCCTTGATAGTACAGTGGTCTAAGCACCCTGTTATTAACACAGCTGCCGGCAATTACTGCTGGTTCGAATCTCTCCAAGGCTCAAGGTTGACTCAGCCTTCCATCCTTTCTAAGGTAGTGAAATGAGGACCCAGTTTGTGGGGGCAATAAGCTGACTTTGTATAAATATACAAAAGTATGAAGGCTATTGCTTAACGCATTGTAAGCCGCCCTGAGTCTCCGGAGAAGGGCGGCATATAAATCAAATTAAAAAAAAAAAAAGCTGCAACTTCTGCTCTTTATTTTTTCTTGTAGATTAACTAATGATCGTTTGGAAAAGGAAAAAGGAGAACTAATTTACTTGATGGAATCATCTCAAAATCAAAGAAAACTTAAAGGAGATGACCTTGGAGCTGGTAATATATACTTATATATTCTAACTAAAGAAACCTTTCAAAGAACCATTAGCAGAATTTCATCCATAAAAAAAGGCTGCCAACATACTCACCAATCACAGTTCCCAACAAATTACTCCCGATAATCAAGAAATTTTTTCTGCATGGGATAAGATCTGATAAATGTTTATATTTGGAGGTGGGTGACAAAATCCATAGGTATTATAAGAGACTATTAAGTAAAATGTCTTTCATGAGAATAAAATGGAATAAATAACATGAATGGAATTTTTACTCTTTGGAACATAAAAAGTTAAGTTCAGTGAATTTGCAAATCTATTCTACCAGATTGCATTAAAACCTAATAATCTGTGTTGGTGTTTAGATCTAATGTACTCAAATCTCTTACTGCTGGGATCAGGAGACGTGGGGTTGTGTGATTCTCCCATAACATGTAAAAGCCACTGATCTCTTACCTGTGCTAACATTAAGTAGAACCAATGTTAACTATAAATAAACATTACCTATATGGCCAGTGTTGCCATGAATTGTTAATTATGATTAATATAGTCATGGGAGTTCATATAAGGTTTCTGAAGTCCCTTCTGTAGTTATGCCAATAGCTCTTTTGCATAACTATTTTCAATCGATTATCAATTACATAAGTAGTACAGAATATTATACCCTTGAATAAAAAAAAGCTGTCCTCAAACATACTTCTTAGATATTATGAAAATATGTGTATTCATTTGCATTTATATCTAAACTTCAATTTGAATACTTAGGGAAGACTGGAAACTACAGACTAGTGGCAGAAGTAACAGATCTCAAGACACAGCTTAAATCTTCCGATTTGGAACAACAGCGACTTCATGTTAGTACGGTAATTTTTCATTTCATTGGTCATTTGCAAAGGCTTAGAAAACATTGCTACATTGAAATCGATCATTATACAGCATTTCATTGCTAAATATTCAGTCATTTTTCAAGTTAAGCAAAATAAAATTTTCAAGACAATTTCCCTTATATTGGATTGTAACTCTAAATAGAGGCAAAATGAAGTTGATGTTGTGAGGAATTGGTTAAATTATCTTTTGTACTTGTACTTTTCAGAATGTCAGATTGGAACTAGAATGTGAAGATATATGTATGTTTTTATTCATAGGGCATGAGGAAACCAAGAATACATTTTGAATATAGGAAAAATTTAATGATATAATATTGTTGTTTGTTGAAATTAATGGATTGTGCTGAACATACTTATGTTTGTGTGTGTGTTAGGATTAATCTATAAAGTTTTTTTTTTAATTAGGAAGAAATCAAAAAGCTTAAAAATGAATTGGACCACTTTGATCCAGCCTTTTTTGAGGAAATCGAAGATTTAAAATATAACTATAATGAAGAAGTTAAAAAGAATATTGTCTTAGAAGAGAAATTGAAAACACTTTCTGAAAAATTTGGAGTTCAAGTAGACATTCCAGGTAGAATTTCTATTGACTAAATAATACTTGAAGAAACATTTCCAAGAAACTTGCCAATACTGTGTATTTAGAGATAAATGAAATATCTGACATGGAAAATGAAGACAAGCATGTTCATGAGTGAGGTATTTTTTTCCCCACTTATTTTAAACTCAATAAAATGCAGGTTATAATTTTTATACAGTTTCTTTCAAGTCTTAACAAAGTGCCTGCCTCATTAATCTGGTTTAGTACTTCCACAAGTTTAAAGACGAAAGAAAGATTAAAGGAACTATAATAATGTAAAATTGCTAGTTTTTTAATTGTACTAATTTATTAGTATATTTATTTTTCTATGTTTGAATAATATATGAATTGTGTATAAAGCAATATGCTACATTCCTAATTTAAAATGTTTAAGATAAGTTATGTTGAATAAAAGAGTTACAAACTTCAAGATCATTTTTCATTAGTTAGATGTTCTTGAATAAGATAAAATCCTACTTTGTTTTGACAGGATTGGAGTTGTGCTTCCTTATATCTGTTCCAGAAAATTAGGAGATATTTACATCAGATTTTAGGAGCCATAGCAGAATAAGTCACTGCATAAGCAGATATCTGTTCATGATCCTAATATAAATGAAGTTCTACTACAAATATTATAGGTATTTAAGATAATTAAAATCTCTTTATAAATGAAGAATCTTATCTAAACATTTTAAAAGAGATGCCGGAATGGGGAGTTGTTAATTAACTGTTCATAATTAGTGCAGGTATTCCTTTCTATAAAAATGTATGGAAGTAAAGAATCAGACTGATTCTATGTATTTTAAGTAAAATGATTTACTTACACTACTCATGACTGATTAATATTGAAATATGTTCTCCAATGCTGGTAGCAGCATGTAAACTATCACAAGATCTTACTGTAAGGTTATATAGTTTCTAACAGTTTCCTTCTTTTTTATGCCTTCACTGCATAAAATCTACTAAAGTAAAATATTACAGTGCCAGCAAAAATAGATTCACTATTAGGTTTTTTTAAATGAGGTATCTGTACGTTTAAAACTAAAAGAACCTGTGAGACTAATACTTAACTTTCACTGCTTGAAGAAAAACATATTACGTATTTCATCTTTAGGAATTGAAACAATAAAAGTGCTGAAAAGTTAAGGGTTTTTTTTATAGCTTTTCTACTAAAGTTTCTCTAGTTATGTACGTATGTGTGTGTGTATATATGTACATACTGTATATACAGATATAATTTTACAATCAAGGATATGTAGACATAATACAATTTATATTACAGTTCAACAAACATTTTAAATATCTTTAGATTACTATAAATGAAGAAGCAGACATAGAGATGATTCAATGTATTTTCTGAAAAGACCCGGTCATAAGTCACTTATTATATCTCTAAGACTACTAAATCTTTGTCCATCCAACTTAGAAAAATAATGAAAAAGTGTCTTTGGTTCAAAGTTGTACTTGGCTCTACTGAAAGTGACGGTAACTGGTTTTGATGCCAAAGAAGGATCCGCAATTGGCCAGGACAAGCCAAGATGATGTCTATGAAGCTATTTGAAAAAGGAAAGAAAAGCAGTTAAAATACTGTTTTAACAGAGTATAATCTGTTAATGACAATACTTGCAGAAAAGTATATGAACAAAAAAGCAAAGAAATAAAGACTATGAAAAGTATTTGAAAGAGATAATTTCAAAAAGCATGTTACCACAAGCATTAAAGCAGCTATGTCCTTTGAAAGATTGATATATACTATATATTTTGAAGGCTTTTCTCAGCACTTTTCTTTGCACACTTTGTACATGTGCACAGAAATTTTCCTTTCCTGGCAGTCTTGGCAAATATGTGTATTTGGAGGTAAGAGTAACCTAAGCTCCAGGACACTAGGCTTTCTGAACATTAAACAATTCCTTAAACTTGCAGGATTACCTTGATTAAATTTCCATCAGGACAATGCCACACAATTCCTTCAATCTTTCCTTCTTTGCATCCATTAAGCCAAGCCAATATATCATTGTGATTTATTGATGGTGCATTTTTAATTTTAAATGTTCCATGTGGCACAAGAAGGTGTATAGGATGTTTCTTGTTTCCTAAACCTATTAAAACATTCAGAAAAATATGAATGCATATTTTATTACATAAACTCCTCACAATCTGAATTGTTCTTTCTCCAAAATCCCATTATATGACAATACTTGCTTCCATAATATATTTATTTCCACCATTATATGTATCTAGGTTTTTCATTTATCTTGTCTAAGATAAATCTTATTTCATTTATCTTGTTTCATTCAACTTGGATTGAATTGTCTAATAGTTTATTACAATCTTTTATTTCATCAAAGTCATAGAATCATAAGTCATAACATATGTTATTTTTACAATTGGACACTTTCACAAAATAACCTAAATACTAGAATTGGGAAAATAATTGGAAAAAATATTCCTGTTGCTTAATTCATTAGTGCATGTACACAGCACCTGTCTGCAACTCTTTAAATTTGTCATATATGGCTGCCCTTATATGGCTGTCCATGCTGCTTTAAACAGTTACAGATAAATGCTATGTTCATGATTTGAAATACTGGATTTCCTTTCTAATTACCATATTTTTCGGAGTATAAGATGCACCTACCTTTTTTGTTGAGGAAAAGAAGAAAAAGAAATCTCCCTCTGCCTCTGAGCAATTTTGCCTCCTTACAGTAAACAGCCTCCTTTACTTTCATTTTTGTTTTCAGCATAGCTTGATTAGCACAAGGGAAAAAAATCTGCTTACCTCTTTGCAGAAAGCAGCAGAGCCTGCACAAAACAGTTGAGAGCAAATCAGCTGAGAGTCTGGAGACCGATCCAATCAAGTTGTGCTAATTAGGTTGTACTGAAGCTGAAAGGAGCTGGGTTTTTTTTTGCTGTTTGCTTGCAAGGAGGTAACTGCTGCGAGGCAGAGGCCAAATGGTGGGGGCCAGGGCTACATTCGGTGTATAAGATGCACCTAAATTTTCACCCTTTAGGGGGGGAAAAGGTGCGTCTTATACTCTGAAAAATATGGTAACTTTATTATACTTTTACTGTGCATTTTTCATTTCTACATTATTACATTTATAATTTTAGTGTAATGGTTTTGCTATATTGTCTGATTTTTTTTAAAAAATGAGTTGAAGTGCTTACCATATGGATTTGCATTAATATTAGTACCGATAAGTTCCAGTGTCTGCTCTGTAAATTCACTTAAAGGTACTGGACAGATTTCTAGAAGATCAGGTTCCTCAGCATGATGCTTCAGAATGAGAGCAAGTTCATACTCATAATCAATAGCAGAAGAATGCCAACAATATAGTTTGCTGTTTTTTTCTACTGGCACCCAACCTGATTATTATGAAACACAATGTTAGTATTATCTTGAGATTGATTGACTTGAGATTGATTTGACTTGATATATGAATAAAAATATTAGTGAGATAAATATAAGTTTTATTGTACAGAAAATGAGTGATTGAAAAATATATATATATATATATATTTAAATTTGATTTATATGCCGCCCTTCTCCGGAGACTCAGGGCGGCTTACAATGCGCTAAGCAATAGCCTTCATTCTTTTGTATATTTATACAAAGTCAGTTTATTGCCCCCACAACTGGGTCCTCAATTTACCTACCTTAGAAAGTATGGAAGGCTGAGTCAACCTTGAGCCTTGGCGAGATTCGAACCTGCAGTAATTGCAGGCAGCTGTTCTTAATAACAGGGTGCTTTAGACCACTGTACTACCAAGGCTCTTAATCACTAATCAACAGTGGGATTCTACTAAGATCCAATTTTATTTCAATTCAAAAAGGGAAAACTCCATAGCTTATTCTTGTGTTTCAAATACAAAAAATCATGAAACATGGGGTTTTTTTTCCCACTTGGAGCACAGAGGTATTCAAGATTAAGTACTCCTACTAACTCAGAAGCCAAGGAACTACATGACTCACAAAAACTGTACATTTAGAAACAACCATCAATAATTTAAGAACAGCAAACTGCCTACTATAATGCACTTTTTAGGAACCATCCCTCTCACTATCAGAGTGACTCTGGTTAGTGTACAGTTACATACTCACATTCATTATTCAAAATGTTTTTATGTATAAAAACAGAATGATTCTCATAGTTACGACTAATATTCTACTCTCAATTTAAGTAGGAAATATTTAAAGCATGATTTGTTAAACTTCTGCAATTTTCTTTCGAACAGTATCACAACAGAATATCAAACTTGTAAGAACTAGTGCAACTGTTGAAACTTGAATGCTTTACAGATATGTGAATTTCACCTTTCAGAATGCCCAACCAGCAGAGTCAGTGCTGGGAATTCTGGGACTTGAAGAGTGCCCAGACTGGGAAAAGTTAATCTTATGATTATGTTAAATAACCATAACATTGTCTCTACCAATTTTTGGTAATTGGTATATTTGTTGACAGCATTAGTAAGTTATTAGGAAAGAATTCTATTTTTAGTATAGTGCAGACCTCAGTCCATTAACAATTTTCACTCTGAAGTTGTGGTGAACAATTCTCAGGAAGGAAATATATATTTTCCAGGTAGTTGCTTACATATTAATGTTTCTTTTGCTTGTATTATTGACAAATGGGAAGCTGTTAAACGAGAATCCACAAGATAGGATGTTTTGCTCAATTCACCTGAATTCATCTAGTTTCTCCTCCCCCCACATAATTTATCTTTAAAATGGAAGGGAGGTTTTAATATCACTGATAAAATGATAAAGGAAACAAAAGTTTTTTTTACCTAATATTTTCTTTTTGGAGAGGGAAAAATAAACTTGAAAGTTCATGAAAGAAAAGTTCAAAATGAAAGAAAGGAGTATTTTTCATGACATATTTTGAAGATCTGGAAGAAATAGGATTTTCCTATGAAAGATAAAAAGAAGAGCACAGTTCCTTTTCTTCTGATCAAGTAGGCAGAATTAACTTTGTACTTTCCAATCTTATGTTGTACAAATCACCACATATAGATATCCTTTACGTGATACAGTACTGTTATATCTGACTTCATTTAAATAATTTATAGATTTTTCTAAAAACAAGTTTCTCTCAGTAATCTCTAACACTATAAATGAAATCTTTTCTAAAATGAAAGAGGACTTTAGATGTTTAGAATAGAATTTATCATACTAAATAATATTTTTATACCTGGAATGTGTCCGTTTTCATCAGGAAAAGGCTTTCCATTATAGTACTCTATGTCCTTGGCTGGAATCCAGCATTCAGGGACAGACCTGAAATCTTCTTCAATATTCCACGTAAATCCTGTAGGCAAGAATATGAACACCCTTGTAAAAGTTACCATCTAACTATCTCCTGCCTTTGAACAGGTTTACAATTTAGGGTAAGTAGCAAGTAACAATTTGGCAATGGCAGTTCTTTTTTT